AATTTCTTGTTGGTTTCCCATTTAAAATCCACGTGTTTTTTGCTCCTTGTAAAATGGCAGAATTCAATTACTGACGGGTAAAGAATTACTGAACCATTCATTGCTGAAAACAATAAAAAAGAATACTTACTTACATGGCCTTTTTCATAGACAAAATAAATCCGAATGCGACAACAAGAAATGGTTATTGGAATCTTCGCTATAGGAGGGGTTTTTGTGTTCTATGGAAAAGGACCATTTACCATTCAAATTACCAGTTACGAATTCGTTTATTCGTTCGTTGAAGGCCAACCTGCCAAGGACACGCTCCGAAAGACAAATGTGACCTTCGAAAAAACCGGTATCAAGACTGACAGCAGTATTCAGGAGACACCAGGATCAACAAGCCAAACAATTCACTAAAATGCCACCACCACTGTACAAAATACAAGTTTGAGGTAAAAACTCCAACATTAGAGAATTTTCAAGAATAAAAAACAGAGTTTTTCATTCTGCTACCGTTAGAAAAACAATCAACTTAACAATGCCAATGTGCAACATAAAAAAATGCAGCCGTAATTTATACGTCGTTAAATTCTCTTCCACAAAATATGAGAGTGTTGTGTTTCCTGCTTAGGCTAGCTGAATTTTTTTAAATTTCTGCCGTTTTCAGGCTGAACATATTCTCGTATCATTCTTAAATTGTGCAGTAGCTTATGAATTTCCGTTTTTAGAATATATCAGAGTATAAATTATAGTTAGTGCAGGTTATTTCGTTTTGTTGGCTAGCCAAGAGAAACGGAGAAATAATTTTATACGATTAAGATGTAACTATATTGAAACGCCGGCATCAAGACGGCCTGAGTATTGGAAACACTAGCTTGAACAGGCCAAAGAATTCATTAAAATGCCACTACCATTGCACAAAATCAAAGTTTGTAGTAAAAACTGCGACATTAGAGAATTGTCAAGAATTAGGAATTGAATTTTTAAATTAGTGTACAAAGACGAAATTCACTAGTATAAATTCTGTTACCTGTTAGGAAAACAATCAAATTCACAATGGCTTCAATGAACAACATGAAAGTGAAGTGGTATATGCCGTTACAATCTTTTTCTTAAGAACGTTGTGTTTCCGGCCCAGACTGAATATTCTTATTTTTCTGCCGATTATAGGCTGCACATATTCTTGACTGTTTTATTCTTAAATTTTTCAGTTGGCTAATATATTTCAGTTTTCAGAATCTGTTAGGGTATAAATTACAGTTAGTGCAGGTTATTTCGTTTTGCTGGCCAGTCACGGTTTTGCCGTTTAGATAGAAGAAATAATTTTATACGATTAAGTTAAAAACATGTAATTATTTTGAAACACCGTGTTCAAGCGGCCTGAGTATCAAAGTTTGAGGCAAAAACTGCGATATTAGAGAACTGTGAAGAATGAGGAACCGAAATGTTAAATAATTAGTGTACAAAGACGAAATGCACTATTGTGAATTCTGTTACCCGTTAGAAAAACAATCGAAATCACAATGGACAATGGCAAAAAACAGAAAAGTGCAGTCAACAAATTTAAAAATATAAGTTTCCCACTGGTCTGGATATTCTTATTTTTCTGGCGATTTTAGGCTGAAAATATTCTTGTATTGCCCTTAAATTCTAGGTTCTAGGTGACTTTTCCGTTTCAGAATGTATTGAGGTCGCTTACATTTAGTACAGGTTTTTCCGTTTTGAGTAGGCTAGTTTTTTAAGGTCTCTTAAGCTGTGATTGGAAGCGTTGTTGATTTTTATTAGCCGTCGTCAATAAAGTTAGAAAAACACTGAATATTTGATCAATTTATGCGTGGGTCATTAGAACTTTCCTTGAAAATCTCCAGCTCGGTTGATCTTAGACAAAGAAAACTGCGAGCAGTCTCCTATTTTTCTAGCCTTTTTAGTCACAGTAGATCTAAATCACGCGTGAGGGACGAGTGGCGAGGAACGAGGGCGCAAAGAATATCTTAACGTTTTTTGATTATTTTCCTCACACCAGATGTTTCGGCAATAACGATTGTGCCTTCTCGGTTTCTAAAAATTTGCTAACACTCAGGTTTTTGACGAAAAGATGTGAAAAGAAAAGCCTCGTGATATTAAAAAAGTTCTTCTCCCCTCGTTCATTATCTCAGCGGGCAGCTTCCAACCCCTGCGGTACTTTATTGCAGATCATCAACAGAACTGACATGGAAAACAAAACTGATAGACGGACTTTTGATGCACTTTAGCAGTCCAGACAACAACCATAACTGGATATATAGTTTGCTGTAATTTGTTTAGTTCAGACGCAGAGGGAAAAAATTATCAGGCCTTTCCAGGGGGGGGGGGAGCGGGAGAGTTCATTAGGTTAGGGTCAGAGTAATCGAGATCGCTTGTTTTGATTTAAAGTTGTAATAGGCACGCAATGCGTGCGTACGTAAACAAGTCAAGCGCGAGAATATCTGCCGCATGATGTGTCACTAAACAGCATTTATCCTCGTTACATACGTCCCACAGATAACGCGCGGCAAACAAATTGGCCTCGCGGGATCCCAGCTAACCGGGCTGCCTCGGTTATCATGTAATCGCAAAGTGGACTTTTGTTGCTTTTAACCAAGGTGCAAGACCTCTGCGAAGCGAGCCAGCCCGGCTCATGTAATCAGCCCCTTAGTTCTACAGCTAGATTTTACGCCATCCCCCTTGACCTCATCGACTTTTTAAAGCCCCCCGAACACACACACACAAAATTTAAGCTCCCCTTACCCCTTAACATGAGACAGACTGTCCTTTTTAGGATGGACAGGATGAAAAACGGAGATATTTTTGAAGGAGAGACTAATTATGTGGCTTTGGAGGTGGGCCCCACCTCCAAAGCCAGGGAAAAGCACCCTGGGGACGAGGTTGGCTGCTATAATGGCATGTTCCTCTAGAAAATATTGAGATGTTGATGCTCTAAAATACCGTTTCTAGTCAATGCTATGAAAGATATTGTTCATCGTGGAAAATGTTTATAAAGGGTTTCGTTAATCGTTTGTCTCACGATTGTCACATAGACTGATCGCAAAAAAGCATGTATAAATCGTTTCCACCGCTTACTGCAGGTCTTCATCAGGCGATAGTCAGGATAGCGACGATTTATTTAGGAGAACTAATTGTACCACCATGGCTGCTAGTGATTGGTGTATCACAAAAGTCGCTCATGATTGGCGGGTTTCCATCCAAAGCATGGTTGGCATTATTAGAGGAGGAAACTGTTCCCTCAGCGGTCTTTTGCGGTAAAAGATCGGCTGCTAGGCATCCACGCTTTAGGAATCTCAATTTCACTGTCCCTGTTGATGTTGTTAGGGTGAAGTCTTATGTGAATAGCCTCTTTAACACGATCAATAACTGACCATCATCATCATCATCATCATCATTTATTAGCTTTTGTGTTAGAACAAATTTTAAAGGATACAGCAAGTTGTTAGGAGAGGAGACTTCAAGAAACCACCAGGCTTATAGGAGAGGCCACCTGCGACAATCGTGAGACAAACGGTTAACGAAACCCTTTACCATTTTTAGTGTTCTGAGAGGACAATTTCGGTAAAAATAATGTTCTGAGTAATCAATATTTATTTTTATGCTTTTTAAAAAAAATACTAGTGAGAAAACACTTTTCCAAAAAGGGACTATTGTAATAATCAGGTAGGGAATAGTCCCATGGTTCCAACGTCTTTTATTACGGTTACACCGAATAACGATTATGGTTATTAAAAGTTACCAAGGAATTCAAGTTACAGCTACGAAACGACAAAAATACAGGAAAGGAAACAAACTAAGCGAAAATACTTACAAACGTTGTGTGACTTGAACAAAGTGATCGGAAAATAAGACGCACGATTGGTTAACGTAACGAAGCTGAAATGTTGCTGTGAACTCTAGGGCGAAACTTACAAAATGAACAAAGAAAACTATGCAGATAAATGGGATCAATCTTAGCAGCTGGGCACAGAACCTCATATAAAAACAGTAACAGAATATAATATACAACACCTTATTCCACTGCACCAAAATTACCCTGTTTTAGTTGCTGTGTCACTAAAAACCGCAATTTAATTTAAATAGCTCATTACTAAAAGTCCTATTTACGAACGCCTTCTTTAACACTTAAAAATTATGTAAAAAGTTTTTGTTGTCTTTTGTGTATGACTTACAGAAGGCTTTCGCAAGATACTTACAGAAGGCTTGTGTAAGAGTGCTTACCGAACGCGTAAGAGTGCTTACAAAAGCCTTGTGCGTTCGTAAGAAGGACAGCTCTTAGAAATGAGCTGTTTTAATTAAATTGCGTTATTTAGTGACACAGCAACTCAAATAGGGCAATTTTGGTGAAGTGGAATATATAATGTCTTGTGTATTGTATTCTGCTATTATTTTTATATAAGGTTTCGTGCCCAGCTGCTGAGAATGATCCGATAAATCTAACAGAACATGAATTGCGATAACTGAAAATCGATGAAAAGAATGTGAAAGGAATGTGCAAAACTAAACAAAGAACTAAACACTAGACATATTTGACGAGAAATGCGGCAGTCCCGATCCATGTAAAAGGGGATGGTTGGACAGTCTGCCTGGGATAACACACAGATGTATAGCTAACAAGGTAGAAAAGCTGTGTGTTATCATTAACACACCCAGCTAGCTACAGTGTATAATTTTTGCTGCACAGCAGTTGGCCTATGGCTTTATCTGATTTCCTGCTCACTTTTGACTGCTTCTGGTGAGCATATTTCGATCATTGTGTCAACATACATTCACATATGAAAAAAGGTACAAAAACTCGACGTTTCGAAATGTCAAATACCAAAAATGTAGAAAAAATGAATAAATAAATAAATAAATTACGCCTGATCGCTGGGTTTTTAATCGCTGAGTCGCTGGGTTACCCGAATACCGGCCCCAATCCCCCCCGTCTTTCTTTCTCGCCCCAAGCGTCCTCGGTAGACCAGTGACGCCTGTGACTTGTTGCGTTAAAGATGGCGGACCATTGGGTAGCGGAGGTTTTTCCTCCCAGATTTCAGTTCTCAAGCGTAGATGAGATGTTGCAAAATAACAAGGAAGACGAAACGGAGAACAAAAGGACTCATACTGGCGATGAAGTGTATCGTAAAGTTTATTATGATGAGGAAAAAGCCAAGAAACCAAGTGATGAACAATCAAATTCCAAACGACGTCGTGCTCGTGGAAAGCGCCAGACTGATCCCAGTGATGCAAGCAGAAAAGAGAAGAAGATTGAGATGAAATCACAAACTAACAACGACCATGAATGTATATGGAGTCAAAGTGAACTGAAGATGCTACGAAAGTTTCTACAAAAAGCTAAGATGCAAAACCTTCAACTTGCTGCACTTCTGGAATCGGCACAAAGCGAAATAAGAATGTGGAAAGAAAAGTTTAAAGATGTGACCGAATCGGAGAATCTCGTAGAAAATAGATATCAAGTTCTGAAAAAGAAGTATGAACGATTGAAAGTCAACTATAGAGCACTGAAGGAAGACGTCAGAAAGTATCATAACAACTTGAAAGTTACAAGAAGAGATTATCAAGAACTACAAGACGAGAAAAACGATATTGAGAAATCATTCAACGAGACAAAATTAAACCTGAACAGGGAAAAACTCCACAGTGAGCAACTTCAAGCAAAGTTAGAGAGGAGAGAAAGGGAATTTGAGGAAAGTTTGAAACGTTGTGAATTCTTCTTGGAACAACAACATTTAATTGAGAAAACAAAGTTGCAAAGAGACATTGATAGACTGAGAAAGGAATGTGAAAAGGAGAAGGAAGAAAACAGCTTAAATAAGAAGGCACTTGAACACCTAAGGACCCATTTTGCCAACCTGCAGATACTCGGAGATAGTACAGAGAGAAGTAAAGAAACAGATAATGTGCTTAGTGTTGTAGATATTGACTATCTGCCAAAATAAATAACACTCTCAAATGGTCAGAAACTTATCAAGGGGTGGGGAATGATTCCTTTAAAAATGTGGCTCTTAGAAAGTTTTTGCTCAATCTCCAAATCTCAAAAGCTTTTGCAATAGTCTTGAAGTCTTTTTTGTGTGTTTTTGCATAACAGACTCTTAGGTTTTTTTGCTCAAGTGTATTGTCTTTTTGGATTTGTCATGTATTTATTTGGTTTTCAGGAGTCAAGTTTTTCAGGGTTCAAGGGCACAAGTTCTCAAACTCTGAGGAGAAATATTGAGACAGTGTAGCACAACTTGCATTTTGAGATCACATTTACTCAGCCTTCTGTTAATGCTGCACTTACTTGATTCAATAATTATTGTTGCATCTCCTACTCAGTTTTGGTATAATAAAGTCTCGGCTCAGATTTTCTAAAATTGTTGAGGTCTCGGTCTCAGATTTTCAAACAGGGGACTATGCATATTGGCAAATCTTGGATCTTACCCTTCACCACCCCTTCATCAACAAGGATAAAAGTTAGGATTTGAAGAGTGCCGACTTTCTCTGAACTTTTCTGGCAGCCTTGTAATGTATCTTGTTTTTTAAAAAAATTAAGAGGGGGTGGGCTGAGCTTTTCTCTATGAAGCTACATGACACTGATTAAAGCTAACTTTTGCAATGTTTCCTTGAGGAAAACAATTTTTTGCCATTTTGCAAAATTTTACTGGAAGGAATGGAATTCTCTTTGATAAGAAGAGCATTGGTCAGATTCTGACTTACCTGTCTAATGTGGCTTCCATATTTTTTGTACAACAGCCCACACAGAGAGGATGTCTTAAAAAAAGAGTGGGTGCTGAGACATCTTCTGGAAAACACTTTCCTGCCCTCAGGGTTCTGCTCTCAATACTGTAATATTGCGTGTAGGGAGTCAAAGCTCTGAACCTCTGAAAACCAGGGTGCCATGAATATATATATATTTTTTTATGCAGGCCAACAACTTAAGAACAAAAGTGAGTCACCACGGGCCACAAGTTACAACTAGAATCTGTCCAAAATAACTATTTGTGACTGAAAAAAAAAGGCAGCTTAGTTCCCATGATCTGAATGGTTTGACCTTGATACAGGAAATTGAGACCAGATTAGAAAGTTGACATCCATTTTGATCAAACGTTAATTCTTAAAAGGACTGTGGGCCCAATGCACATTGCATTGTACTAGAAGTTGTAGGGGTTGGGTTGCCTTTTCTTTTGTTTTCCTGCCCTTTGAAGTCACATGACCTTCTCTTTCAGTCTTCCTGTTCACCTAAAGTAATGACCAAACAGTGACCAAAAATCTAACTTGAATGACTGCATTGTTGGGGATGACTGTATTCATGTATTGGCCCAATTCAAATCTTGTAACTGTCTATCGCTGTGAAAATAAAAGTCTGTGTACACAGTGAATAATTCATTTCCACAATAGTATTTAACTTTTCATTAACTCCCAAGTCTCATTTTTGAACATGCAGTTACATTCTATACACTGTTTTTGTATGCCATACTTTTTAAAACTTTACAGGCAGCATTCAGTGTACCCCAGAGTTTTTCAATACCAGGGTTCTTAAAGATACATGTAAAAATGTTTGTGTAAAATGTATCATATGCCTCCATAATAAACAGCAATTAGGTACTAGCATTGGACCATTTAACTATGAGTTAGGGCACAATTAAGTTAAAACTGGCCAAAACCAGCTTACCATTTAAAAAGGTTTGATAAACACTCCCATCATTTTTGCAGGGGTGTTCCCTTCGGGGACAAGTAATCCTGCAAAAGATAAACAAACAGACCAACAGTGCTACCCCCTACCTCTTATTGTTCCTATTAAAAATCTATGTTCTGTCCCCAGCATAAGACAAAGTGAGATCTGGGTACACGATTAAGGAGAAACTAACTGGTACAACTGGAGAGACTATGGTAAAACAGAGACTGCAGCGCTGGTGATCTGTGGACTCCCACTACTTAGCAAAAGTATTTATGTTATTATTATTATTACTATTGTTTGTTTCTTTTATTATCAGCTTTAGAGATGTCCTCCCTCCTTGAATAATTCCAAAAATATTCCCTTGATCAAGGAAGAATTAATGCTGCCCAAAAATTTCCCCCTCTTTTCTCTCGACTACATGCCTGCCACTCAAAAAATAAACACTTTACAAAACTATTTGAATCAGCAGCCTTATAGCTACATTTAATTTGGCTGCATGTTATTTACCTGTGGGAAGTGGCAACAATGGACAGCTGTTTCTCCTATATTTGGGTTCACCAGTATAGCATAGCAGGGGCGGATCCGGGATTTTTCTTACGAGGGGATGCACCACTAAGGAACTACCATATGCATTTTAACTACCATTTTTACATAAATTCTGCAACCTCATGTCATGTCTTTCTCCAGCACAGATAGACCACAAAGTTTTTTTTTGCAGACTATCGTTTGTATAAGAAAGCCGCAAGTCATCACAGGGGGATGCACACCCCCGACACCCTCCCCCTAGATTTGCCCCTGTAGCTGTGAGTCTAAGCCACATTTTCCCTTAGTTAACTGCAGAAGTACTCCTTTAAATTCCAGCTCGCTCCATGTTTAGCATTGTAGTAGCTGTTGCCACTTCAGCAGAGTTGTGTAGCTAACCCAGCTAACCCCCACCCCCACCCCCTGAGCTATACAAACACCCGTTTAGTACAAAGAAAGCTTTGTGTTGGTACCCTGGCCTCAATATATATCTAATATGAAATAAACTTGTTGACGCGGCAAACCATCAGTATCGATAAGAAAAAAATATCCTCTGGAACCCAGGGTATTGTTTCGGTTGCTTATTTGCTGTTTCAAATTATTGAACAAACAAAATATCTTGGAAAGGGCGCATTGAAAGCAGTGAACTCCATACAGATAGTATATGGGTATGACTTGCATTCCTTTTGTTGATACAGTACTTTAACTTTTAAAAACAAATCATTTTATATTTGCTGGACATGTCGTCTAAACTGCGGGGAAAACAAGATTTCGCGCAATTTTTCGGGCTCTTGTTTTTTTGAACAATAGCTAGCCATATATGGTTGCCAAGAGAGCCTAGCAACACTCGATAACAAAGACATGCCATTTACAGCCATTATGCAAAGCTTAGCAGATGAACAATCAGTGTATTTGAAGCACTAAGAGTACGTGTTTGTATTCGATTAAAGGCTGCAGAAGTCGCTTTTAAGGCTTCGTAAGTGTTTGTTATGAGGAATGAAAAGGGGAACGAAAATCTCTACTTCGAATCGAGCGCTTCGATTGAACACGAGTCAATATCGCCGGGAGTACAAGAGCGGTGCTGTCTACCATGGCGAACTCGAAGGGACGAAGAAAAGTGGGAAAGGGATTTTTAAGTGGCCAAATGGAGCTTGCTACGATGGAGAATATGTTGATAACACAAGACATGGTTATGGGAAGCAATTTTGGCCAGATGGATCGATTTATGAGGGAGCATTAGTGCGAGATCTTCGGCATGGCCATGGCACCCTAACATGGCCAGATGGCGAGGTGAGGTCTGAATTAGGTTATTAAACTTAGTGAAGGAAGAGGTTCTTCTCTTCTGAGATTGCTTTCCATGGAATCATTTAAGCCTTTTTATTCATATCATTAGCCATTTGAAAGTACTTTCAAGAGGATAAACTTATAGGTCTTGTCAGAACGTTCAATTAAGCTTAAAATAAGCTTATGTTTTCGAGTATGTTCGAAATAAATTAAGATTCGAACGAATAATTTCCTGTTCTAAACACCATTATTTTTCACAGTCTCTTGACAGAAATTTTACGCCTTGTTTGTGCAAGACAAAATGTTGTGAGTTTATCGTCTAAAGCTTCTCATGATTTATTAACAAAGTGCAGGAAAATAAATTTCTGATGTCATGTTTGTGGACTGCAAATTAAAGCTTATTCACGGCCAGTTACAAATTCCTTCGGGTTATTTGAGGTCAGATGACTTTGCAAATTACACGTAATTATCAGAGATGTGAAATTTTCACGTTTCTTTGTAGATTTTACACCCAACAGCTTTATAATCCATTCATATGTAAATGACTTACAGGTCTAAATTAATTCGGGTTAAATTTTTTTAATCTTATTTTTTTATAGTAGTAGAGTTGATTCTCTGTTTCCTTTGTATGCTAGCCCTAATTGTTAAAGGGCTAGGAAACAAACGAAATTGGGAATCAACCTACAATTGGCGACAAAATGAGTTGAGACACCTCGCCCAAAAGTAGGCTTTTTTACGTTTTATGAACTTCAAAAGGAGGAAATATAGCAACAAACACCCCAACTTTGAATGGAGGGGACAGGGGAGGGGTGCGCGTGCATGCGGATTCTTTTGTTCTCCGAAGACACCCTATTTAAGTACAATGTCTCAACTATTTTGTCGCCGATTGTAGGTTAAATAAGTTTAACCTGAATATAATTTTGACCAGTACCAAAAAAGATAGAAGTGATCGCGACAGGATACATTTGTGGGCTTTTCACTCTTTTCATGTTGATCACAATGCACCTTGTTTACCCCCCAAAATTTTGCTTGATAACTATTGTCTTTGATTTCTCTTGGGATGACTGTAATACCTAGGAGAAATTTCAAAGAACGTTTACAGCTGTATGTAAATTTTTTTTTTTTTTGGGGGGGGGGGGGGGGGAACAGGTCTTGGTGAAAAGAGTGAATAAAAGGCCGGGGGTGAAGGTGGGGGTGGGGGTACTGCCATATGTGGGCTATATGTGAATGTGCCGCTGTGAAGGGTATGATTTTCATGCAGTTTACTCTGAGAGTTTGGGTCTAGAATTATAGGGTATAATTTTCCAGGAAACTGATCCATTAGTTGAGGATTTTAGGATAGACTTGGGAAACTGGGAATTGCCACACAAAGATATAAAAAAATCATATCGGCAAGTTTAAATTTACACAACTCAGCTTGAAAGCTACTCTAGGAAAGGGGGGGGGGAATTTGAGGAGTTTAGTCTAGTATAGGGTAGCAAAATTCAGCTGCATTAGCTCTTGTATAGGCTAAGGGTTCCAGGGGTCCCAGCAGAACATCCCTACCCCAAGATTAACCATCATTAACCATTAAATAAATAAAATATTGGTAAATATTAAGCTCTCTCTTAGTGAAATTCTCCACTGTATGACTTATAATATGTTTCATAATAATCTTGTTTGTAATATTAGAGTTACTGCGGAGAATTTTACCGTGACAGAAAGCACGGCAAAGGAGTGTACACTTGGCCAGATGGTACAGAATTTGATGGATACTTTGAAAATGACAAGAAAGAAGGATTTGGAACATTCACATTCCCAAGTGGCAACAAATTTGAGGTTTGTACAATCAATCAATCAGTCAATCAATTACATGTAAAGGAAAAAATTAACACTTGTCCATGAATTTTTTTCTCCTAGTATCATGGTGAGACTATTATCTTCTATTATTGATCAATAAGACAAGTACATTAATATTTTGTGATTATAATCATAAACCCTGGTTCAGTCAGTTTGTTTTCATTGTACACTTTTGCAAGTCTTCTTGATTGATCATTATAAAGTTTAATTATGTAACATAACAGTCATGAGTACATGTGTACAATATTAAAAGCAAATGATGACCTATTGGGCTAAATAAGAATTTACTGCCACCCAGTTAGCTCATTTTGGTGAGTGCTTGTCTGCTGAGTGGGAGGACATGGGTTCAAACCCCGCCCCTTGCCAACAACCGGGGTCTTATAAAAACTGCTACTATTATGCTGGCTGTTATTCAAGATCTTGTCTCAGTTCAGGTGATCGCATCATGTGCTGTGAAGTTAAGCTGTTGGCCTGACTCCTTTATCTTGTCTTATCAAGAGGATGGGAACTTTTACTGCTTTTTGAAAAGGGAAGGGAACGTAGACCCTCCTGGCCTGGTGGTATGGCCTATCTCACAAGGGGGAAGGTGTTACAGGCCTGAAGTTATTGCTGTTATGCACTATTGTGGTGACCGTGCCAAGATATTACCCTATTTCCTTTATTAATAGCTGGGGGCGATCATTCTTTTTTCACACCAAAAGGGGGCGATTATTCAAGGAGATGTGATTATTCAAGGGAGGCAATTATTATTTTAAATACTGCTCACTGACAGTCATGCCCTAAATATTTTGTTTTATCATCTCATTGAATAAAAAAAAAATAATCACCTCAAATATACTGAACATGGTCTTTATATTTGTTTCAAATTACTTTTTGGTCCCCTGGTTAATTTTTGATGTCAATATCCTCAACGTCAGAGCTTGAATCATCACTGATCAGTTTTGGTGCATCAGTCTCCACTTCAGCTTTGTTTTTCATCCAAGGTGTCAATTTTTAACTTGACAGGGAGGGGATAAAAGAAAGAGAAAATGGCGAGAGAGAGGGGGGGCATTATTCAAGGGAGGTAGTTTTTTAAAATATTTCCGTCAAAGGGTTTCAATTATAATTATGAGGAGGCAATAAATCAAGGGAAGGGTATTACTTAAGGAGATAAATTATGGTATTGTCGAATTTCAGTAAAAAATAAATAAAATGTCTACATTGAATTTAAGACTGCATGTGTAATGATAAACTCAATATAATGACTTGAAATGACTTATATTATAGGCTTTCCTTGTTTACCATCTGTTTCATACAATCAGAGTATTTTGCATTTATGGCTTTCAGAGTTTGTTAGTGTCTTACTTGCTTACATTTACTTACTTACAACTTGACAGTGTAATGTTATTGTTTCTACTGAAGTTGCAACTATAAGCTCTCTTAAATACAATGTATTACAACATGAAAAGAAATGGAAAACACCATGGGGAATTATATACATCTTGCTGTTCAAGAGGCAAAATCATAAATTTTGAAATATTATTAATATGTTTGAAATTATGTTTTGTCACTTTACAGGGAATTTATAGAGGTGATGAACGAGATGGGCCAGGAATTATGACTTACATTGACAGTGAACAAGATGTTGGTTTATGGTGCGGAGAACGCCTCATAAAACTTTGTTCAGTGATGGACAGTGCATTTCTTTTTCAACATTACTCAAATTACAATGTAAATGCAGGGAACAACCTTTCAGGAAGAGTAAGGCGAGCCAACACTGCAAAACAGAACATCAGAAACACGTCACCTTCCTTGCAAGACTTTGAAGGAGTAGAGGACAGTAAACTGCAGTCTCAGATTCCAAATTCATTTCCATTTTCAGATATTTTAGAAGGTGTGCGAGGTGATAAAGGTCCTAAAGGACCAATTGAACAATCTTCAGAGGAGCTTTTAAAGGCTGCTGCTGCCGGAGACTGCTTTAAAGTTCAAAATTTGATTGAGAGTGGGAAAGTTCACGTGGATGTTGCTGACAAAACAGGATACACTGCACTATTGGCTGCCTCGGTAAGTAGTACAGGGTGTATCTTTGGTAAATCCTAAACCTTACTCTCAGTTGTTATTTTATTTTTATAATTTCCATATGTATGACATGAGTTTGAAGCAAACAAGTTAGAATCATGCAAGCATATGATGCAGGGAGTCTTAGATAGCAAGTTGCTGGGGGGATTCCCCATCCTCCCCCTACATCTGCCCCTGAAATTAAAGTCAATCTTATTTTTTTTATTCCCCAAGGTTAATTGTCACCGTGATGTCATAAACTGCTTGCTGGACAATGGTGCCAATGTGAACAAGTTAAATGATGAAGGATTGTCAGTTCTTGCAGCCTGTCATGTTCTGTTCTACACAAAACACACTTGGAAGGATAATATTGCAGAAAACATCCCTCGTGAAAACTTGTTCAATTGTATACAGGAGGATGGACAGAAAGGGATTTATATTCATCGAAATTACCGTCAAAGTGCAGCTGTGGAAGATGCTAAAATGGAGACAAACTCTGAGTCAGGAGAAGTGGATGTAAATTCTGATGATGAGTTTGTAGCAAACTGCACTGAAAATGAGAACAACCAAGTTCAAAGCAATGATCAAAGGACGTACAAGGTTATTGAATTTAATAACAGAAAATCGGGAAATAAGGATGAATCCAGTCATGAACTAGAAAACAATTTAAGCAATAATTTACAAAGCAAATTAGACCTCAAGAAAAATGGTTTTATGAAAGACTTTGAGAAACAAGGAATGGAAATAATCATTGACTCCAGTGTTGAAAATGTACTTGATTCTGGTATGCTGACACCGAACAGTAATCCGTCAGTGACACATGACAATGTCGGTGATAAGACCAGCAAACTAAACATAATGAACCCGTCATTGTTTAGTATGATGAGTGCGGTGAGCAGCACAAGGCAGCTGACAGAGTCTGGTGATGATTTGCGTAGTGAAAACAGCATGGAGCAAAACAAGCAAGTGTTACTGGCTGTTCAGAGGTAACACATTTTAAACCACAATCTTACTCTCAAATGTAATAGGAATCTTGATGATACTTGCAGATTTCAAATATGAAGTGTCAAAGATGGGTATTTTGACAGCACACACTGCTGCTTATAAATGATAAAAAATTTCAAGGTTATGAGATATGAAGGAAATGATCTCTTAAGATAAAAGGTTAATTGCAGAGTTGATTTGACCATGTGCAGTACTTTTGTACTCAGGAGGGGGCTGGGGTGTGCTTGACCCGTGTGAGCTATAGAGGTGTTTGTCACCCAAAGGGTTTGGTTTTGAGCCACTTTAAACGTTCAGTGTCAATACTACCGTACATGTATGTGATGAAAAAATTCTTAAAATAAAATGTGTTGAATTCACTTCTTTGAATAATTTGCCATTAAAATAGGCACACATACAGCATTGCAAAGAAAGATTAAAAGGGTTTAAAACTTATACGTAGTTTTACACAACAAAAGAAAGATCCGATCACAGAGGTGACCACTAAAGTGTATGGCCAGGAAAAAGAAACTAGAACAAGGTCATGAGTTTGCAAGCTAAGTACAACTTTTAGAAGCCAGGTGGGAAGGCTAGTTCTAACGACAAGAGTATAAAATGGCATGATTTGGTCTGAAAAAATATAATGGTCAGGATTTTGAGAACTGGGAAGCACACCCAACCAAGACTTCCTTCCGTCCTGCATATAGACAATTCAAATGCTTTAACCCAGCCCAGTAGTTTTAATCAAGGATCTATTCTCAAAACACCACAGGAACTTCAACTACTTATGTGTTGAATTACCCCCTCATCTCTCATCCTTTAAACAACTGTCACAGAAATTACATGAATGGGATTCTTCCACTACACATGTTGAGATCGATGTATTGATCCGATCTTTGCATCCTACGGAATGCATTCTATGAATTTTAAATTTTTGCATCTTTGGGGATTATTTCTATGTGTCAGGGACGCAGGATGCAGAGGTGACAAAATCACTGAAACTCTGCTACATGACTCTGTGATGTCATATTTTGATATTTATAACATGGTTTTTGTTTACTGGTAATTTGATTTTAGGCGTCCTCATCTTGAAGCAACAGTTCGACTTCTACTGAAGCGAGGTGCAGATCCCAATGCATCATCACTTCCAATGCCTGTACTTTTCTTTGCTGTCAAAGCTGCTGACTCTGCTGCTGTAGAAATTTTACTTCAGAAAGGTGCTGACACTTCTGCCAAGCTCTCAACAGAGGTAAAAAATGTTGATAGTGCATGCTTGAAAAAATGGAAGGAGAACTTTCTGTGCTCTGAAATCTGTGTTACTGTACAAGGTAATGAATAAATATAATCATTATTACAATTTTGAATAATGTCTGCATGTCTGGTACTTTCATCCACAGACTCAGAAGTTTGAACTCCGTACTAAATAAATAGTACCATGTGAGAGTACTGCTGAAGAGGTTTCATTTGAATGGTAACACCACAGGATTTCATCCACAGACTCAAAATTTGAACTACATACTAAACAAATAGTACCATGTGAAAGTACTGCTGAAGAGGTTTCATTGGAATGGTAACACCGTGGGATTTCATCCACAGACTCAAAAGTTAGAAGTACATACTAAATAAATAGTACCATATGAAAGTACTGCTGATGAGGTTTCATTTGAATGGTAACACCATAGGATTTCATCCACAGACTCAAAAGTTAGAACTACATACTAAATAAATAGTACCATGTGAAAGTACTGCTGAAGAGGTTTCATTTGAATGGTAACATCATAGGAGTTCATCCACAGACTCGAAAGTTAGAACTACATACTAAATAAATAGTACCATGTGAAAGTACTGCTGAAGAGGTTTCATTTGAATGGTAACACGGTAGGATTTCATCCACAGACTCAAAAGTTAGAACTATGTACTAAATGAATAGTACCATGTGAAAGTACTGCTGAATAGGTTTCATTTGAATGGTAACACGGTAGGATTTCATCCACAGACTCAAAAGTTAGAACTACAAACTAAATAAATAGTACCATGTGAAAGTACTGCTGAAGAGGTTTCATATGAATGGTAACACGGTAGGATTTCATCCACAGACTCAAAAGTTAGAACTACATGCTAAATAAATAGTACCATGTGAAAGTACTGCTGAAGAGGTTTCATTTGAATGGTAACACCATGGGATTTCATCTGCAGACAGTAGAATTACATAACATTACCTCTGGCAGCAGCAAAAATGCTACTTACAAAACATTTTTGTTATTTATTATTCTAGCATTTAGGAATTGCACCTCTCCACATTGCCGTAGCCCTCCCTGATGAGACAGGTGTAGAGATCACTGAGCTTCTTCTTAAATCAGGAGCTGATCCTAACATTAGAGACAGTGCATTTGGTTCAGGGGATAATGGAAGGACAGCAGGCCATATTGTATGCTCAAGAGAGGATAATGACAAGGTATAATACCTGTGTGTAATATTGGGGAGCTTTAGCATCAACAATGAGATTGAAAAGATTTTTTCTAGCTTTTCCACAGAATAATGTTTTTTCATTTATTATATTTTGAGTAATTTACCCTTATCCTCAGTAGTTTTTGTTTAAATTATATAAGCTTTGTCAATTAAGGTGGCTTAGGCAGTGACTAATTTACACTCTGATTTATCTGTATATTTACAGGTTTCATGTGGCATAGTGCGACTTTTACTGGAATATGGAGCGAATCCTGATTTGCTTTGTGAAGGCCACTCAGCTCTTTCTTTAGCAATCTATAGTGGAAATGATCTGGTAAGATATCCTACTTATTAACTGAGAGTGAGGTCATTTCAGGGAAATCTCAGACCGAGAGTTGTATACTTCAACCTGCAATACAGTCAGGTGACACTGGTCAGCGGATACCCCAAGGTTTTATTTAGGGTATTTGAGGGGTAGAAGCTCCCCCCACAACATGCCCAGCTCCCCCCCCCCCTCCCAAATATATTGTTATCATTACAGTATATAAGTAATTATATTGGAAAAATCATCCAGACGCGATGAGATCAGTGCACATGAAGTAAGTATTTCCTGTCGAAGGACACTATATGACAAAGAACATGATCTCGACTAAAAAATAAAATAAAATACCACTGTAACATTTCTCAAAATTGTATCTCAAAATGCACCAGATTGCATCTCAGCGCATATTTATTTCAAAAAATTTTCAGGTGGCATACCCCCGGACCCCCTTAGAAAGCTCCGGGCCTTCTCTTCTGCCACTCGGGACTTCTCCCCCAAACGATAAATCCTAGATAGAACCCTGATAGGCTATGGAGCTGTAAGTAGAAGCTGCTTAACATCATTAATCATGTGTTTGTCTTGCAGGCTGTAGACACTCTACTAGAGCATGGAGCTAACCCCAGTCTTCGTCTTTCCAGGGGGGTGGGGTCTGCTCTTTGTGCAGCTACATCGTTCATGGCTGAAAGAAGAAGAACTCCGGCTGGAAGAATAAAACTTGTGAGTTCACAAAACTCATTACTTCTCCTTTCATCTTAGAAACCAAAGTCGTCATTCCCAAAAAATCTTAAATTTATTTTCATTTTGTGAAAAAATGTAAATAAACAGCAGCACGTGAAAGCACCGTGGAAGAGGTTTGATTTGAATGGTCACGCAAACCATGGTTTTCCGTCTTGAACACTCAAGTTACAACTATCTTACAGAATCAAAGTTACTTTAAAATCCCGAATTTTGTTTTGCGCCACTGAAAAACAATATTTACTACATGACAGTGTGTACTGCTGAACAGGTTTTATTTATTTCTAGCGTCAGCGTTGAGGGCTAGCCGTAACTTGGTCTTAGAATGAAAGGATCAATGACCGCGTGATCTCATTTTCTTATCAGATAAACAAGATGATGAGAGCGGGCGCTAACATCTTATCTCCTATAACGGTGAACCTCAAGTACCCTCCTGGTACTGTAGTGGATTATGCTTACAATGTGTTTTATCAGGTACACATTTGTTTTATTTTCTAAAGGCTGTTTTCTCTCCTTTTTTGGGACAGGGGGGTTGGTTTTAAAAGAAAAACTGGGTCAATTTAGGTTTATGGGGAAACTGTCCACCTACCCCTCCCCTTAGCCAACGTTCACACATACTTAAGGAAGGGGTAGGAGGGCGGCTTCCCAAAAACCTTAATTGATCCGAAAAACTTTGGTTCTGATCTGTGTCCGTGGGTGAATTAAGACCCAGTTTGTGGTGCGGTATCGAAATCAGAAGATTTGGATGGAGAGTGGAAAATTGGTACATGATGTAAAGAACTTGAGCTTCTCGTTCATATCCAGAGGGTAGGGTGGGACAAGTTACCGCTTTTTCGGTGTCTTGTCTGGAACAGGGTCGGAAAAAGCAGCTGAAAATGGTTTGGTATTGGCCAAGTTAGCCAGGATACCAGTGCCAGATCCCAAAATCCATAGAATACCCCCTAGGGGTATTCTAATTTCGATAGTTTCTCAGTAATCTGTTAGAAGGAAATTCTTTATAGTAAAGCACTTTGGCTAATTATCAGAAAACTGCTTAAGTTACTTAAAGTAACTTGGTAGTAATCTAAAATGATTAACGATATAGTTTCTCTTTTTGTTTCATCCATAGGATCGCAAGATAGCTCACACTCCTTACCATGCCCTCTCGGTGTTAGAGCGCGAGTGTTACAATGCCCGCCGGGAAATGCTTGACCATTTAGGAGACCTATTACGAACACAGGTGTTGAAGAAGGAAAAGGAACTGATTGAAAAGCAGATAGAGGAGGCCGAGCAACAAACTGGTGAGCTGTTTTTCAATCCTGAGTCCAGTCAGGGCTCATTGTGTCATGGTGTCTTTCTTTCTTCTCTTATAGGCTGCGAAAACAGCCGTGTCTCCTCGTCATTAGGGACGTTTCGTCAGGAGAGACGGCTGCGCCTCTGCTACAGAAATTCCTTACTAGGGCCTTTTATACGTGGAAAAATAAGACGAGAACTTTCCGTATAAACGGTACGTTTCGTCTAAAATAAGACGCGACTTAGCTAAGACGCGTCTTATTTTAGAACAGCTCTTAACACCTGTTCTTAGATAAGACGCGTCTTAGCTAAGACGAGAAAAACTTCGTATAAATGACCTTCGCGTCTTATATAAGACGCGAACGCGTAGTACTTATGCGTTAATTTTTGGCGCGCCACGTTGGATTGCCGTTGCTACGGGCAACATTCACATGTATTCGAGTCAAGAACAGAAATAAGACGCGAACCATTTATACGAGCTGTTCTCGTCTTAGATAAGACATGCTCGTATAAATGGTACAGTTCGCGTTTTATTTAAGACGCGTCTTATTTTTCCTCGTATAGATGGCCCAACTGATGACGTAAGATCTGTGAAATCGAACAAATTTACATTTTGAACCCCATGACTACCGGATTAATTATGTAAACATTAATTTATGTCATCAGTATGGAATTTCTGTCGCGAAGGCGCAGACGTTTTGGGTGGCTTTTTTGTTTTATCCAAAACTGTTGGCTAACCTTGTGGGTCCAGTCGAACGTTCGAAGACATGGAGTAGCCGTACTTTCAGTAGACTAATGTAGGACACGTTTTGTATTTATACAGAAATTTTCAGGAGACCTTTTTTTCAACAAGAATTGCAATATCTTGGTTGAAAAGCACAACCTTTAAAAATCATAGATAACTTAGTATAAATACTTCAATTATCTTAGACTAATGGAACGATCGTACAGAGATTTCTAGCCTTTCTCGAGCTACATAAATTTTTAGACAATATTTGCTACTTGCTCACAGTTATATTACAGAAAAAGGTGGACTAGTGCCCCTAGTACAGTGTTTAGGTACAGAAATAATATATTGATCTCATTTGGGTCTTTCATTTCAGTAGCGCAGAAACCTGAAGGAACTCCTCAGTCTTCCTGGGGGATCCTGAAGTCACCTGATAAAGCAAGCAAGATGAGAGAGCAGCACTCTACCCCTGTTACAAAAAATCTCGACTCTACCCCGGCAGGGAGAAATAATGATCCTAACTTGACTGGGGGAAATGACGGCCTTAGATTCAGCCGCGTAAGCTTTCGTCTTGAAAACGAGGTTTTTGGAGGGGATGAAATCGAGGCTGAAGCTGATCGTGAAGTCGAGGCTATCACTGGTGCTGACGGCGAGACTCCGGGGACTTATGATGAAGTAAGATACAGTAATTAGTTGTGCTCTCTCATTTGCTCCTGAACCGCCCGTAATCGCCCCGTAACCGCCAGTAAGCGGCGGTGCGGATCCACGTCCCTTCTACCGCCTGTGACTTCACCAGTTTTAACGGCCAAGGTAGACAGAGGTTTTCCATCTAATTTGTGCAGGATGAGGAGATCTCTCAAACCATGCCAGGCCGGAAAGAAAGGCAAAAAAACATGTAACGTTCTTATGAGAATCTTGGTCCACCACCCAACCTTAAGATCCTTTGAAAAAATTTTACCATAAGCGATTCCCACCGAAATGAAGTCTCCTAAATGCGTAGCAAAAAAAAACGAGGTCAAAATAGCGAAGAAGAAAGGAGGAGAGATAGCGGAAAGAAATAGAAAAGACTGGTGTCTCGAAATTTTACTTTCTGCGCATGTGGATCAGAAGGCCGCGTATGGTTAAATTTGTTTGTTTGCTTTAGTCGTATTATTAATGAAATTTCTATTGGTTCGTCCTTAGGAAGAAAAGGGAGGGATGACTTCAGATACGTCGCCTGCTGCCGTTACCAGTAAAGAAAACACTCCGTGTTCCCCTGGGTCTGGGCTCAGTGCTGCCAATCAGCCGTCCATCAAGCCCTCGTCACCAGGTCGAGACGAAAACTGTGGATTACGCATTGCTGTGACCAAAGCCGCTGACCATATGAGCATTTCAGCGCTGGCGACTCAAGCTTTGAAGCAGCGGAAGCAAGTGATGAAAAACCGTTTCCGGTATTGTTATGAATGTGGGCGCTCCATTGGGATTCGTTTGTCAGCATGCACGCGGTGTAAAGAGGTGTTCTACTGCAGTAAATCTTGTAAATTAAAAGCTTGGAATGCAAGGCACAGGGAAGAATGCGTAAGATTGACAGGTAAGATGGTTAAAAAGCGAAAATAGGCAGCCCAACTGTAAGCAACCACTAGGACGAGGACAACGACAGTGTCGAAAAAACAATTGGTTTCACGAGCAAACCAGCAGCTGCACGTGCATCATGCTTTTTAGTACATTTTTTTGACATCCACTGCGCGACTACGACGTGAAACCCTCAAATGCGACGTTTTACATGCGACGGCGAATTTTCGTTTCTCTATTTGATCCTGGATTAAGTCCTCAAGAATTCACCCCCAGAAAATCGCCTACATTTGACAAATTGAGCGGGTCTAAATAGACGCGATTAAAAGTACGCGATTCATTTCTTTTAGCGACGTTTCATTGCCGTCGTCGTCGTCGTCGTCGTCTTTGCTTAAGCTCCCCACGTTTTTCGAGACCACGACGTTTCGGCTTTCAACTAACGTTATTATCAAGTTAAAATATCTGATATATGGATAGGTTTAATCGTAAAATTTCTAGTCTACGAGCAGTCTCTCTTTTATCTTAGTCCGTCGGGCGAAACGCGTCGAGCGAAAATGACCACGCGCATGACTAAGGGTGCGACACGGCGTGCTGCCGCCCTCTTTTCTCGCGTCTCGCGGCTCGCAGCTTCGCCGCTTGAAGCTCCCGCGCGCTTGCAGCTCCATTACTAAATCTGAAGAAAAAGAGAGACTGATCGCAGTCTATAACGTTTCGTGCTCGTGGAGCGGGTTGAGGTGGACCAGAAGAAGTTCTGCAAAAGAGGTTAAAATTAATTTGGATGGTGACACTTTAGGATTTCGTCCACAGACTCAAAAGTTAGAACTACATACTAAATAAATAGTACCATGTGAAAGTACTGCTGAAGAGGTTCCATTTGAATGGTCACACCATAGGATTTCATCCACAGACTCAAAAGTTAGAACTACATACTAAATAAATAGTAGCATGTGAAAGTACTGCTGAAGAGGTTCCATTTGAATGGTAACACCACAGGGTTTCATCCACAGACTCAAAAGTTAGATCTACATACTAAATAAATAGTACCATTTGAAAGCACTACTGAAGAAGTTTCTTGTTTAAATTTATTTGAATGGCAACACTTTCGGATTTCGTCCAGAGATTTAAAAGTTAGAGTGACAATTGATCTCTCCATAACATTTGTTTTGCTTAGGTGGTGTAAAAACAGCGTCAAGTCGCCGAGCGGAAAGCCCAACTCCCACCACAGACCCGGATGGCCCACCCCCGTCTACCATCCCCGCAAGCTCTCAAAGAAAGACGCCCTCTCGGGGTAAGGGAGAAAAAGGTCGCAAGCCACAAACGCCTTCTCGAACATCGAAGCGAAGTTCTTCAACACCAGTAACGAAGGGAAAGAAATGACAGAGACGTGGACTCGTTAAAGATAAAGAAGGAGTCTTGTAGAGAACCCGATGCTTCTGTTGGCTGTAGGCAGAGAGAAAAATTTCATTTTCTTATGAGGTGTTTGCCCGAAACGGTCACGTGGGACGAGAACCACCGTGCTGGAGGGCAAACAACGCCGTGTAACCTCGAGAATTAAATCCAGGAGATTAGCTTTTTGAATGGTGTAAACCTAGTTAATTATAGTGATGTGTCTTTGATAGCAGTCTGTAATCATGCGACAGATTACACAAAATCGCACGACCGTGTAGCGAAGGAGGTTTAACCGCAAGAATGATCACAGATACTATTGGACGGTACTTGGACTTGTTAACAATTAATCGTAATTAATTTAGAGTTTAGGTTTTCCGGGTGGTTGTATAAACAGTGACAAGAACAGGGAATTCGTATTTTGGTAGAAGAGAACGAATGATTAAAAATCGGCCTTGTAGTTGGGCTGTATTTTTTAATTTACATGTGTAAATAATAATTTCCTTTTATATTTAAGAAATAAGTTTTGTGAAATAGGTGATTATTTATAAGAAAATAAAACATTTTTATACTTGATCAAATGCTAATCCGTGTCTTCTCTTCCCTCAGTTCACCATTTTCACATAGACCACTATGTTTTAATAAACAGGGGATCATAATAGGTATCAATGACATGTCTCAAAGAGTAAGGGCAACTTCAAAATGGCCGATCTTAATTGGGGCCGGGGATCGATCAGTCATACGGTAACTGGTCACCTAGCCCCCTAATTTGGAGTCATGTGAATATGTTAAGTAATACACCTTGATTCAAAAACTCATTAATAATTCTAAAGAAAACACAAAAAAATATTAATATTACAAAAAACAATCTTCAACACCAACAACTTCATGAAAGTTTTGCAGAGCTTTCAGAGCCCATCAGGATCTCTTCATCAGTGATGAAGTTTGCTGTTATTCGCAGCCTCGTTTTGATGAAGCATCAAAATTTTTCCATAAATGAAGGTATGGGGATGGTTTCCGAAAGCTCGGTGAAATTTTGAACAAATTGTTGGTGTTGAAGAATACTTTTTGTAATATGATATTCCAGCAGCAGAATCTTCACTCTGTCAAAAGAAATTAATGGTTAATGAGTGTCTTTCTATCTGATAAAGACACGACGGAACTTTACGTCCAATTTTTTAGACCAAAAAACCCTAAATCTAAATATTAGTGAAAGAATGAGTTGATCTATATCAGTCGTGTATTATCAGTACGTAAAAAGGTTACTCTGGGGGCTAAGTAACCGGGAAGAAATGATCGTAAATCGGTCACAAATACGCATATTAGGGTTTTCATTCAATTTAATTTTCATCAAGTTTAACGAGTCTAAAACCCAATAATAATATTTACAATATACAATAAAAAGCTTGCTTGTTCTTGTCTTTTTCTACTTGCTTGCAAAACGCTTACTTTTTTCAAACATATTTACATTTGATCAGCATTCACTGAACTATTGACATTATCTACACATCCATAGACTTATTTAATAATATTAATTTTATCATTACCGGGAGTAGTCAATCGATAAAAATCGGAAGCAATCAAATGATTTTTATCGATTGATATCGGAAATCGGTGAAAATCGATAAATTATATTGCTGTGTCAAATCGATATTATCGATTTTTTCATCATTTTAACGATTTATGACGGAAGTCCGCCAAAGTTGTTTTTTGGTGTAAGTCAGAAAACACATCCAGGAGTAACAATTGGTACACAAACAAGAAAAGGAGAAATGTGGAAACTATTACGCACCCAGTTTTCTCTCTAAAACCCTTTATTTTGTAAATAATGACAAAAACGGTTCGGTTTAATTACATTCAGTTCTCGCGGGCAAGTAAACATTTCTTAGCCTGAATTTTAGTTCGAGTCAAAGCCATGACTCAAAATCAGGCAAAAAGATTTCCCTAGATAGATTTTCACCGTTTTCCGACATCGATAGATAAAAATCATTTGACTGGTAACGACTTTTATCGATTTCGATTTTTATGTATTGACTTTAAAAAAAAACTCCAGGATGTTACTACACCCGAAACTGCAGGGACGGTATTTTAAAAGGGTAACAGATCTCAATCGTGAAAAACTGGGCACCTACAAACCTGGCTAATATCAGTAATCAGAGGAAGATTTTAAACCTGGTTTTAAAGAAAAGATAGGATTTTTTTAACGCTTTTTTAAAAAATGATAATTGTTTGATCCTTCGACTTTCAATTGCAGCTTAATTGTCAAAAAAATTAACTGTTTGCATGAATTCAGTTTTCAAATTTTGATGAACAAATGTATCTTCCGATGCAAATCGAAGAAATCGGTAAATATCAAGATAAATCGATGAACGAAACGAGTGTGTCATCGATTTCTACCGATTGATCGATACAATCGATATCACATTCACCAGTTTTTATCGATTGACTATTATTAATAATATTACTATCTATTCTTTAATATTTATTTTATTCCTTTAACTTTTGCATTATTTTTCTAAAGATTTTTGTTCGTTTAACCATTAAAGCCATCGTAAAGTATAAAGGTTTTAAATAAGTGAATTTGTACATGTATTTGTGATGGCAATGAGTTTTACTATCATTTTCGTCTCTAACGTAATTAATCTGGAAGTGGGAATTCAAAGTTTATCGACAAGATCGGTATCCGGCGAAAGTTGACACAACGAATCTCTGCGCCATTAAGAGTCATCATACTGTTATTGTACCAAACTCAACGTAAATCAGACATAAATACTATGCACTATACTTCTCTTCTGTAACTGTCAAACAACCGATGCATTTGACTGAGGAACCGCGCCTTGATTGACGCCGCGTCTACGTGGGTCGAGAACGTACAGATACTTTCCATTCCCCCGGGATCTTGCCCTCGTGTTGGGTGGCGGAGCGTGCACTGGGGTAGGCACATAACACCCATCCCCAAGTGGCCTGGGACTAGCAGTAAACTTGCAAATGCCATCTTGTTCGCTGCTGTTTGTTGTGTTCGAGGAAACTGAGGTTGTCTCTAGAGTTGGAATTCCATAATATTTATCAAGATTATGGCGTTTACCGAACTCAAGCGCTGATATGAGTTCGTCACGTGATGAGCTATACTCTGAAGATGCGGAGTCGTATGCGCGTGGATCACGTGAACCATAAGTCACGTGATAGGGGCTGTATTCTTTTGATGATGTTGATTCTCTCCTCTGAGGGGTTTGGACCGGCTTCATGACAGGAGTTACCTGACTAGAGCCCCGTTTAGAGTTGAATCCTGAGCGGCGAAGATCATTCCGCGAGGGACCTAAACCAGAGTCACGTGGTCTTTGTATGGCATTTGCTGGGCTCTGAAGGTAGACAGGATGTACAAACTCTTGACTTTGCGTGCTACTCTTGCTGGGGCGACTGAGACGACTAGCGGCTGATGAGTGGCGCAAGTCAAAATTAGATTCCATGGCCCTTGAGATACTGGCAGTATCGAATTCAGAGCCTCCGTCCGCGTGCCCGCGAAAACCCAACACCCCTACCCCTGGGGTTCCATTTAACGATCTCTGTGTCGTGTAGAAATTAGCATACGTTGTATGATCATTTACGTCTACGTAACGGTGCGCGGAAGAAGATGAATCGGTGTCATGAAGCGTGGGCTTGTGGTACACGGGTTGAACAAAATTCCCTTCTGAAGAAGTATCACTAAAGCTCCCTTCAAGGGGTGGTGGTTGTCCAGTGTCCAAGTGATACGGAGGGGGAGGTGGAGGGTATTCTTCCTCGATGATAGGTTCGTGAGTTAAGTTGGCGCGGATTAGGCTTCTGGGAAGGCTGATCTCCGAGCCGTGAGTTGAGCGTATTGGCTCAGGCGAAGATGACAAATCCGCTAGGTTGCCATTGGTGGAAGGGCTTCCTTCTGATTGGACAAGGTTGTTCGGCCTGAAAAAAGAAAGCAGCGATTAATCACGAGACTGACATCAATAGCATCATGAAGATGATAACGATAATGATGACGATAATAATAATCACATTGATGATGATGATGGTGATGATGATGACGATGACGATGACGATGACGATGACGATGACGATGATGATGATGATGATGATGATGATGATGATGATGATGAAGACAATTACGACGACAGCGACGATGATGGTGAAGTTCATATTGTTTATAAAATGATGACTGTGATGCCCAAAGTAAATTTTATATTCTACAATGTGATAATAGTCCAGTTTCGAATTAAAAATTACCGCTGAATACAAACATTAACGACACATTCATAGAGTAACATATTCTGAAATTCTGGCAAGTAAGTGTTTGAAATTTGAATATACACAATAGACAGAGTAATAAACAGGTCTTTTTCTGGTTGGAATTTGTGAATATATTAATTCAGATAGAGGCTAAGGCTGTAAAAAATGCGTCTTCACTTCTTTAATTCGGCGGTCATAGCGAACTCGAAAATGGACTCTTTAAATGCACTGTGCATGATATGAACTTTCATTTCCATGTGTTCAGCTAGCTTCGTCATTTCATCTTTCAGATTGGATACACACACGTAAATACCTAAGCCACAAGTAACAGTACTGGAGGGAAAAAACTTTCTTGTTCAAATATTGACCCTTTAACGTAAACCTATTTTAAAAGTCCTATTTTGTCCGAGCAGTTTTTCTTAATTGTACGTATTCTATAAACTGCGAAGTAATAAAACTGAAATGGCTCATAAACGATACCTTTCAATGTAATCTCCCTGTATTTGAAGCTCGTCTCTAAATACTTTTCGCCTCCAATATTTTTTCCATCCTTTAAAGAGAAATAAACATGTTCAGAATGATTTAAAGAACAAGTTTCCCTCGCGGCACGACTAATCAGAAGCACTACCCAGATCTGGGAAGTGACGCGTTATCAGTATGGAATTTCTGCACTCGTTTCTCAGACTTCATTTTGAGGGGAATCTAATGGTGCCCAGCCCACTGAGAAAATTATGAGGGACTTATGTGAGATGGTGTGCTTTTCCATTTTAGTAAAATCGAACTAGTGGTCTATTATCAATGCTGCGTTCTGATTGGTTGAGCTACTACTAGGCTATATGTTATAGCCCCCTTGTAGCGAAAAGCGCGGGCTTTTTGGCTGCAAAAAAAAATTAAAGTCTAGCTTTAACTAGCTAATTTTTTTTTATTCTCGATATTTTTGACCAACTAGTTGGATTTTACTAAAACAATTATTCCGCTCGCCCTCATGGCCTCTGAGTCAATAGCCCATTCGGGCTTGAGGAATAATTGTTAAATAGCCAGCTATTACAGAATTAGTCGAAACAAAATAGTTGGTTTTCCAGCGCTAAGGCAGCCGGGTAAACGAAATTTATCCAGTTTTTCTTTCCTTCTCCATTTACGACAAAAACTTGTGCTTTACATTTTCATCGAGTTATTTAAAAAGTTGGCGCTTTTAGAACTTCTCAGTAGAGACCTTACCAGTGAGAAATCATGTACAAAAACGACTTAAAAATTTCGATCTAACTGCATTACCCAAAACATCAGCTCTTTCCTGTTGCTGGATAACTTATCAACAAACATTTTGGGTAGGAGTTCGAACGAGTAGTGTGATAAGTAGTTATGAGGCACACGAAATTGGTTTGCCAACGAGGAAGGAAGGAATTAAATAATTTTATCGCCGAGTATTTTAAAAAAACTTTCTTTTACATTAAAGTGACTTTGCTGTGAGGCAAACTGTAAACGAAGCCAGTATCAAACATTTATCAACGAACAAACATTAGCAGACTAAGGGCGTTTCCCATTTGTCACAACTAACCGGCCAAGGACAATTCCCGTCGCAATGATATGATAATTTCCCTTTTTATCAGAACTCTAAAGCCAGATCGGTCAAATCCTGAATAGTATGTATGAAGGAGATGGCTTTTCAACAAAAACTCTAGGAAAATCCTATTTCACTATCAAACTGACTGGTCGGGTAATGGTCTGACCGGCCAGTTTTGACACATGGAAAGCGCCCTACGTTTCTTAAAACTCACAAGTGGTTTTTGTACGAGGACCGTACCTTGAATCTTGTCGGCATTTAGGTGTCCGGCTCGAAAGGCCACCAACAGCAAACAGACAATGACAATAACTATCAATGCACAAACACCGATAAGTACCCCAAGGAATGTAGGGTTACGGTAAAGCTGACTGGTCTCGGTAGCTTTGGTGTCATTAGGTTCGACAACCTCTTTTACAATGACTTTTCTTCCTTCTGAAAAAGACAAATGGATAAAAACTGTTGTCTTTACGTGTCGACTGTGTAAATATTTTATCCACGTTAAAAAGCCGCGAAGCCAAGTAAGAGATAAGTAAGGTTTGGCTCAAGAAAATTTAAGCTCTTGACTCCGGCCTTCTGTGGGGGGGGGGGCATTCCCTTATTTTGCCCATACGGGTACGCTCCACTGAACAGGGTATGGTTTTCAGTGTCTGCATACAGGGAATACAATTTCAATCTTTAGCGTCTTTTGACAGGAGAAAAAGACAAGATTGAGAAGGTCGGCGAGAGGTGGTCTACATCAGAGAGCTTTAGATTCTAAAACGGAGACGACTACGGGTACGAGATTTTCTAAATACTGAGTATTGCTCACGTGTGAACCAGTGTCATTTGGCGGGAAAACGTGGTAGCCGTCGTCATTCTACTACGAGTTTTAGTGAGAGTGTCGTAGTGGCGAGAACAAGTTATCAAATGACAGAAGTTTTAGGTCTTAACCTCCTTCAATGATTATAAAAGCGCCAACTTTCCTGGTGACAAAAAGTACAACAAAGAATTCCAAGGTGTCTATTTTTGACAATACGCGAAAACCAAACATTATGTTAGGGCATAATGTTATTTATGTCGATACCATATGCCTTTGTGGTCTAAATGGTTGATCTTCCGACTCAGATCAATCTAGCCTCTCTTTCAAGAGCCAATCATTTCTATCGCCCTAAGGGAGTGTTTGTATAAAGGAGCATGCATTCCCGCGTTGGTCTCCTCTTGCTTTCACCATCACGGCGATTACATCTCTGCGGAAAAATTTAATGCAGGTCATATATTATGGTCATTTGTCTTAACAGGGTAGCCAAATGGGCAATTTTTGTCTTAAACCGGGCCGGGGTTTAAAGCCTACGGCCGCTCAACTCTACCCAAACTTTCATGGAGTATCCCTCCACTCCTAGACTGGGGCGTAACTTACCTCCGATCCTAACCATAAACACTTTGCTGGGTTTCCCTCTTCCGACAGCGTTCATAGCTGAGATCCGAAAGTAGTAGCCAGAATTAAAGTCCACATCGTGCAGGACAAAATATGTGAGTTTATGAATATACTGAACTTTCCATATGCCGTTGTTTATTTTGTACTCAAGAACAAACATGTTTACTGGACTGTTTCCGTCACTCCATCCCTCCCAGGTAATGTTCAGAGCTGGTGTGTGTTGAAGTATGCTGAAGTTAATTTTTGTTGGCGGCAGTGGGGGTGCTGCGAGAAGAAAAGAAATAAAGATTAAAATTTTATTTACGTAATAAGAAAAAACTCCATTTAATTTTAATTTTAAACAAACAGGAACACAGCATCGGGGAAGGACTAGCAGGGAACATAAGAACCATACAAGCCAGTTGACCACATTTAAAAATAACTTTCAAAGCATGGAACGAAAGAAAGAGAAATTGCCAGGAGAAGAAACTTTCATATAAACCGTTAATCATGATAAAAAAAACCCACCCTGATAAGTATGATGCTACGCCCAAGTAACATGAGGGCGAACAAGATCCCTAATCTCCTTCTTCTAATACGGTACAACCTGCAACGCTTTTTTACACTTGATAATTCTCGAGCGCAAAGCGCGAGCTAGAAGTTTTTTTATGTTGTTGGTCTTTAGCTAGCTCAGGTGTTCAGTCCTAAGCTTCTCGTTTAATTTAATGTGAAAACATTTCAGCTTTTTCCATCCCGCACACAAGCTCTTTGTAAGCTGGGCTTCAATTGGCCACACCCATGCTTGCTAACATGTACTTGCCCAGCATGTAATCACTGACAGTTTTACATCTAAACGAAGACAGCTGCAGTTGTCTTCGTTTAGATGAAAAACTGTCAGTGAATACATGCTAGGCAAGTACATGTTAGCAAGCATGAGTGTGGCCAAATGGTAGGGGCGCCGCGCCCAAAATGAGATGTCCCGGGTTCAAATCCCACCCTTGATGATACCAGGGTTTGTTTCTCGTTAATCCAATGCTTGTTACCTGAATAGCTTTTTGCCAGAAAGAGCTGAGGATACAGTAATTAAGTGAGGCTACGCCACGCTAATAAGTTCTGACAAGAACGAAACAGCGGTCCGATTCTGCCATTATCGAGGAGGTAAGCGCATGCGCAAGGAGGTAAGCGCATGCGCAATGTACAGCCAGACCAAGAAAATGGATTTGTCTGTATCTTTCCCCGTCATATAATTTTTATATATTAATTACCAGAAATGGTCAATTGAACATTTGGAGCAACGGCCAGTCGTCGTAACTTGACTTCTACCTTACTATTTACCTCACAAGAATCCACACTTACTTTTCACTTTAAGTTTTCGAACCACTGTCTTTTTTCCTAATTTGTTGAGTGCAGTACACTCATAATCACCAGCGTCCTCCTCTTTCACTTCTTTGATCTCCAGTGAGCCATTGTTTAACTGGCGATATTTGGTGGTATCAGAAAGGTCACGACCACTGCTGTACCACATTACTGAGGGTTCAGGGTAGCCATACGCTTCACAATCCAAGATGGCAGAGGTCGATCGTTTAGCAAGGGTGACCAGAAGATTGTCGTAAAATATATCTGCTTTGACTAAAATGAGAGTTTTTTCCTTTAAAAATTACTTTTAAGAGTAATATTTTTTCCATGTATGTCAGACGTTGTTATACTTGAAGTGGTATTATTAAAGCATTTTCTTACTGAATCAGCAAAAAACAAAGAGCTATTGTCAGGCATGGCAAAACGTGGAACTGATGTAAACTGGGGTTAGGCTGTGAACAGTCCCAAACACCGGAGAAGATTTAATCGTTACCACATTCAAACTACCAGGTCTAAAGTACAGGTCACAACTCCACAGGTCAAGAATACAGGTCACTGCTCCATTGATAAATTTCCAAACCACAAAGATTCCCTCGATCTAATAAAGCATTTTGTTAGGAGTTTAGGGCTAGGAGACAGTTTTAATGCTGTTTATTTATCTATATCATGGAGACCTGTACTCTGACCTGTGGAACAGTGACCTGTATTTTACTGACCCGCCGCATTCAATTGTTACACAACGTTACTCGGTGCAAATATGGCGCAAAAAAGTGTAAACTAGGGTGAAAACAAAAGCAAAGATGGTAAATACTGCATTTGCTTGCCGGTTTACATGCGGTTGGAAAATTGAGGGCAAATGCGGTATTTACCATCTTTGCCCTTTATCTAACCTTAGTTTTCACTTTTTTTGCACCAAATTTGCACTGAGTAAATTTGGTGTAAATCAAATTTTCCGTACCGTAAAGCGAAATTGAAGCTACCATGAGCGACAAATTGTTGCGCCACTTTCGTCAAACAGGGTATATTCAGGAAAACAAAACATATCTGTACCTCTTCACCTAAAGTTGGGTAGTTCATTAATGTTTCCTACAGGTGTACCGACAGCACATTGAAGGGGTGGAGTAGGGAAAGCTTGCTTTTTCCCGTTTTGAGTACATAGTCGTGACAGTAAAACGTGAACAATGAAGTTAAGTTGAAGGTTAAGTGTCTCAGTCGAATATTATAAGATCTTATTACAGTAGCTGTGCGTTCTAACCCGGTTTTAACACCAATCCCATTCCCCAAGGGCCCATCCAACCCCACGGGCAAAACCCGATACCGTGTATGTCTTCTTCTTTTTCAATACAGTGTCCCAAATAGGTTTTTCGGGATGCGGGATTTCCCTTATTTGGAATCGAGATTCAGGATTTTAAAACAAACCCGTGGCGAGATTCGGGATTCAAAGAAGGCGCGGGAGATGGGTTGCCAAAAACTAAACCACGAAATTACGGGATTTCACAGGCCTTTGTCTTAGGGACAAACACAATCACCAGAGGTATCCTTAAACCAATGAACAATTATCTTACTCTGCTCCTGAGTGGTTTGTGTGACAACAGCAGACGCATTACCGAACCCTTTGGAAGTGCTCGCTATCACCCAGAAATAATACTCTGTGAGAGATTCCAGATCGGGTAGATACTTCGACGTAGTATTTCCAGCAAGGCGGACTATGGAGACTTTATCAGAGTTGATTGCGCGTGGATCCTTGACTGCCTTACTGTAGTGGAGACGGTATGCTTTTATGTTGCCATTTGGTTCTAAAGGGGGATCCCACAGTACACGAATTGTTTCTTTGGACACTGGAACAGCTCGAACGTGACTTGGAGGTCCGGGCTCTGCAAAGTAATTTTGTATGATTGAATGACACTCCCCTAAAGGGTTAGTCTTTGATGAACTGCTCCCCCAAAACTCAACCGGAAAACGCCGTCATAGACTGTTCACAGTCCCCTAAAGATTGTCGCTATCGAGGTGCTCACCGTCACTACGAGTTTTGTAATTTCGGGGTTTATAGCGGTGGACCGTCGCCCGCATGTTAAGAAGACATCTTTAAGGTAGACTTGGTCAGGATGGCCGCATGTAGCGTACGTTCTTGACGATCTCACTGAAAAATAGGGGACTGTTAACAGTTTTACGCAGTCAAATGTTCTCCCCCGTGGGTTACTTAAACGGGCGTTTTCAGTACTCTAAAAACGATCAGTTGAGTTTCTTGTAACTCAATTTTGTGATTAAGAAAAACTGTCTGAAGCCTGATGGGGATTCATTCTCTCCCCTACCTTCTCTGATAGAACAACGAGCAACTATTTTAACTTTTCTTTCCTCTTATTAATAAATACCTTTAGATTTTAGGACGAGAAAGACTAAGAGGACAACATTTTCCTCAATTCTATGTAGTGCACGCGCGTGAAACAGGGTCATTTTGGCGGGAAAAAGTGATAGCTGTAGTCATTCACATCTTTTAATCTTTTAATTAAAAATAGTTTTCTATTTATATTATTACCAGTGTGGTTTTGTGCGTTGTTAAGGGCATTGATAACAGACGCTTTTTTGCGTCTGAAGGGCTACCCTGAGCGGTATAAATTAAAAAATTATCAATCGTTGTGACAGAAAAAATTATCAACGGTTAGAAGTTTTATCATTTTCCGATCGGGAGAGGGCTTAACCCACTTTAAGGCAAAAGGCAAATAACCGTGCTAACTTTTCATGTGAAAAAAAGTCGAGAGGACTTTGGCGGTGTAAATTTTTTTTTTGCGAAAACGCGAAAAAAGTTAAATAAACATCGTCTTCCTCGAACCTAAAGGTTTCTAATTCCCGGGGGAAGGGGGAGTACTCCCTACAATGGCCTATTACGGAGAGGCTCCGCCCGAAAGGGGTACCTTTTCAGACCTCAGGTATATGAAATGCAGTGGCCGATCCAGGGGAGAGACCCAGGGGGCCCAGGCCCCCTTATCTCAGGGTCTAGATGACCCCCCCCCCCCTTATCTGGAGGTCCGGATCCGCCACTGAAATGGTATGTAAGGATTATATGAAAGGTTAGGGAAACCTGTCATTTCGATCGTTAACAAAAAGGGCTAACAGATGGCTGTGAAAAAGCCGAGAAACCTTTCTAGTTTTATGATTTATTCACATTTAAAAGATGGTTCATTTACAGCGGTTAAACGGGATGCAAAGGGGTACTTTTTCTGACAAAAATGGTATATTAAAGGGTAATGGGTTGGACCTCGGGGTGGAGCCTACCCGTATTTTTTTTTTTAGTACCCCCTGGGTCTCTACTTTCTTTCTTCTTGGGAAAAAAATATCAATCAATCAATTAATAAAGAAAGAATCTTTAAAATCGAAGTACTTACTGTCTTCTTTTGTGAGTTCTACTTTCGGAACACTTGCCACGCCCACTCCCTTACGAGTGAAGGCCGCCACACTGATCCTGTATCTGGTAAACTTGCCCAGCTCTGTCAGAGTTACGTTTCTCGCATCAGAACCTCTGACTGTTCTGTTAAAGATTTTCTCTGGTCTCTTAATGATGAAATAATATACTTTGTATCCCAGTAACTGGCCGTTGATTGCATTTGACGGGGGTTTACTCCAAGTAACTCTCATGCTTTGTGATGTGAGTACCATGATTCGCACGTCCTGGGGAGGCTGACTGGGGACTGGTGATGAAAACGAAATAAACAACAGTTGACAACAGTTTAATTCTGCAGGTAAAATATGGTTGGGTACACAGTGGCATTTCGTAATTTAAGCCCCCCACCACCATATAAGTCCTTCCAGTTACAGGCCCATGTAAAGAGAAACTGAACGACATCTGATTATAAGCCCCCTCCCCTCCCTTTAATTTAGCTTCCATGCGGTATGACGCATGGAAGCTAAATTAAAAACTAGTAAGTGCAAATTGTATTTTTCATCACCACTTCTATAGGTGCTTTTTCTATTTCGATTTTGAGTCCTCTTGGGATGTAAGCCCTTCCGTTAATAAGCCCTCGTAAAACCCCTGTGCAAGCCCAGCACTGATCAGCAGCATTTTTTTAGTGGCGGTAGCCGCACAAATACCATTTCCGTTAAGATTCGATTCCGAAAAAGGCGCGAATATCTTAAGCCCGAGACTGGTAGACAGACAAAAGTAAAAGGAAAAAAAACATTTACTTTTGTTTGATTTCAACCAGAATGAAAGAACCACTTCAAAATACAGTCCTCAATTTTCGGCTGGACTTTTCCTAAAAATGACCTTATAATTAAACCTTTCATTTCTGTGTTATGTTGTCATACATACCATCCTCGAGAGTTCGAACTTCGATTTTCGTCTTTGACCTCGGGCTAACACCAGCCCTTGTGAACGCTTGAATCTCAATACTGTACAAAGAGTAAGGCTCAAGGTCACGGATAGTGTAGCTTCTTCTGTCGCCTCCGTTCACCGTTATGTTTTTCGTCATATAATGTCTATTATTTTGTTTGTACACTACACAGTAGCCTCTGATTACGCCATTTCTGCTCTCCAAAGGTGGTGGCTGTGTTAAATGCAGAGATTTAAGGTTACATAAAGACTAAGGAAGCCTACGTATCTAACGCTTTACCCTGATATTCAATTGAGTGTAGCTAAATGTCGTGGGTCGTGGGTAGAGGTCGTGGGTAGAGGTCGTGGGTTTCTTTTATTTTTCACCTAAATGTTTTTTTTTTAGTGTCCGTTTGTACTAGAGGATTCGGTTATTTGCTTTGCTGACGGCGGGGAAGGGGAACAGGACTGGTATGTACGCGGAGATTTTCGTTTCATGAATTTTCCAACTTTTTGCTATTTAATTTCTTAATTTTTATTTCTTTTTGGAAGACTTTTTTTTACCCACGACAATTACCCACACCCACACCCACGACCCACGACCCACGACCCACGACCTCTACCCACGACCCACGACATTTAGCTACACTCTATTCAATTCCTGTTAGTTTCCTCATACCCTCTTGTGCCCTATAGCTCCCTCTCAAGCACCAAACAATATTTGATTCTATGGTATCGACCCTTAAACCCACGGGTACTCCCTATAATGGCCTATACGGGGAGGCCTCACCCAAAAGGCCACTCCCCTTCAGACTTCAGGTAATTGAAAGGGTAGAGATTAAACCTGTTGGAGTATTGCCTTTGTATGTAAAGGCCCAAAGGAGCTAATAGATGCATTATATGGCCGTGAAAAAAGTCGAGAAAACGTTTTGATTTTATGATTTATTCATATTTCAAAGACAGTCTACTTGCAGCAGATAAAAGGAATGCAAAGTTGTAAGCTCTGAAAGGGGTACCACTTTTCAACAGAATTCGAAGGTGTACGAAATAGGTACATTTTCTGTCGAAAGTTGTATTTAAAAGTGTAAGGTGTTGGACGTCGGGGCGGAGCCTTCCCGTATAAGACTTTGTTGAACCCCCCCCCGGGACTTAAATGACCATGCCGAGTCTCATATCCTTAGCTTGTCTCTTAGATCCAAATGAACCACAGATTCTCATGTTCAGTGAAAGATGTTCTTTAGCTTTCTTACCTCCCAACGGACGAAGATATCCTTTGAAGACACCGCCGTTACGTTCGTGAGTCTAGGGGGCTCTGATGGAGCTACAAAAACAATGATATACCCGATAGTGGTAAGTTATGTATAAAAATTGGATATAACGTGATTTTCATTTTTAGAGCTAACGACCTTTCTATTGCCTTTGCATGAGTACTCTGATGGAACTTTAGAGTACTTTACAGTACTACTAGTGGGAATTTAAATAAACCAAAACTGAATGAAAGGCTGGCAATACGGCAAAGGGCTGATTAATTTTAGGCCAGTATTTCGGCTAACAAAATTAGCCTTCCTCAGGGCCAGAGCTACACTGAAGAAGAATACTATAACGGCTACTAAAGTTTGAATTTAAATTTACATGAGAGGTTATTGATAAACTAAAAATGGGAACAATAGATAACATGATAGATGGGTAAATAATTGTACAATAAAGCGGGTCGATAAGGTACAGTTCAACGTTCGTCCAAGCGGCCTAAACCATCTGGTGAAAGAGTTTTCCCTCTATTTATGAAGTAAGCTTCTCTTGCTTTACGGCGTTACATACTAAGTGTAGGTTGAAGTTCAATTGAAATAAGTTCTATGTCTGTGATGGAGTGGCCAGGTTACGTTGAAGTGCGAAGGGACTGCTGCTGTATGTGGCGTTTGCACGGGTTGTTTGTTGCCTGTCTATGTTCTTGAAAACGTTCACGGAGTGTGCGCTTAGTACTACTAGTATACTAGAAATACGTATTTCGCAAACCCTCGCGTAACTACGTCTTGCTCTTCATTAATAAAGAACTTAAAAGTTAAACCTTAAAAGTTCTCTAGCAGCTGCTAGAGAACGGACTAGAAACAACGCCCAGAACATGAAAACAGTATTGACTTTGTTTTTGTATGTGTCTGTACTAGCACAATAACAAATAAACTAAAATTTAATTACATTCACTCTGGAAAAAGATTCTTTTAGAGATGCCGTTATATATGCAGCACATACAAATAGTACAATGTAATCGTATATAATTAAACTTATCTTTCTGGTAAAAAAAGGTAGACGATGTTCTCGCTTTTGTACACACTTTAGAAACCCAAATATAGTGACGAAAAAAGACCGCTAAATATGAACGTAACGAGGGTCGATAATTTGGAAAATGAATATGAATGAAAAATATAAACATAAACGGTGCCAAATTTCTTCACATGCAGCCAATGGCTGAATTACGGGGGAACCAGGGAGGTGAGATCGAACGTCAGTAGGTAAACGCGCAGTACACAACCGCTTCAATCCATATTTGATCTCACCTTGATCACTTCGACCAATAGGCAACAAAGACAACGACGGTAGTGAAAACCTCGATCGCTAAAAAATGAATTTGCGTCTTTTCAAACTTAATCACGTCTATTTTAACCCGCTCAATATGTCAAATGCAGGCGACTTTTCCTGGAGTTTAATTCTTAAGGATTTTATTGAAGTTCATAAAGAGGAAGGCAAATTCGTTGTCGAATGTCCACGTCCTCCATAAAACGTCAAATTAGGAGGTTTCACGTCGTAGTCGTGCAGTGGACGTCAAAGAAATGTACTAAAAAGCGTGATGCACGTGCAAAGCTGTTGTTTTGCTCATAAAACCAATTGTTTTTTGATGTTGTTGTTGTTGTTGTCGTCGTCGTTGCTTAAGGTCCCTAATGATGGCACAAGTCAGATAGATTATGACACCAGGGTCTACATCCCCCCTTCTCTTTTCTTTTCTTTTCGTCCCCTACAAGAGAGAATTACGCGACAGAGAGGAAAACGCCCAGTCTAGCCCTTGGGATATGTGAATTTCACCAAAGTTATAATTCGACCAATTAAACGCTTGAAATTAATCGGAAGTTGGCCTCGGGAGAGGTCCGCAAGCGTTTGTTTCGCGGGTGGACTTGATCGGCATGATGTCTTTTCAAACAATCGATTTTTAAAAACGAGCAGACGTCTCAGGAATTAGACTTCCGTTTAATTACAACCTCTAAAAATAACATGAGTGAAATTCACATATCGTGGCCAACGCCCTAACATTCCCTCTCTGTCCGATTATTCTCTGTCGGTTCCCTACTAGAGTCTTCTCTTCGAATTTCACGAGCTCTTTAACGTCCCCTTCCAAATGATAGTGAGGAGGGTGAACGAAGGAGACAGGGCCATCGGCTTAACGTTACAAGCATGCTGCACAGATAAAAATCCTTACCCGCTTCACGAGTCGACGCTGTTATCACAGGACTTGCGTCGCTCATTCCCACTTTGTTAGTCGCGTACACGCGTAAATCGTACGTAGACGCCGGACGTAGCTCGGTGACATCCAGCCCATTGGTCTGCACCTCTTTCTTGTCAACAACTACCCAACCCTCGGTCTCGCGTTTGATTTCCACTGTGTACTTTGTGATTTGCGCGTTACCGTTGAACCTAGGTGTCCAAGTCAGGTAGATAGAGCGCGCAGTTGTTCCTGAGACTTTCGGTTTAGACGGAGGAGATGGCCTTTCTAAAATGGATAAAAAAAAACCGAAATTTGGTTAATTTGGTCCTGATCCACGTATATCTAGCATGTGATTTTTGGGTTGAAGTGTACTGTAAGAAAGCCAACTTTTTAGATTTTTCAGTTTTTGTTCGACTATCGTCTCTTGCCCACTTTTCACTATCTGAACGCCAGGTAAGTATGTCTATGAGAAAAAAACTATTATTTAAAGCGCTGTACAAGGCGGAGAGAAAAGGCTGAAGTGCAACATTGTTAATACCTTGGAGAAAAATCAAAAGCGATTTTGAACTCCATTCGATAGGGTTTGTTCTAGAGAAAGTCAAGTCTGGAGAATGACAGAAACCCTCTCTAGGCGTCCGTCAAGAGTTGACCGCGTAACATATTCGCTCTGCTTTTTCAAGCGGTTTTAAGAGTGTACAATACTGCGCACTGTACGTGAATCTTTATAACACACAGCTAACAACAAAAATCTTACTTTGAACGATGATTTGGAAACTCTTCCTGTGAGAACCAAAATGGTTCACAACCCTACACGAGTACGTCTTGGTGTCCTCAAGCACAAGTGCTTTCACGACTAACGCACTTGTAACCCTGTAGTATTTGTCTTCTGTAGACTTCGTAATGCTAACACGAGAGTTGCTTGACAATTCTTTTGTTCCGTTAAACCAGGTTAGTGTAATTGGTAGATTGCCCACCGCAACGCAGTTGATTGTGACGTCAGAGGAAACCTTGGCTGATGTGTTCGCCGGCGCAGTAACAATGGTAGCTGGCACTGCTGGACAAACGAACGCACTAACATTATGAGGTGATGTTATCCCGGGAAGGAGAAGCTGATGTAACACATTACATTTTAGAAAGACAAAAGTACAGTGAAACCTGTATTAAGTGGACTTCATATTAAGCGAACAACCTGTATCAAGTGGACAAATAGCTCAGTATATTTGAAACGCATCGTCCCATATATACTTTAAGTAAAACGAATCTGTATCTAGCGGACACTGCTATTAAAGCGGGCACCAGGGAAGGAAGCGTCGGTGGCCACCTAATACAGGTTTGACCGTAATTTCATATCTTATATTGTTATATAAACACCAATAAAATACCAGGTGAGCTTTCGCGCGAAAACTTGTTATCTTCACGTGTGAAAATAACATGTTATCTTCACATGTGAAAATATCACCGTCGCTACGGCTACATAATAAATCGCGCCTTTCACACCAAAAAATTATTGAAGTGAAATGGTTTGGTAGTTCATTGGTGTTTACATAATAAATAGAACATTACATCTCGTGTTGAAAAAATTATTTACTCGTTCGCTGCTCTCACTCGTGAAATATTTTTCAACACTCGAAGAGAAATTTCGTATCTCCGCGCGGCCATGTCCGGCCATAATAACTAAAGTTGAACCTCTACACAACGGCCATCTTGGAGACAAGAAAGTCAGGCCGTTGTAGAGATGTTTAAGCAACAGTCAATATATGGAATTTCCGCCAAAACAAGCAGCCGTTGCAGAGAGGTGGCCTTTGTGGAGATTGTCTGTATTACCTTCAATTCTCTCTGAGACAAACTCCGTTGTGTCCGCACATTAAGTCTCCTTATTATATGGCTGAGTCCGCGAGCGGGCGGCATGAAGCGAATCCTGCATTCTGATTGGCAACCCGAGCGATGATACTCAATACCTCGATACTTCTCTAAGATGCTCGCTCGGGATTTCCCGCGTTGGTTCGGCAAGGAAAATTTTACCTTTTGTCCGTGCAATAACTTCATTGTTGACTAACCTTGTTTGGTCAAGGTGGCTGGATATTGACCTCGTTCTTTTTTGCCTTTTTATTGACCTCAGCGTCATTTACTCGCCGTCGCTGTCCTCGCATCTTAAGGATCCCTATTATCCAACCATCTTCACTTTCCGCTAGGTCAATCACTGCGCAGGTTTCTCCCCAAAGAAAAGGACCGAATGATAGCGCAGCATGGAGAAATTCAAGATGTCTGTTTTTGAAGAAGGGCTTTGCCCAACAGAGATTCTCATTAAGAGAGAGTTCACTGTATATTGATAACTGACCTTAACTAGCTATTAATGACAATTATTACTCGTTTAAAATTTGACAACGACTAGACAACGGTGTCATTGGATTTTCTGTTTTAAAATACTGGTATTGACCCTACACGATTTTGTTACCCAGAAAAAAATACTAACAACTTCATACCGTGAACTTTGAGCTGTATTTGTCGGTTCACTACCACATCACTGACACCATTAGCACCCGTGCACAAATACGTCCCATCATCTTCATCGCTTGCGTTTCTGATCACCAGGGTTCCGTTGACCAGTTTTTCAAAACGAGGCTTTTCTAGGGGGACTGGGACAAACCGCCCTCCCACTGACTTCTTGCTCCAGTCAATACGCGCAGGTGGTGTCCCGGATGTTAAGCATGTCAAGGAAGTCGTGAAGGTTTTCAGTACTTGTTTGTCCTCAGGTTCTTGGATGAATTTAGGAGGTTCTAAGAATGAAAAAAGTCTTTTAACGAAACACGCAGAATAGCACAGGATCAGCTTTGAGGGCCCATTAGGGACAAAACTAAGTGCCGGTGAGAGAAGATGAGTTTGTCCCCCCATATAGGCCATATCCACATCTTACTCCCTCTTAAGCTATTTTTAGACTGTGTCGATTTCCCTCCAGGTAATGTTACCTCGCGCGACTCGTGAAAGATTTGTGAGAAGGAAAATTCCAAAACGCTAATGAATGGGTAAAAAAAGCTACCTCTTTTTCTCCTTACAGACTCCGTTATAAGCTTTTTTGTCACTCAGGAACCCGTGAGTAGTAAAATAACAAACTACTGAATAGGGTAACCTCTCATGCATTTTTTTAGAAGTTGGGCGGAAAGAGGGTTGCCTCACGGTCAGCCTAGACAAAGTCCAGTTGAATTTGACTCTTTTCTACAATAGAGATTAAGCACCGCGATTTTTTTCCCCGTGAAAGGCAGAGGGACAAGTGACCTGACTTTTCCCGCGTTTGCCGTTTGCCGGCCGCCGTTTCAAAGCGAGGAAAACATTTTCATGTTTGAAGGAAACGCGAAAACGTGAGCTAGTATTTGCAGCTCGTTTGTATCGATTATTCCTTCATTTTGATCACTTGTTTTTATTTACTATCCTTTTTCCACATGCACTGTTTGTAAAGCTAAAAGATTTTCAAATTCGAGCGAAAAAAGATGACAACTTCTTTCATATTTTTTTCGGTCACAGTGAATGGCGACCGAGAACACTTGCCGTGCAGTATACGTATTTCACTTAGTTTAAAAGAGTCTTAAAAGAAAAATTGAGAAAAATGGAAACATTTAGGTAATACCTAGTTACTTTCCAAATGTTTTAGACAATTTGTGTACATAGTTTCCAGTTCTGTAGTGTCGACGGAAAGCTTAAACAAACAAACACAGCGGACGGATCACGGCAAACTACAAACGGTTAGCTGACGTTCGGCTTTCATCCTTTGCTCGGTACTTAATGTGACTAAAATCATCGGCCCTGTACGGTATCGGAAACATCTGCCCCTTGGTAGCAATTGTTAATGTTACACAGATACATTGAGAAACTTCAGAGGTTAAAGAAAATGAACTTTTAAGTGATTAGACAAGTTGACCTTATGCCCCTCGCCACTAATTTGTAAGAAGCACATACTCACCATAGACAACCATCTCCTTGGAGACACTTACTGTCCCAGCCTCGTTACTGGCGATACAAGTGTACGTTCCAGAGTCTGCGGCGGTCAGCAGCTGTATCTGAAGAATGCTCATGCTTCCGGGCAACTTAGTGATGCTGAGTGTATCGCTAAGAGGACGACCATCTTTCAGCCACATGGCACTAAAACGCACGTGGCATGTGAGTGTCCCCGCTTTGCCTTCGTGCCAGTCCTGTGCGGTTATCTTAGGTTCTGGGAGCTCTGTAAATATAGGGGAGGGTTAAAGGTGGTTGCCAGTTTTTTTAATTAAAAATAAGCTAAAGCATGAACTATTGAGTCAAAAACAAAATTATAGGCATTCTAAAATGATTTAGAGCATTCTATAGTTTTCGGCTCCAGTTTTAAGGCCTTAAACGATGAAAAAATATTTAAAAAAATGCTTCACTTGCTTTTTGCATAAGAATTGCTTTTGGTTTCTAGTTCGTCTATAGCATTCTTTTTGTATACGTTTTATTTTTTAAATCACGAAGGAACAATCATTTCGCCTTGGATGATGAGGGTAATATCATCAAAAATTTGGACAGCACTAGCTTTAACACCTTTATTCATCCCGTTAAAAAGGCCTTTGGCACAGTTGGCTTGCTCAAATAATGAAGATGTTCGATATCCTCCACTTTCCAGCTTTGTAAGAGGCTCTTTACTTCAGCTTTTAGTTTGTGCCCAAATGAAGCAAAAAATTGTGGGAAAACGGCTTGCGTAAAGGTTTTTACAACGATCTTTAAGAAGCAAGCCACTTTTACATTTACGCGTAGGTGAAATTTGTGCAGCCAGGGCTCAGTTGTTCGAAGGCCGATTAGCGCTTAACCCAGGGTTAAATTTAACCCGAGTTCCTTTTTCTTTTGTTCAAAAGCCTGATTTTCTCGGATAATTTTCTCTGTTATTTTTGAAAGCATACAATCATCAACTTGTTGACAAAAAGAATTAAACTGAATTTACTTTTTAAGCTCTCATATCTGAATTCAAATTTCGCACTAACCCTGGGTTATCTTAACCCAGCTTTGAACAACCCGGCCCAGGAATGTTTTCAAATCAGTACTCGTTTTCAAATCGCGACTGCGCAAGCGCAAAGTTCGGCTTAAAAAGTTGTCTCTTGTGAAAAGCTGTAACCTTTCACTGTTATTTTCTGCAATTTTTTAGGATAGAAAGTAAGATCAATAAACTAGCATTATATCTCAACTTACCATAAACAGTAACTTCCACAATGCGTTCCTCTACTTTATTACTACCAGCCGCTGAACACTTGTACCGACCGGCGTCCCCGGTTTGTACACTGGAGATATGAAGGGTGTTATCAACAGAGACAGATTGCCGGTGGTTAAACGGAATGTTGACTCCATCTTTAGACCACGTGACAGTGGGAAAAGGGTAGCCTTTTACTACACATGGCAGTTGAAAAGGTTGCCCTTTTGTCGCGTTTGCTTCCGTGGGAATTGAGGTAACGTTTAATGTGCCTGTCGAAATACAAAGAGATGAAATAATTAATTGTTAAATATCTTACTATCCACTCTCATCAGGGCTTTTCAGGGATAATTTACAACACTGGTTGGGGGACATATGGCAGTGGCGGATCTAGGGGAGGGGCCCGGGGGAGCCGCCCCCCCTTATTTTCTTTTTATTTTAAGACCAAACTGGGGCCCGAAGGGCTGGAAAAAATTTTTTTGGAGACCGCCCCCCCTTATCTGAGGGTCTGGATGACCTCCCCCCCCTAAAGTAAAGAAGTGATGAGTAATGATGCGGCATCATTACATACTATAGGGGGCATCATGCCCCCTATAGTATGTGAATTGAGATAGACCACTACACTTGGGACTACAACCCCTACTCTTTACGAAGATTATGTGGGTTTTTAAACGTTCCACAGAATTTATCATATGTGTAAGGGTTGTGAGACAGGGCCTAAGGTTTGTCGGTCTTATCCGAGGAGACAAAATTTTGACCGGTTTCTGATCATGATTACCGATCGTCCCCAAAAATGGGTTATAAACTTGAGCCAGTCTCAAAATACCCAAGGGAGAAGTAAACGGCTCGAAACCGGTCCGAAAACATCACTCTTTACTTACCGTTCATGTAGACACGAATCACTTGCGAAGTGCAATTTCCAATATTGCATGCGATACACTTATACTCTCCAGTTTTCTCTACTGTAATTTTATCTACCGTAATGGTACTCCGTGTTCCTTGATCTCCCGGCTGTCCTCCGTCGGTAATCCGCACGTGACGTATGGTATATCCATTCCCATTATGCAGTCGTACGCCATCTAGGTACCACCTTATTTCCTGGCGACTTTGGCTGTAGGCTCGGCACCATTCATTGAGACTTTGTCCTTGCTGGAGAATAACCTGATGCGTGTCCGCACTGGATATGACTGTAGGATTACGTTCTGGTAAGAAATAATAACAAAAACTAATTGTGTGAGTTACTAGATCGTAGCCAGTCAAGAGACTAATAAACAACTTCGGCTAAGGTTACAAAATCAATCAAGAATGCTCCGAAGAAAGAGATTAACCTCCACTGAAATTGCATGTTACCCTGCGAGCATGGGTTTCTCTGATTCATGGCTTTTAGCGTTTACGAAGTCGTTCGCGTCGCTTGTTTAATAGTCGCGTAGTTGGCTTGGGGGCGTATAAAACAAAGCAACTACGCGACTGACAAGCGACGCGAACGACTTCGTAAACGCTAAAAGCCATGCAAGAGAGAAATCTCTGCTCGCAGGGTGCCGCAAGTTCGATTTTAAAGCTAACGTTCAGAAAACGTGACCATTTTCCTGGTACGTACTTCAGAAGACACATTAATGAGCTATGTAACGTATTGACATATCAAGTGAATGGCCAAAGCAAAACGATCTTTGACCTAACTCTATTTAAAAATTATTTCTTAGCCCTGGTTTTACAGGATAATACTGTATAAAACTAGCGGAAAACTTAATAGCAACACGTGGCAAGCAACACTCGACCCTACCAACAACCTGAGCATTCCGGAATCCGGGAATTTTTTGCTTGTGAATCTGGAATCCTGCCGGCTTTGGAGTCCGGAATACAGTTCAAAGACTCAGGAATCCCACTACCGATTTGAATTCGGAATTCAAGTATCACTGACAAAGAATCTAAAATCCACGGCATGGAATCCAGAATCCAAGACTGTGATGAATTCCCTTATACGGGGCCAAACACTGCACACGTCATACCTGCGGTGATGAGCATAGCGCTGCTCTGTATTACATTCAGACCGTTGTCAGCAACGCACTGATACAAGCCAAGGTCTTTGCTGTAGATGACAGCAAACTCCAGTCCATTGGGTTTGATACTTATTCTGTCATTATCAGTGAATTTTTTTCCATTCTGCAACCAGGTGATGCTGGGTTTTGGTTCACCCGTCACCTCGCACGTCATGACGTAACCAGACGTTGACGTCACTGTGGTGACTTTTCTCCGGGGTCTAATCAGGAATCTCAAAGGAACTAAGGAAAAACATTCAAAAGAGATCATTTAGAACTATGAGGCTGAAAAGCAAAAAGCTCTCAGCTGCGTATTTTACCGTATTCCTTGCTCTTTTTTTATTTGTCTCTGCGTTTTCACAAAAATACTATTTGTAGCCTTGGTAGCCTACTGACAAACACTTTCTTGTGATACTTTCTGTTGTGCTTTAAAAGGTGGCTCTACTCTTCTGAGTCTGTGGATTATATCGGAAAGTGTGACTATTCAAGTGAAAGTTATTGACAGTATTTTCCTATGGTTCTGTTTATTATGCTGTAAAAAGTGATTCTCACTTTTTGATTCTGTGGATAGAATCATGCAGTGTCACTGAAGTGAATGCTACTGAGTAGTTCTTTCCTGTAGTTACCATCTGTAATGCTATACAAGATAACGCTAACGTTTGAGCGAAAAACAAATCCTAAATTGTAACCAATCAAATAAAGGCTACGTGGCAGCAGTTCTACGGGACTATTTCTGTACAGTGACAAGATGATTCCAAATTTTGAGGTCGTGGATATATTCAAAGGGTGCGATCATTGAGTCTAGACGAGATCCTAGAGTGATAAAGCTGTACTGAGTAATACTTTCCCTTTTGTTCTTTTTTGCCATACAGGGTGATTCTAATATGTCAGTTCCGCGATGAAATTGAAACCATGTGATCCCCATGTTTTCTTGCACTAACCTCGAACAGAAAGAGCTATAGACAAGGTGACGGTACCCAAACTGTTTTTTACTTCGCACTCGTACAGTCCCTGATGCTCGAATTTTGTCTGCTCGATACGAAGACTCCCTCCAGCAAACCTCGAGAAGCGGTGTCCCATTTGAATAGCTACGCCATCCTTCTTCCAGCTATACTCCTCAACCGCTGGCACAGGGTACCCTTCAGCCGAGCACTGTAGCTCGCTGACGTTGCCCTCAAAGACAGTAATATTAAACGCGTTGTTCAGTATCCTGGGTGGAGAGGACCTTTTCTCTACAGCGAGCAAAAGAAACATGGTTCGCAATGCGTAAGTATGTGTGTAACTTGTATGATGTTCCCGTGCGACGAGGCCATCTGTAGGGGGGAGACCCCGTTCCGGGGAGGAAGGGGTACCCTCAGTCCTGAGATATATAAATTGATGGTAACTTTCAAGTTTTGGTATATGAAAAGGTAATGAAATCTGTCTCTTACGTATTTAAAAGAGACTTTGATTAAAATATTTCGAAACGACTAACCTTATACCTCTATCACTTTAATATTCTTGCTCCTCCGAAATATTGTTTATTAATTTTATTCCAAAGTTTATGGAAGGGATGCAGGGCACTATTTTTCAAAGGCATGAAGAAGAAAAGGGTAGCTTTTCTTCAATATAAAAGGGCGAGGGAATGGACTCAAGAGGATCATTCTCCGTATACAACTTTGTCGAGTAACCGCTAACGCCCCACTCACCCCACCCTTCTGGGGTTAATGTCAGCCATTAATCTACAATAATCGCTTTTTATACTGTGGTTTTGCAACCAGCGTCCAATCTCGTAAAACATGTACAACTATAAGTTCGATCGAGCTGTCAGTGAATCAAGACTTGGACTTTCCACGACTACTACATATGAAGTCAAGTTTTGTTTTCAAGAATTATAAATAATTTTATTTCAGCTCGGTCATACGGTAGTCATTAAGCGTTCAGTGACAGGTGGATTACGTACCTCGCAAAAACACTTTGGCTGGGTTGCTGACGCGCCTCTCTCCCGTCAAAATGTTCTCCGTGGTGCAATAAAATAAGCTCCTGGTGTCAGCATCATTGACATTTGTGATAACCAAGTCACCAGAAGGCATGAGGAAGTACCTGCCCCCCAAGGTGAGCCTGCCATCACTATCATCATCCCACGAAACTACACGCACATAATCACGAGCATGCTCTGATATTACACTCTTTATTACGGCGGTGTTTCCACTAATCACTAAGCTATCTTGGGCGTATACCATGTAGGGTTGAACAATAACTGACATTGAAAAAATGAAAAATAAGAGTCATTTGATTAACACTTGTCGATTATAGTTATCAATCGGTTGGTTTGTTTTACTTGTCCATATATTTTAGGCATTTACGCAGTCAAACATATAAGTAAAGGTCCTTGCTTTACGTCGGTAACTCGTAAGAGTACTGATTAGACTGAAACCTGAAGCCGACGCTGTGGCGGGTCTAGGGGGAGGGTGCCAGGGGTGCTCAACCCCGCCCCCCCCCGACCACCCCCTGAGATGACCTGCGGCTTTCTAATACAACTGGTATTCTGCAAAAAAAACTATGTGGTTTACTGGTGTTGAAGTAAAACATGAGACGAGGTTGAAGAATTCATGTTAAACGCCGTAAAAAGTGGTAGCTAAGCACGTCACGTCACCAGTCAGTTATGCCATTCCTTAGTGGTGCAACCCCTACGAAGAGAGATCCTGGATCGGCCGGAGCGACGATGCGCTATCTCCCCCCCTTGCCCCCCCCCCCCCCCACCCACTTCTCTCTCTCCATATCAGTGCTCCGTTGTACTGTGGTCACACATGGGAATCCAACTCCGAACCTCTCGTGCAGAAGGCAGCTCACTAACCGACTGGGCTAAGGCCATCCTCTTTTTTTTATCCGTTTACCGTCGTACGTCCAACCCAAATTTTTGGCATTTTCAAAAAAAAAAAAAAAAAGTAACGACGTAGTTACAACATTTTTCACTTGAAATAATTCTTTTAATCTGAAAAATGAGCATAGTGACAGCATAGAGAAAAACAGGAACAAAAACATGAACATTTTTCACAGTATATTGTACATTTTGTTAATCCAAATATGTGAATGTTAACTTTTAACGTCGTCCTGGGGTACCAGGGCTACTATTTCGAGACTTCTTGTGATTTTTGTTTTAGTTTTTTTTTTTTTCAATCCGATCGACCCAACATCAGGAAACGCATTCGATTGTAAACGAAGAAAAAAAGGGAATGGCCTAATCCTTGTTCCTCCAAAACCGCTAATTGAGTAATTAATCGATCTAATATCGCTTTCCCTTTCACATCCATTTTGCAAAGTGGAACAGAAAAAAGATGAGCACTAAAACTATTAAAATTTTTCTCTCCCATCCCTCTTCCTACCTGCGCGAAGCCTGGCAATCCTGCTAGCAATCGTTCCAACGCTGTTATTTGCGATGCACTGATAATCCACTCTGTGTACTGAAGGGTTGAAACTACGTTCCAAAAAGGCGGGAAAAAATAGCGAGCCGTTACGTAAGATGTGGCGCACTCCAGTTATGTTACCGCTGACCAAAAGACCTGAGTGCGCGATCTGCCACCTGATCGTAGCTGTTGGTCTGTCTTCAACCTTACAATTGAGTATCGCAGAACGATTATGCGCAAACTGGGTATCCGCTGGCTCTTCTAAAAACCGTAAAGCCCAGGGGAATTCTCCTGCAGAAGAAAGAGCGACAAAAAACTTGGACTAAGGAAAAGGAATAAAAGGCTCACAGAATTTGTTCGTTAACAAACCAATTTAGTTTTTTTGTATGTTCTAAAGTTTATTCTGTTCAGAACTGTACGTCCATTTTCCGAAGTTATGAAAGACTTTTCGCTCAAAGGATTTACACATTATTAACATAATATCGATTACTCGATATGACAACTCGTCTTCGTTTCGTGATAATCTTTGCAAATCCACACGAAATAAATAACGTTTTTTGCTGTTGTCGAACTCGGCACTACACTGAAAAAAGAAAGCACAAAATTGCAAGTGTAAGACGCCAGCGCCTTTAAAACACGCCAACAAGAATAGAGTTTTTAAAATCAGAGTTTGAATTTGGTTGCCGCCCACCATCTCACGTGACTTCGCTACAACTTTGACCAATCAGAAGGTAGAATTTTGTTGACGCCACTGCTGGGGCTACGACCTAGGTGTGTATACGACGCATAAATCTGAGAGTTTAATTTCCCATTAAAAAGCCACGTCATCAAGGAGATAAAACGGAAACAGTGCCTCTGTAACAGCTCATTTACAACCTAAAAGATACTCAAATAGTTCCGTTTGAATAAACAATTCGAAGATTGTTAGTCAATACACGTTGTTTATTGTGAACAACGACGGTTCACTGAAAATCGGTACCTGTAGACTGGCACGCGCACGCGCAGAAAGAACGACACGCCGCGATATGAGATCAATTCTTAAAGGAATCAAGTTTATTTTACAAGCTTTTCTCGTGTTCTTCTGCAACATCCATAGAAAACCCATAGAAAGTGTAGTCTATTGCTTTTATAAAATAGAGCGATTTTCGTATGACCTTGAAATGAAAACGCGCGAACAAAACAAAAACAACAAACGAACAGAAATAGAGCGATTTGATTGGTTTATCGAACCGGACACAAACTCGCGTGGCTTTTGCTTGGTTAAGCGAACGCTCGGGTGAAAAAACTTCATGCCCGAGAACTTTCTAGAAATCAAACGATCCTCGCTTTGACGTCATACTACAACACTATTGGCCAATCGAACAATTCCTTCTGTTTATTAGGGTTTTCTTCGGCGAGAAAACGAAGAGTTCATGTTTTGATCTTTTCTTCCACTGGCTAATAAGACAAATAACGAACACTTGCCGAAACCACTTTTTAAGGTCATTCGAAAATCGCTCTAACTTTTATTAGTTTCCTATGAGTTTACCGGTACAATAAACCACAGGTTTTTAACCAATCAGAACGCGCTTACTATCTCAGTTATTTTATAAAATGGTATATGTATGCACTTTATTCCTGCAAGATTGGATTTTCGTAAAAGATTGCATCGGGTTTCATGAGAGATGAGTTTTTGAACAACGAATGAGACCTTGCTAAATTTCTCTTTTCCAGGCAAAGGAGCTTAATTTCAATCCCTAACATTTCAAAGTCCTATTCACAATATTTTTCCATTGAGGGTAAAACATTTCTCGCAGGGCAAAATAAACATAAGTACTATTAAAAGACTAAGCTGAAACGTCAGCTGCAGTATGTAAAGATAAATATTTCGCAAGAAAGCAGGGAAAACAGCTTAGCGTTACTTGGTTTTTCTTGGAATTAATTTCTCCATATTTTCCCCTATCAAATACTGACTGTACAAACTGACTCTGTAACACAGAATATCATATTAAATAGCCTACTTTTTATTTCTTGAAAAGATCTTTAATATCAATTATTTCGCGCAGGGTTATATTTTTTCACGAATTTTTTGCATGACATTTTGTCAAATTTAATGACTGCCATTCAGAAAATTAGTCAAAAAATTTTACGATAAGTGACGTGTTTCTCGGTTAATACGCAACTGCCTAAACGACGGCATCGCGCCAATGGTCGTAGATTTTGCTTTCCCTCATTGCGAAAATACGGAACCTTTCTTATGGTTTTATATTAGAGGAGTCACTGAAAAACGCTTGTGTAAAGATCTATCCGAATCAATTTACCTTGTTATGTGATACTGGAGTAAGCCACTCGGAAGCTTTCTAATGGAAAGAGAATTACTCCCACGCAACTCCCCTATCGAAGATTTTAAAACTGATTTTATAGACCACTATGTTCCATTCTGAATATCACTACAGAAGAACAGAAGACATTTTTAAGGATAAAAGTATGGTATGATGATTTCATGAAACCAACAATAACAACGTTGCAAGAAAAACTTAATATTGCATCATACTTCAGTTGTTCATAGCAAAAGAAAACGAGGGGAAAAAAAATAGAAAGTCGTATTTAAGAGTCGATGAAAAACTAAAAGTAACATATTCTGTTTAAAATATCCGTACGTTTAAAAAAGAAAATATTCCGTGCTTAGCTATGGTGTTTACCGAACAGGATAAATAAAAAGCAGGTCATTTTAACGACTTTCCGTGACTGATATTAAACATTCACAACTTGTACGTAATTGAAAATTGTTCCTGATCACGCGAGGTATAAAAAACATGCATACACTCGTTGTATTTCCTACGTTTTTACTCTTCTGCTCAAGCATTATTTTTGGTGTTTGTTTCGGACCGACTTCCTCTGAAACTTTGAATTTCATACCATTGATTATAAGCAACTCAAAAGTGCTGACACATCAGTTATCACTTGTCAGTGATAACTGGAATTTATTTTTCTGTCCGAAAAATGTTTTGCACGAGTTAAGTATAAACTTGATTTTAGGGTCGTATAAGGTAGAGATTCACAAAAACAACTTAAAGTCTCTTCCGTTTTTAGACTGCTTAAACATGTACATACATTATTTCAGGTCAGTACGTTGTATTGCTTTTAAAGCGCTTGAAGTTTCAAATCAGTCTTCGTTGTGTTGGTGTAGAATGTCTATTACCCTCCCGAGTAATTTTTTCTTTTGTTCTGGACAGTTAACTTCACACCCTGAAGAATGACGCTCGTTTCCACTAAAGTTCTAAAGCAAGATTACTTTCTTTTTCTGCAGTGATTCCTCTGTTACCGGTTTTCACTTTCGTTACCCTGCTACACAGGTGATCTAACTTTTGAGCACGTGGATAAAATCCTAAAGTTGGTGACCATTCAAAAGAAAGACACTGAGCAGTATTTTCCCGTGCTACTGTTTATTACACTGTACAAGGTGGTCCCTAACTTTTAATTCTGTGGATGAAATCATTGAGTGTGACCATTCAAATCAGTGAAAGCTACTGAGGAGTACTTTCCTGTGGTACTGTTTATTATGCTGTACAAGGTAGTTCTAACTTTAAAGTTTGTGAGTGAAATTTTAACGAGTGACCACTCAAATGAAAGCTTTTGAGCAGTACTTTTCTGTGGTGTTAAGAGCTCACTGATTTAGAAGTAACGATCCGTACACAGTTCAGACTTTCGAGTCAGTGAATGAATCCCAACTGATCCAAGAGGTGTAGGCCATTTCACTAAAGACGGGAAATATTCAGCAGTATCTCTCTTGAGGTGCTACCACCTAATCATGCTGTACAAGCTAGTAATCTAACTTCTGAATCTTAACATGAAACCCGTGCCACCGAACGGTGCTTCCATTTGGTGCTGTCTTTTCTATTGCTGCAAATTAGAAGTGACTGTAACTTTCAGAGCCTTAGGTATGCAAAACCTTACAATTTCCATGTAAATGAAGCTTCCAACACTGTTTTTCATGCTACAAAGTTTGGCTTTTGATTATAGGACTTCAAGACTGTTTCTAAATCTGATTTTGATAGTCCTGAATTTTTCCTAGTGCAGCATGCGATCTGCCCTACAAGGTGGTTCTAACTTTTACCGGGTGTGTGTGTCTCAGGTGGGCGTGAAATCCTGAATCTTGACAAATTAAATGAAAGTGACTACACATGAGCACTTGATTCCTGTGGTGATGTTGGTTGCTCTGAATAATAATTTCTTGTGTTATACTATTTGCGATATACTTTTGGATGAATCCCTTAAGCGAGTATAATCTCACGAACACTCCTTTCCTCAATGATTTCATTTGTGACCACGAGCTGCCATTTTCTTACGTTTGTATTTCAACCTTCAGATTTAAAGTGTTTCATCGATTAACTTGATCAGTTTTTTGGGTATATTCTGCGACTATGATGTTTCGGTCAAAATCTCCACGTAAAACAATTCCATTTGACGACAAGTTAACTTTCTCAAATTGATTCGCCGAAAAACAAGAATTCATCTCTCTGAAGGCATGCATAGAGATCGTACCAGAAAGCAGGATTTACATTTTTCAGAAGTCAGAAAATTTTTACAAGAACAGTAGACACAGTAGTAACACTTAGTTGTGACGCATACCCCGGCAATTTTTGGAGAGGAAAACATTTTGGCTCCCACTCAAATCCATATCTTTTTGAAGAAAGCACTCATGTCATACGGCGTTAATAAAGGAAAATTTCTAAAAGATAATCATGATTTTTATTCCACTATCGTAATCTTGGGATAAAAGAATTGGAGGCCTCGATAACAATTACATGGACTTTGAACGTGGTTTCAGTAATACAATTTACTTACACTTACTGACAAAAAGGCAGGCAGGTTGCTAAACGTTGTTTTTTTTCCGAATCACACACTGTGGAATATTTTGTTTCCAACTCATGAGTGTTTTTCTGGGAAGCCCAAGTTCAAAGAATAATTTTCCATGAGGCACTTTGTGCTTTTTTTGATAGTGACCACAGAAACAAGTTCCATATAAACTGCCGCTAGATATTTTTTGTAAACTTGCTTTGTTTTGTATTAAGGGACATTACATTCATGTTTTTCAAAGCAGTATGTACGCTTCGACCTTTTCATGATTTTTGACTAACAATAAGATTATTTAAAGGTTGAAGTGATGTATTCGCGACATGTGATAAAAAATAAAATGCGTAAAGCCGATTTTTTTTTACTACTTTGATATCCTTGACAGTGAGTCGTTCGAGATAAATCAATTACTCGCAACATTGCAAGGCTTATGGTCTTCACGGTGATATAGCTTTAAAATCATGATGTCTTTTGCTGTGAGACAAGACTCATCTGAAGAAACCATAATTATCTGAAAGACGACTTTCTGAATATAAACCCATAGCCGCAAAGTGCATCTGAAACGCTAAAACCTGTCTTCTTATACTGATGGACTGTAAAAAAAAAACAAGTGTTTTATAAATCAGTTATCTATGAATATTTCGCCTTCGGTAAGCTGGCCGCGTTCAGGGTATATAAATCATAATCAGCTTGTTATCTGATCAGAAAAGGTGAAATTAATGGACCGATAGAACACCTGCACTTTAAGAAAGAAACATAGCCAACGTGGTTTTGTTTTTCGCATTGTTGTGGTTGAATTCGAGCAAGAAGAAATTTGGATAATCCGACAATAAATTGCAAATTATTACAACAATGTTGCCGCAATAAGAACAATTTACGACGAGTTTCAGAAGTCTTCGTTTTAACTGGACAGATCTGCAAAAGGTGTCGGTAATAAGTATCTTATAGTCAAGCCAGGGACGTGAGCCGTATTAACTTCAAGAAATACTTACTGTTATACAATATTTAAAAATAGTGATCCTCGGTAGTAAGGCTTTACTTGAGAATCAAAACCGGAGTGACATTGCTGAACATTAGTAAATTTTAACGGATTGTTCTCTGTTTTGTTTGAAGCCGTCATATAAAAATGTTTTAAAAATAATCGTCTGTATAACAAAACCTTTGGAAAATGTTATAATAAAAACATTCCTCTCACTTGGTTGGTCTCGGCTGACTCGGAAACATACTTAGATTGAAACAAAATTTCGAATATAAGCAGCTTTTGCACCTTCTTTCCAAGGTTTTAAGGAACCTAAAAGATTCGTCGAGTGTATGAAAACTACGGAAACGATGCGAAAAGTGATAAAAAATCAGACAAAACCCAATCAAATAGAGCCAGTAAAAGCAATGGAAACATTGGAAAGGTTTCACATTTCTCCCAAGCAGATTCGATTCAATTTTGCAAGAGTACTACAGTCGCTCAACAGATGTTGTGAAAAATTATAAATAAAATGAGCGGCCTTCCTTTAGGAAAGAAGGCTAAATGGCCTTTAAAAAATTGATTTTTTTACAGCGTGTAAAAAATCACGCCTGTTTACACCTGTGGCACGGTTTCCTGACTGATAGTTCTCTTGCAGTACGTGACGGTCATGTTTAGTTCTTAGCAGCACAATAAAACAAGTTGTGAGAGACTCATTGGTTTTACAAGAATACAAAACACCTTATGGCTGTAAGCTAATAAAAAAATTACTCCGTAAATGAGTAATTCGAGGGCGGAATATAACGACATAATATTCACCATTGTTATATTATGAAATGGTTGTAAGTAGTCTTGGATTAAAGGCAATTTCAAGTTCAACATTTTACGCAGATTAATCAGGTACATTTCCTAACTTTTTTGCCCTCGCATTTCGTATTTTTTTAGAACATTCACTGATTACTTCGGCAGACAACCAATATTTTTTCTTTGAAGATAAAGTCTGAATTTGTAATTTTCCATTAATTATCCCATACGCAAGCTTTTGATGTTTAAGTGAAAGTCAGTTGCATTCGTCAGACCATCTGAGTAAAAGCAAGTAGGCAGTTATGAGACGATTTAAAACATTTTGTTTAATGTGCTTGAATTATAGTCATGGTCTTGGTTAAAAAATGAACCCCGAAAACTAGCACAAGACCGGGCTGTTGCGAATATAGTAGTACCACAAAGCTTGCTTCAATTAACCTTTCCCTTGAAAAAATTGAGTGAAATGTGACAACTTAGGCAGTCATTTCCATTGAAGCCTTTTTGAAATATTCCGACATGTTTAAACTGAATATCGATCTTAAATAAATAAGAAAAATTGCAGGCATTTATTCATGCAAAAAAGGCCTTCACTGGGCCGTGCTGTCAGTTGATTAAAACATGTGCCTTTGACCCATCATGGAAATTATAATATCGCACCGTAGCAAGATTTAAAAACGAAAAATGTACAATTAAATTTGAGTTTCGGTCAGAGTTTAGGCCTTGCAGTTGGTCTGTTTTCCTGCTGCTTTATAATTGAAGATATCTTTTATCATTCCATTATTTCACTCTACGCGAGAGTAAACAGATTAAATGCATGGACAATGTTAATCGAAAGACTCAAGCCTGCTCCCTTGAAGGAAGCAAAAGCTTGGAAATACCTATTGCAAAAACCTTTCCTTTGAAATAGTTCTAAAATTTATTGCAACCGGTGTTTAGGGATATTTCATAAACTCGTTGAATAAGCGACTTGTTAAGACATCTTTTACTTGTCTTGCCCCTTCCCTGTTTCGAATGTTCATTGCCCTGATTTGCATGGCAAAAACACGGAAAAGAAACTCTGCAGATCTGTCGTAACTTCTTCAAAATGTTTACAGTAAGTCTTCTTTTCCCTGAAATGGCAAAACGTCAAGGTATATATTTTATGAACACAATTTTAAATCTGTAGAATTCATCAAAAAATATTTCCTTGAAAATAGAGAATCCATGACAACCGAGTTTTGAGAAAATAATTCTTGTCTTTTCACCAAGCGTCATATTTTTAAATAGATGTATAAACGATGTCTAATGGCGTGATACGAGAGTCGTGTTTACGATTCCTCTTAGACAGCTTTTTTTTCTGTATATTTTTTTACTTCTCCTATAAAGCAAAAATCTATCTCCTCCTTTTAGATAATCTTGCCATTGTTGACTAAATCCTCTACGATTATGAAGCCCTGTCTTGACAACTTCTGTTTAAAATATACGGTTTACAACTTGAAGGAATATTTATCAAGAAAACAGAATCAAATATAACTTATACTTGAAAATGAACTAGCCACATTGGTAAAAAGGTTATTAGCAAGAAAAAAGATTAAAATCCAATTTCAAAACACCACACCAAAAATTGGAAAATTTTACTGCTATGCCGAGTTTTCTTGTTTACTAGAATTAGAACAAACACATTCCTAAAGCAGTTATCAGAGAACTTATTAATATCATGTGTTTTTATTCAAAGTAGCTCTCATGTTTTCGTTTTACTTTCGAGTGCGCCGAACTCGCGAATTTTTGAGCTGTTAAATTTTAATTCCACGAGCGAAGGCGCAATCGGCTTGGCATTCAAGCCAAAACCGTCAAACGGCCAACCACACAACTCGTTATTGTAAGGAAAACGTCGGAAGCGTATTGAAGCTTAAGAGAGACATTATTTCCACTGACTAGCAAGTTATATTTGCTGCGCGGAGTAAACTTTGTATCTGGAAAATTAATAGCAATAAAATTATTAGACGACATATTTACACGTGGGTCAGTCAGTTTTAAATGTTACAGTGTGTATCAATACATTCAACTTACTATAAACATGTATCGAGGACAGAAATAGCTCCCGGTTCAAAATATATTCACCATACCTGCATTCACGGTGTCATCTCTTCTCATAGGGCTTCCCAAAAGCACAGCGAGAAACAACGCTTCAGCCCGTAGCATATTTCCTTCAAAAATATATTTTAAGTTCTGCCAGTGTTGGACTATCAAATCAACAGAGAATTTCCCGGTTTTCCGAAGTGCAATACCATTTCAAGTTTTCAGCTCTTGGCATACACTAATGGGTTTTCCCCGCGCGGGTTAATTTCGAAGGGCGTGCATTCACGGCAGTAAGCCTTTACAAAGTCATCTTGCGGCCACATCAGAATTTGGATTTTTGAGATATCGATCAGCTTATTGCGTTTATACAGGTGAACTGGGTCTGTTGCACGTGTTTCGCCCGCCAAAGGACCACACGGCGCGTTAAAAATCGACACCATAAAGCGAAGGTCATTCGTCCACTATTCAAGCGCCCCATTCATAGTAAACAATGACCAAGCTTTTGTAAACGCTTCTCGGGAATTTCATTGGCGCGTCGTTTTTGCTCAACCAATCAGCGTAAGAACGCATAAAAATATACGTCATTTATAAATAACATCAAGGGGAAGTACCAGAGGGAAGCACGGAAAAATATCAGTAGAAGGCGATCCATAGTAGTGCTTTGTTGCCTTGGCAATTGACAGGTAATGTCTGCCTTTCAAGGAAATGAATTACGCCACGGACACACAAAGTACCGTATAAATTAATGACTTTTCCGACACGTAAAAGGGTAGTCATAAATTAACAGGTACAGCGAGTAAATGCGATAACATCACAGTTATGTTTAGACTTAAAAGCGCAACCATAAGCACAGTTCATTGTTTGCGGATTGTATTAAAGATTTTTGGGAATTGATTAGTTAATGTAGTATCGCAACAAGTGCCTTAACAAGATAAATTTCAGGAAATATTCCTCTTGGCTAAACTTGGGTGTGAGTTTTCAGTTTTTGCAAGATATTGCTTTTAACCTAGTCTATTCCTTAATACCCCTTTCAATACTACTGAGCAAACTTGTAGTTTATTCAGCCGTGTTTGGCCGCAAAGGCCATGGAAGACCAGAAAAATCGAGAATATTCTTACATTTACCTATTCATGTACTCGACAGCGAATTTACCAATATATTTATGCTCCTTTACTTCATGGTTAGTTTTTGAAAAAAGGGAATTATTAAAAATATTCTATTTAAGAGTATACCACCCGTTGTATGTTGTATGAATAGCAAAACAACATTCTTCCTGGTTTAAGTCATGGCGTCATTTTTTATTAGCATACTGACTCGACAAAACACTACTTTGAAGCCGCCGTCAGGAACTTTGTAGAACAAAGCTGATAAATTTCCCACATTAAATATATTGCGGTTTTTCTTTGTATTCGAACTCATAAAATTCAACCAGAAGTCCTCATAATCTCCACTGTAAATATGCTATATATGCTGAGAAAGCATATTTTATTTTTACAAGTGATTGTAGTATAATTATGATAATTTATGCTTCCAGCTGCTCACAGACGAAAGTGTTCTCTCCTACACAAAATTCATTAACGTCGTTAAACCCAGATGTTTTTAAAACCAGCTGAAAAAGGCTAATTCTTTTACGGGAAAAGTCCAGCAATTATCCAAGAGAACAAAAGAGCAAGTCGTTTTTAAAACTTGTTTCAATTCGCATTACAGGAGGTCTATAAAACTGAAAATTTATGAAGTTTGTTCGTCTCAATTAACACTGTTTTATACGAGCTAATTTGAACACGCACCAAGACGAAACGTTTATTTTGTTTTTACTTTTTCACACATAGATATAAGAATCTCATGGAAAAAATATCATTACTTAATAACTACACCGTTTACCAAACTTTGCTCAAAGATGAAAAAAAATAATAATAATAACAAAATAAATAGGCCCGCCCGGTAGAATGATAAGTTTCGCTAGAGCCTCCAGCTATATTCGTAGACAGACGAGAAGTGGAACTATCACTTTCGGCGGAGTAAAATTAACATCAACACCATAGGCCGAAAGAAATATTATGTATTTAAGCCAAGATTACAATAGGAGACTGCTGACAAATAAGGGATAATTTAGGTATTTTGCCATATAAGAAGCATAGTCACATAGTCCGAGTGGTTGACAGTTGACACTGGCATTGCTCGACAATATTTCGGGGGTGCAGCAAGGACTTTTCAAGGGGGTGAAGGAGTGGGGGGGTGGGTTAATTCCCTGTCAGACGCAGGGTAGTTACGAGATTTGTCTATCGATGTCCATGCTGAGGTTTACTAAATATGACATTTTTCTGTCGGATAAGCAATGTACGTAAATGGAATAGCCTGCGGGCTGGCTTATTCGTACTTTTTATCGCGCGCCCTAATTTTCCCCGAATTGAAACAAGTGAGCCTGTTAGCATGAAGGAAGGGGCAGACAACCCTTATTCTCCAACCTCGTTCCCAGGGCTTTTTCCGAGCCCTGAGAACGAGGTTGCTTATTTTCGTGAAAAATTAACCATTATTTCAATTCGTAGCTTCATCAGGAAAAAGAAGCTTCGCTTCGGTATATTTTATTGTGAGAAAAAAAAGTCGAAGAAGTTGTACTAAATTGTGGAGAAAAAAAAATTACGTGGCGTAATAACAGCAAACATAATGAAACCGTTATTGGTTTAGCTCATTGTTTTCGCTTTTATTTAGAATGATCGAGTAGTTGATAAGTGGTTTTCCTCTGTGACGGCGCGACTGTCGGCCTTTACCTTGGGCTTAAGATAATTCCAGTCGCTTTTTAAAAATTAGTTTATAGAGATCACAAAAAGCCGAATTCACGCAGATTCGGTTTAATCATGACAGGTGCTTTTTAATTTCTTTTAGATCCCTATAGCGACTCAGTAATACTGTTGGGTAAGGCTAGCTTACAAGTGTTTTGTCTGGTCCTTTCTCATGACTGTTTGAATAGAAAATTACGTGTAATGGATAAATCACCTAATAAATGGAAGCGTCCATGAACAGAGGTTTTGCAAGTGAAATTTGTATTACACCTGAGTTGATATGATTGCCACCGTAAGGAGCTTCAGTTTGACTGAATCTCAGTACTAGTGCGAGAACTTTACCTTACCGTAAAAAAGGGTCCCTCTTCGACACACTATTCTTTTTAAATAGTGAAGAATGCCCAGACTTCAAAACCAATCGCACAGGCTTAATTTCGGGCCGGGGAGTCGAAGGAAGCGGCATATGCGTTGTTGATATCTATTCAATTTTAGCATGCTTGTACCATGACGCTTTAAGGACTCAGGACAGGAAGGTCACCTCCTCCCCGCGCTCCAAAGTCCAAATGTGCCCGTCTACTGGTGTTTACTCTCTTGCGTGCACAGAAAGAGGCAACTCGTCTCCTGTGCAAGCAATTTTTTCAACACGAGAATCGCCCAGACAGAGGGCGCAATAGCAGATAAACTACCTCCCTTCGAAGTTTAACAGAACGCAAAGTTACCTAACAGTTTTATCTTCCTTTATTTTGGCTATGGTAAGAGAATGATGATGAGTCTAAAACATTGAAACAAGTATGACCAAGAGCCAAAGCATCAACGTGCAATACCGTTATATTAATATTATACACGGTAAAAGTTTCTGTTGTGTGGGGTCATCCAATTTTCTTGGGCGACAAAAGTTAAAAATCGAAGTTTTCATCAAGTCTTTAGTAAGCAGGGAATGAATGCACTTAAAGACTTTGACCTTGGGCCATCGTACCTTGATGAGAAATAGAACACAATCAGCGGTGATAAACATATTCAACTTACTCATTTTTAGAAACTTGACGTTTCGTATGCTACTCGACATATATTTTCAAAAGTACCGTTACAATTTTGAAAACTTTACTTATATGATAGTGAAAAGGGACTGGGACCGAGATTAAGCACAAAACTTGAGAGCTAATCTATAACTAGGGCTCATAGTTCACAGTGCTCTCCATGTTCATGACATGCCGTAAGACATTGCATGAGTTGTGTCTCGAACGTTATATGTGGATGTGTAAATTATTTAGTGCTTGGTAAAAGTTAACGTGACTCTTGATCGGTCACATACTGAAAACCTGAGCCCTCGGTGTTTCTGGGACAGCATAATATATAGTTTAATTGAGATTCCCTTTATATGCAGTCACGGAAACATGATTTCGTTTAGTGGCTCTAAACCTTTTTTTTCGAGAAAACGAATTAACGAAATAGTGAAATAAAACAAAAAAAGGTAAGTCAACGAAGCGAGAAGCCCCATGAATCAATTCCACACACACATTTTAAGTTGCATTCAAAGTATGACAAGCATGGGTTCATTAGAGGTATTCAAAATATAAAATGGAAGAATTACGCGATATCGTTGGTAGGAACAGGGGCCTTTGCTTTCCACGTCCCTAACAAAGATGAGATAATGCAGTGTCACTTGCTCGTCGACCATCTCAGGATCATTGACCGAGACCGGGAACCCAACATCAGTGGCTTTACGGCTCAGTTGGTTAGTGGGTGTTCCCCGCTAACCAAGGAAAAATTAAAACGCCATTAAATGACTGCAAAAGATTATCTTTGAAAAGGTAAGGTAAGGTTCAATGGATAAGCAAGAAAATTTACTTTTCTTTGTTGGAGTGCAAATTACATTTGGTGCCATAGTGACTAAAACACTTATATAACATGATCCATGCATCCCAGAGCAGTGATACTGAACAAAGGAGTTCTGAGCTCATAAAATTTTAGGCTGAATAAGAGCCATGACGTTCTCAGCAGGTGGACAACTTCTTTAACAATTTTCTATACGGAGTGAACATTTCAACTGAAATATAAAAATTTGTTGCATTGAATGTACCCTCTGAAAAAGACAAAAACACACTTGAAAAAACACGGAATTGTAAAAATCTGTTCAAATAGCGCACTGTATTCAACTTGAAATATCTACATGTATGTTTCCCTTCAAATTGGAAGTTGGTACTTGCGGGGTTTTTCAGCAGACTCCTGATGAGCAATCTTTAAACTGATCAGGACCGGAAAGACCAAATCTCTATCTTCTATGCTATGCTCTGAGGTGATATGTTTTTTTAAGAACAAAAATTGTCGGGTTAAAATTTCAGTGAAAAGGTTACCTCTATGAGATGAACAGTTCAAACCATGACTGCTCCTTGCTCACATGTTAGTAAGTAGTACATGTATACATGCTTTTAGTTGAAGCTTCTTTTCACTACGGGTTCGAATCCCGCCCTGACCGCTAGCTGGATTTGTTCATTGTAGCCCCGAGTTCAAATGCTCGACCACGCTTGTAAATAGCCAGCTGGTTTGCTTCTGCCAGTTGGGATATCTTAAAACCCTGTTAAGTTCAATTTGAATTATTTGTTTCAGGCATTTGCTCGGCCCCACTAGCGTTAGTGCTATAAATACTGCCGAGGGTAAATAACGGAATTATTTATTTATATTTATTTATAAAGGAATAGGACCCACTGAAACTTTTCTTCAATCGAAGTTGAACATGATTCATAGCATTAATAACATAGCACCTACCTCGATCCACCGGCTATCAAGTAGATAAGTATTGGTTACCCTTGATTGGTTACAGCCAATCAAAGTCGTGATTAAAGCACACGTCACAATTTGTCAAATAACCTGTATAACCGACCACGAGAACATGTTCCGCTTTCGCTTTCATTTAAAATTACATTGGACTGGCAGAATCCAAGTTCTTTAGTACGCTTCACACAGAATAAGCACTAGAGATGGCTGGGCAGAACGTGATCTGGCTTGACGGAATAGCCAATGGTACTGAAACCGTTGAGAAAATTTCTCCTGGGAGACATGTCAAGCAAAACGAATGGCAACCGCAATGGAACGACATGTACCTTCCGTTAACGGCATGGGTCACCGCTACGATTACATCTCCGACTATGACTGTATTTTTAACCATCCCATGGATGGCATAGTAGGTAATCAAAAATTACAGTATAATCAGGGGGGCTGGCAGAATTTACAAGACGCCAAAAATCAAGGTTGGCCCTTAGAAATCACAGATCTTGCCCACTTTACAAACGATGGAGCCGCCAAGCAGATCGTTAAGGAATATGGCTTCCGAGGTGGGCTAAAGAAAATCAATGAAGACAGAAGCCATTGTAATGTTTTTGCAAAGCTCTCGTGGTGGAGTCCAGTATTTACAGATGCAGAGAAAAATAGCCTTCGTGGGCATCTTGGAGAAGTCATACAACCTTTCACTGATCCGGAAGAGGGTGATGACCTCGATGCCTTAAAAAACCGATTCGCTACTTCTGATGCCTTCCAGCCTAAAGCTTGGCGGTATGGAAGGCACTTATTTCGGTATGAACAAAACGAGTTGTGTGAAACTTACCGTGAACTTGTCGATGACGAGCTGTGTTACAAAATATTGGGAACGTTTGGTTACAAGCAGGAGGTTATGCATGCTGTTCTTGTATGTAGCCAAGTAGATGGCGCTGGGCAGTTTTCAGACTATCCCGATGTGTTAACGCCAGAGGAAGATATCAACAATGAAGCTGTTATTACCCGTGATTGGGATATTGGCAACTGGTATTGGAGACCGCAGGCAACGGGAGGAAGTGACATTCTCCGCCTTCAAGCACATTGGCAAAATTATCCGCGATATCGTAGGTGGGAACACGTGGCCTTTGCTTTCCACATCCCTGACGACGAGATAATGGTGTGCGATTCCCCTCTCGACCATCATTGTACACTTGGCTGGGAATGGTGACGACAGTGAAGATGAAGACTGGTATGTTGTTTATTGAGTGTGATTCTTGCAGTCTTTGGTGTTACTCTTAACGGAAGATGTACCTTAGATTGGTGAATTGGACATTGTCAGTGCTATTATATAGTTTGGCTTCTTTATTTTATATTCAAAGTTTATAATAATCCATGAGCGCGCTACCGTTAGATTTATTAGTACAGAAAGTCGCTTAGGGGCACCCAACGACGGTTTCCTCCTAAATACATAGACTGAAATACTTTTTAGGCTATCCGGAGTACTTTTAGATCTCTAGTTATGCATTGTAAGCGGCGCTGTAATTATAATTTGTATCTATTTGGTCATCCTAGGGGAACTTGAGTCTTTTCGAAATTACATGGGCTTCAGTATTATTTTTTCCGAAGATTTTAGTTATTACGAAAGTGAAAAAAATTACATGGTGTAATAACAGCGACAGTACGTCGGAACATAATGAAACCGTTATCGGTTTAGCTCATTGTTTTTGCTTTTATTTAAAATGATCGAGTAGTTGATAAGTGTTTGCCTCTGTGACGACTGTCGGCCTTCACCTTGGTCTTAAGACAATTCCAGTCGCTTTTCAAAGATTAGTTCATAGAGATCACAAAAAGCCGAATTTACTGATTCGGTTTAATCATAATAGGTGCTTTTTAACTTCTTTTAGATCCGTATAGCGACTCAGTAACACTTTTGGGCAAGGCTAGCTAAATAAGTGTTTTGTCTGGTGTTTGCTCATGACTGTTTGAATAAAAAATTCCGTGTAATGGATGATAAGTGGAAGTGTCCATGACGAGAGGTTTTGCAAGCGAAAATTGTATTACAACTGAATTGAGATGATTGCCACCGTGAGGAGCTTCAGTTTGACTTTAAGAGTTTTCCGGGTCTTAGGTTTTTTCGGGGTCTTAGTTTTCCCGGTCTTAGGTCTTAGATCTTAGTTTTTCCGGGGCCCTTCTATGAGGGTCTCAATGGGGTGGTGGCTTTTACGGTTATCGCCTAAAAATTTGGCTCTTTTACGGCTATCGGTTAATTTTTTTTCAGTTACGGTTAACAAATCTAGGAAACAATTTCTTTTATGGTTAACTCCTTTTTGCCCTATTTACAGCTAACGGTTAAAATTTTCCAGTTTTTACGGCTATCGACTTAATTTTTGGTCGTGTAACCCCATTGAGACCCTCTTTTCTGGGCCATAAGCCACTTGCGCATCTCCCATAATGCACCTTATTTGCCCTCAAAAATTTTGCATAAGCATTGCTTTCAATTTCTCTTGGGACAGCTGTAATAGCCAGGAGAAATGAAAAACAAAGGTTATGCAAAATTTGGGGGGCGCAAATAAAGTGCATTATGGGAGATGTACAAGTTGCGTATATGCTGTGTTTGCGCCTTCGCGCTGATTGCAAACTAAGTATTTGCCTCCCTTTAACAGAAATGTGGCAGTGTTTGAAATATCGTCAAGTGGTGAAGTGGGTTGAAATTTCAATGTGTATTGTCACGTCATTCTACCCGTCCTGTCCTTTACAATCACTACTGCGGACGTTCGGTGATTGCTGCGTAACGAAACTGTAATGCGAGGATAACGTGATCGAAATAAATCACACAGTCAAACGTTTTGTACGGGTTTTTAAACGGTCTGGCTTTGTTCAGTCTGGATCCTTTCTGAACACTAGAGATGGCTGGGAGCAACGATTTAATCTGGCTTCATGGAAAAGCCAATGTCCCAGGAAACCCTGAGAAAATTTGTCCTGGGAGACATGTCAGACAAAACGAATGGCAACCTGAATGGAACGATATGTACCTTCCGCCAAACGGCGAAGGTGACGCTACGATTACATCTCCGACTATGACTCATGAGTGTATTTTCAACCATCCCGTGAGTCACGCGGGTAATAAACAAGAGCACTGGAAGAAATTACAAGACGCGAAAACTCGACTTGGGGGAACAACCATGCAAATAGGGACCTTAAACAAAGACGTTTTTAAGCGACGTACGTCAACCGGAAGTGAGGCCTTCTCCCTTTCTATATGCTTTGACGCTAACAAACTTGTATTGCTGAGTTTCTTTTCTCTTTTAAAGACGATTTACCCGAGAGTTTCAACCAAACCACTCCCCAATGATGCAAAAAGTCCACTTCCGGCTGACGTCCGTCGCTCAAAAACGCTGCTGCTTAAGCTCCCTAATAAGAGAACTTGCCCACTTTACAAACCCAGAAGCTGCCCATCAGATCGTTAATGATCATGGCTTCAGAGGGGGCCTGAAGAAAATCAACAAAGACGAAAACGATGATGACATCATCGCAAACCTCTCGTGGTGGAGTCCCATATTTACACAGGGACACCCAACGGCAATTTTCGGGAAAATATCTGTTCGGAACACGATTTGAGATCTAGAATTTTCGGAGCATTTGTTGTAAAATTTCTTGCTTGCCTGCCTCTCCTAGGATTTTCGAACATCTACAAAATGGTAAAATTACCCATTTTTAACGAATTTTGACCCTAAAAAAGGCCACCTAGAATGTTCGGGAGCCTTTTCCTTGCTGAAATTTTCGAGAAGGTAAGTTTTTATCCCTATAATTTTCGGATCACTAGACTTTCAGCTAGGAAATCCGAACAGATGAAAAGTTTTAATTGGATAAAAATATGCCTATATCTACCGTTTGAATACTAAAATACGTTCAACAATGCTATGTTACGTGGTTTTGAACTATATCCTGGTTGGGTGCCCCTGATTTACAGAAGACGAGAGAAAGAACGTGCGCGAGTATCTTGGAGAAGTGATAAAACCTTTCACTGAAGAAAGGGAGGATGACCTCGATGCTTTGAAGAACCAATTCGCGACTTCTGATGCTTTCCAGCCTAATCCGTTGCGTTATGGCTGTTATGGAAACCACTTATTTTAGTATGAAATAAACGAGTTGTGTGACCATTACAGTCAACCTATCGATGGCGAGCCGCGTTACAAAGTATTGGGAACGTTTCGTTACAAGCAGGAGGTTATGCATTCTGTTCTTGTATGTTGCGAAACAGATGGTGCGGGGCAGTTTGCATGCTATCCCGATGTTTTATTCCCAATGGAAGATTTCTACAGTGAAGCTGTCATAACGCGTGATGACTTTGACAATTGGTATTGGAGGCCCCAGGCAACTGGAGGAGGTGAGATTCTCCGCCTTCAAGCACATTCGCAAAATTATCCGCGATATCGTAGGTGGGAACACGTGGCCTTTGCTTTCCACATCCCTGATGGCGAGATAATGGTGTGCGATTTCGCCTGCCGACCATCGCAAAGTCATCAACAATTATGGCAACACTTTAGAACTACCAAAGAATGATAATAAATATGCATAGTGAAGCGTCAGGATAAAAAAGAAAACTTGAATAGTTCGTTCTTTTCTGCAGCAATTGTTCATCCGAGGGGGGGGGGGGTTCTCCCAATGATGACTAATATGGGGAGGCTCCGCCCGAAAGGGGTTCTTTTTTCAGGCTTCAGCTAACTGAAAGGTTAGTGATTTCACTTGTTGAAGTTCATGAAAGGGTAGAGAAATCTGTCATTTCGGTCGGGTAAAAGTCCCCAAAAGGCCTAACATATGCATTTTATGGCTGTGAAAATGTCGAAAAAACGTTATGGTTTTGTGATTTCTTCATATTTAAAAGACTGTGCATTTACAGCAATTAAAAGGGATACAAAGTTCTAAAGAAGATATGTGGAAGGGGTACCATTTGTCAATAGAAGGTATACGAAAGGGGTACCGTTTTTGTTAAGGGGTCGGACCTGGGGGGACCTAATGGGACTTTGTTGATTACCCCCCCCCCGCCCCCCTACAGTGTACTACAAGTGTACAAGTGTGATGAAAGACGTAAAGTTCTTTTCGGACAAACTGATTTATTTCTCCCCGAACTAGAACCAACATACATTTGGCCAATGGACGCTGTCGTTTCATTTCTGCGGAACAAAATCCTGAGCTGAGCGTAAAAGTAACTTACTGACGTGTATTCCCTTGCAGGCATTTTGCCTGTTTCTTCTGGCGCTTTGGAAGATTTCTCCATTTATGTGGGAACTTCACGTTCAAACCCGAACTAGAACCAACCACAATAGCTCGTTTAACAGGCAAAGAAGCTCCCTTCCCTTTTCCCTTTCGCGCTTTTCTCCCCTTACCCCTCCCCTCGAAGCCTAAACATTCCTTTTATCTGATTAGCCCTTTTAAAAGCGCGTGAAAGATGGCAGGTACTGAGAGCTAGGAAGAGGCGCGCGCGTCCTCTTATCGCGCGTGCACCGTTATCTCGCGCCCTTTATTTCTTATCCGCCTGCTACACAGGTTATCAGCCAAGACAAACTCGTCAAACTTGGTTGCCAAATGACCAGCAGGTGGGTGCACGCTCACTTCTGAAAAAAGTATTGAAAAGCATTTTCACTTCTGAGGGGTGTTTATTACACGCTTTATTTAAGTATCCCATACCGAGGGAATGTCTGACAGATAATAGGGATTTTTTATATTTACAGAGTTTAGTTGAACTTCAGCTTTTGTGATCGTTGTGCCAGAAAGGTAACTTACAGTAGTGTTTGCTGAGAATAGCGCCTTTTGTCTTGGGAAGTAGTGATAAAAACACCAAATACTCCAGAAAGAGCCAGCTAGTTTTTTTTGTCAGAACAGGTGAGCACTCTTGCAGAAAAATGAATGACCAAATACTATTTTTCACGTTTTCTTTTAAATGTCACCAAGATTTCATTCGATCATTCGATTTCCTCTTGGTAACTACAAAGACACCATAAGCATACTTTCCACCACCCCCTCCCGCTCCCCCCTTCCCCCTCCACCGTGTAAATCAAATTCCTGCCTTGATTCACATTCCAACAAAAGTTTCTAATAAATGAGGCCAAAAGGTCGAATTTCGTATTTGCGATTTTAATTCTCACGTGGAAAATCTGTTCCCGCTCCTTTGCAATTATTCGGCACACGTGAAGTTCGACATTTGGAACGGGCCTAAGTGCAACATCTCTGAGTTGCACACCCATACAAGCGTCTGTAATTTTTCCTGCTACTCGAGTCCCCTTTCTTGTGATATATAGAGCGTTTTCCTTCACGTGGCCGGCATCCAAGCCAATTTATTGGAACAAAAGAAAGCATTTGCATAAGAATAGAGTTCAACTAACGGTGGATTTGTTTGGAACACAACCATGGCTGCCGTTTCATTGTTTTGGAACACCAATATGGCCTCGGTGACGTCATGTGAAAACGCTCTACTGGTTATTTTGACGTTGCATTTGAGACTGGGTCTGTGTTGTGTCGAAGAGCACTGTGGGAATGTTTTGGAACGAGTTTCCTTTTCCAGCCTCGTGACAGCCAATAAAAGAAGCGGTAGCTAGCGTCCAAACTTCGACATCGTTCCGACCCAGTTTCTACCGTAATCTCAAAATGGCAAATTACCCGTCTAATATATTTTACGGAGAAGACTTAACCCTTTCACTGCCGGAGTGTTTCATCGAGTTTTGTGAGGTGACTCTAACTTTTGAGTATGTGGACAAAAACCCATGATGTGACCATTCAAATGAAAGCTCTCTGCCTGTATTTACTCATGGTGCTATTTGTTTGTCAAAATTTTAGGAAATGAAATTTGGAAATTTGGTCGAAATTTGCCTTTGGCCACATTTGGCAGTGAAAGGGTTAAGTACCAAGGAAACTTCAAGACGCATACTGACCCGGACAAGCACGTTCCGCACTCTACAAAATTACTATCTTCTTAGCTTCACCGAAGAAATCATGCATCTCTGCTGATTTCTGCCCTGCGCAATTGATTATCTACATTTTATTCTACCGAAAAAAAATTCACGTAAACAAAAGACCGTCCTCTTGTTTTGAGCGTTTATATGTTCTATCTTCTTTTTGCTGCAAATGTATCAACATCTAATATTCCATTCTTATCTGTCTCTCTTTCGCGGTCCATCATCTCGATCCGGATTTTCCAAAATCACAGGGGAAATAAGCACAACTGCCGAAAGTAAACATGTACCAATCACTTAACGTTGCTCCGTAATCCTGCTGGAGGCATCGCGTTTTTGTTTGTTTCACTCGTAAGTAAATCACAAATTCTCGACATTGAAGGTAGGGAAGGTCACTGTGTGTGCATCTCATGCATAAAACTTGAACAAGTCTCTGTGTTCCGGATGCGGTTTGCTCGCAGTTTTAACGAGGGTCTTGCGGGGATTCGACGTTATACACCAATGGCCCATTAGCTTTCTGTCTCTAATGCCTGTTTTAAGGATTCCTGGTGAAGTTCGGTCAGTTGGCCCACACACGCCGTCCACATATCTGCAGCACTCTGCGAAAAGGGCGGAACACAAAATACATAAACACGAGAGGCAGTGTTTCAACACATATCAAACATCACATAAAAAGAGAGAAAAATACAACGGCTCCTGCAGCAGTACTTTTCACTAACGTCAAGGGGTTTAATATTTGATGAAATCAAAAAACACCTTTGATACCACTTTGACTTTCAAGAAGAAATTAAGGACACACAAGCGAAGAACATTCTTGAAGACTAACACGCTCACGGTGTACGATTTCCTTTGTCTTTGAGATTGAGATATATTAAGTCAGTAAAACTTAAATCAAAAATCTGAATTAATTTTATACTTTATTAAACATAGAGAGTCTTGTATTCTAATGGGAAATTTTTCTTACCATTACTAGAAGAATTTATCGAAGACGGCGTGGAAAAATTACCTATTGGTATTTGGTAAATTTTAAGTTGGTTTATTTCATGTTTATCGTGAACACTTAAGCGTGATAGTAGCCCGTCGCCAAATAAAGCGATAGATGAATCCTATTCCTGAAAGTAAGCTTGTGTTTTATAAATCAAACTTTGTTCATGTCTATTGTTATTCTTACCTGAATTTGCCGTATTATGGAAAGAACCCTTTTTCTGGACGCTTCATTGTCGCTAAGAACGTCATTTACAAACACTTCGCCAAAAATTTGAAGTATTCGAGGAAGATTACCAAGAGCAAGAGGATTATTCCTGTTTGAGAAAGAAACAGTAACGTGATAAGCATTGATAAAAAACACACTCCTTGGGACAACAACAAGGTTTTCTTCTCCGGGTTTTCTGATTTTTGGTACGAATGTCGAACGAAACAGGTATAGGCTCGACTACCAACCGCTGATCGGGAAATGAGCTCAGCGCTCCTTTCGGGAGGAACAAGACCAATGTCCGAGAACGGAGGAAATCGAGCCTAATATTAAAATGTATTGCTATCACGTTTGCCTAGATGCAGCATTCACAGCAGAAGAAATGATTTCCAAACAAACAAACAAACAAACGCATTAACAAGAAATCAGAGTCAAATCAACGGGACCAGTGCGGGAAGCCAGTCGCCAGCAGGTCAGTAAAAAGCGCGGGAAGCCAGTGGCTAGCTGGTCAATCGAGCGGGAAGCCAGTGGTCAGGTCAGTCAAAAGTGCAGGAAGCTAGTGGCCAGCTGATCAATCAAAAGCGCGGGAAGCCCGTGGCCAGCTGCTCAGTCAAACGTGCAGGAAGCCAGTGGCCAGCAGGTCAGTCAAAAGCGCGGGAAGCCAGGGGCTAGCTGGTCAATCGAGCGGGAAGCCAGTGGTCAGGTCAGTCAAAAGTGCAGGAAGCCAGTGGCCAGCTGATCAATCAAAAGCGCGGGAAGCCCGTGGCCAGCTGCTCAGTCAAACGAGCAGGAAGCCAGTGGCCAGCAGGTCAGTCAAAAGCGCGGGAAGCCAGGGGCTAGCTGGTCAGTAACAATCTAAATATTCAAAATCAAAAGGCAATAATCGAAATCGAATCGAGCCAAATCAAAAGGTATCGTTACGACCCCGTTTTTGTATAATTTGGGAAACGTAGCAAATACAGCAAATAAAGAGATCAGACCAGGCGTCAAGTCAATTCCAGTCGCTTTTTATAAATTATTTTAGAGATCACAAAAGCCGAATTCACTGATTGTTTAATCATGACAGGTGCACCGGAGAGGTTTCATATGTGGGGCTGTCACTGGGAAAATTTTGGTGGTCGCTTGCTTATTGGAGGTGGTCGCATGTGGAGATTCGAATGAAGCTCTTACAACCGTCACTTTAACCCTTTAAACCCTAAGATCAAAATTTGAATTCTCATTTGTTGCCCCTATTCATTTCCTACAGAAGTAGTGGGGAGAAGTTGATAAAATATCAAGCAAACTCATCTTGTGTGATCACATCCGTAATTCTCATGACCACTCTGTTTAATAAAGCATTGATATTACAAGGAGAGAGTTGAAGCTGATCACTCACCCTTCAATTAGGTCACAGAGGTAACCATACACATGTGGAGCTTCTTCTTTATCTTCTATTATCGGAAGCGCCGCGATGAACGCGGGAATCACTTCATTTAGCGCTATGTTTCCACGATTGTATTTACATATTTTTGCCACCGCAGACACGGCGTTTTCTGTCGCATTTACATTTTCACGACTTCTGGAGTCTTGAGCGTTAATAACTTGGAAAAGTAATGGTACTACCTCTGAAAATGAAAGACATTTGTTGATTAGACATCTAAACACTATCAAAACTGGCACTAATTAGAAAGGACAAAAATAGGCCTTATCGGAGTTCCAAAAACTCTCACTTTCAAAACAGCGTGCAAGGAAAGTAGTGTCCGATAGCCCGGGGCTAGTAAAATCTCTTTTTAACTTGCCCGAAGGGCAAGTCATGTTCTTTGAGGAATTCGAATAACAGAGGAAGTGTGAAATTAAGTCTGCTTGACGAAAAGCTTTTGGGGCTAGTTGAAATGATGTCTGGGCTAGTAAATGCTAGCTTCAGCTTGCCCGAATGGTAAGCTGTAAAAATGGTTTTCTTTGCACCCTGCAAAACGAGGCTAAGTGCAAAAACTTTTTGGGGAAAATAAAATTTATTTGCATGAGAATAAAAAAAATATTTTCACATCATTAGCCTGGCACTTGGCCTCGCTTTGAAACAGAGGTCTTAGGTCTTGCAACTACTTTTCGGAGACGCTTCTTTGTCGACTAAACTCGACAGTGATTTTCGCCGGTCGCTGGAGCGTCTTGGGAACCCTTGATATGTTATGGGGTGTTTTACAGACCTGCACAAGCTGACATGTACTCCTCCCCTCCAAACTGAGCCATTACTCCACAGCCATAACAAGCGGCCTGAAATTAAAGAGATGGCATCAAATACCACGACAGAACGGATCTGGCCAATCACGACAGAAGGAGACGATCAAATAAACCAATCAGAAGTCGACGCAAATGAACGTGGCCGGCGTCAAATCAGGCGCGGGAAAATGATGGGTACTGCTCCAGCTTCTGATTGGTTGAATGCATCAAATAAACTAATCAAGACTCGACTTAAGCGCGGGAACACGCGTGCACGCAAGTGATGATTGGTTTTACTCTAGCTTCTGATTGGTTTATGTCAACTCCAACGTCAGTCAATAATAAAAAAAATCAGAACATCGACGAACACCGAAGGCAAATAAATCAAGCATTCTGACATTTGATGGTTCTACTTGGCTTATTACGGCCTTAAAATCATTATTGTTTGAGAACTTATATGAAACACTCAAACTGTGTCTCGTGCTTCTCATCAAATTTTCTCCTTTATATTTTGTAAAATCGAAAAGATTTAAACCGAAACATTTCGACTGAATGGCTCAGCACTGATAACTCTAATCCACTTGTCTATGGGTGTCTACATACCGGTCATATGACCGTAAAACGGTCATGTGACAAAAGTACGAGCACTCTCTCTTTTTCCGCAAATAAATGTATAAAAGTTAGGGCAAAATCAAACAACAAGGTTATGTGGATTTTGGAACTGAGTCTGTCTTACTGGGCTTTGTCACGCCATTTGCTCCCTTTTTAAAAAGCTAAAACTTTTTTGGATCAATTGAATTCCCAAAATAATGGTCAGGTTTTGTAATTTACGACTATATTTAGTCATGAAACTGTTTCCTGTCGTCTGTTGAAGTTGACGGCAAAGATGGACATGAAAGAAACTTGAAATGATTGGGCCAACTTTTTCAAGTTTTAATGCTAAGTTTGCAAAAGATTATTATGGTCAGTGCTCCCTGAAGAATGGGTATGTATGGGTAAAGGTACTAAGTTAACTGCCCACCTACCCCTCCCCTAAGCCAACATTAACACTTACTTCTCAATTAGGGCAAAATGTTTGCTTAGGGAGGTGTAGGCGGGCAGTTTCCCGAAACGTATAATAATCCATGTTGGCTTGGGGAAGGGGTAGGTGGGGAGATTCCCAGAAATGTAGAATGATCCGTAATGAATTTAGCACAGAATTGACCTAAAACAGCAATATCCTAGTCACATAGCCACTTTAATATGAGATGCACTGACGGGAAATATCAGAACACATCTCAGAACTAAAAACTATGGGGAAAAAAATGAATGAAGACACCTTCCGTACCTGTCTTACGTCAGAGTTTCTGTCCACAACATAATTCATCATTGGTCGCAGAAAATATTCCTGGTACTTAAACGAAGCCTACAGTACAACAGAAAAATATTAGGGTTTCCTGGATTAAGTACCCGTAAAATTCCGAAAATAAGCCCCGGGGCTTATATTTTTAAACGACCCTTTTTGAGGGGCTTATTTTTGGAGGAGCTTACATTCGGAGGGGCTTACGTACGGAGGGAAATTCGCGTTTCAAAATTGATTGGGCTACCTTATAGTTGGAAGGAAATTTACCGTTTTTGCTTTGTTTTACTCTGTATTTGAGGGCAATTTCCAAGTACAAACCCCGGGGCGCTTAAATTCGGAGGGGCGATGAAACGGAGGGATTTTTGCGTTATGAGTTTAGGGGGCTTATATTTGGAGGGGCTTATACATGGAGGGGCTTATTTTGGGAATTTTACGGTATATATTTATTGGGATCGCAGAAGGTTTTAACTTATTACTTACAGATCCAGTGTGTTCTATGACGTCATCAAACACGCACAGGGACCACTGCTTGTCTTGGGCAGATCCACTAGGGGCCTGGGGAACAGAATTTTATAATTAAGACAAATAGCGCAATCGTGATAGCAAAGAATAGGGCATTCAGGGCTCATACTCCTTTGAGCTCTTCAAATTCCATGACTTTCCATGACTTATTCCATGACCTTTTTAAGTTTTCCAAGACCTAAGGTTTAGCTGTCACTTTAAACATTTTTTTCGGACTTTCCTTATTTTAGGATATTTTTGGACCTTAAACAAATCAACAGACACAACTGTGGTCCAAAATGCGTGCCGTTCGCGCTGTTCAATCACTTCTATGTTACACTGTCCTTGCCTTGTAATCGGCAGTAACTAACCTGCCACCGAAACTTTAATTTTCCATGACTTTAAAGGATGGACTATTACATTCCTCGACTTTCCAGGCCTGGAAAATGTAATGCTTAAACTCCATGACTTTCTAGGTTTTCTATGACCTGTACGAACCCTGCCGCGTGAACGAAGCATAAGTTCTTCAATAAATTAAGTGGCATTCTGTTTGCTTACTCCGTTCCAAATTTTAAGGTTTTTATTCTACCTGCAACGTTCTTTCACTCCCAGATACTTGAACAGGGCCTCTGTTTCGCTTAAGAAACTAGCACCCTACATAGTATGCGCAATCTAACGTTAAATTCAGATGAGTTCAACTATGCGCCTCGGTTTTGAATTTTTCGGGTTACAATACCAACATTTTCCACCAAAGAAACTGGATTTCGATTGGTGAAAGAAATGACTCTCATCATGTCCTTTTCAGGGTTATAAAACTTGTAAGAAATTATTATGCTATTTAATGTAAAGTAAATATCTCACCAATAACGAATGAAAATCAGGAAGAAGACGTTCAAAGAAGGGCAGAGCAGCTTCTTTATGAGTTCCAAACAAAGCGTGCATTATATCAGAAACCTAAAAAGAAAAAGCAAGGAATAAGTTGACCTATCTCGCAGACCACTACGTGTAATCAACTACGTGAACAAAAAATAAAAAAATCACACCAGAAATTCTTTTCCGTCCACTAGTTTGGGACGGAACCTGGTGAGCCATTTACCGTGTTTAAATAAAGTTGATTGATTGATTGATTGATTGATTGACTGAAGACCTGGTGCATAGATAAAAAAACTCGGCCAAGTTTCCTTCTAATTTCTAAAGTGGCAGAACTCACCTTACTCAAGATGTGTACATCGGTCTCGTGCTAAAGAGGAAAAATATGGTTTTAAGGATGTGAGTAAATATCAACCAACAACAGGAAAATTCAAAACCATAGTATATGGAAGTATTTGGGTAAAATGTGGTACAAAGCTTGGAAACAGATTTATTCTTTCAGCATTGAGTTTAAACGGTGACTTCTGTATTTATACTTTACTTTAAGCACACAGATAGACTAGACTGGCCAAACGCTGTCCAACCTCTCCCTGCCGAAAAAAGTTTTTTTTTGACCCTAGGATTTGATAGAACCCCTTACCTCATCTTGTAAATCTTCTTCTACTTCTTCATCATAATCTTCCTCTTTTCTTCTCTCTGCCGAACAGGTAACCAACAAATTATATAGAGTGTTAGTCTGAAAATGTCAGCCGTCTCCACAATCTAACCCTTAGAGTTTGGGGGGTCCACACTCTAACCCGTAGAGTTAGGGGAGGGATTGGGGGGGCTGACATTTCAGACTCTATATTTATAGCGTATGAATGAATGGATGAATCAACAGATCAAGCAAACAAACAAACAAAACGAGAGAACGCTTAAATTTATTTTAGGGAAAGTTATTCTCAAACCACTGCGGCAAGGGGGGTTTGCAGGGGTAATTCGCTTCTCACGTGATGTTTATTGCCTTTGCATTGTTCCCTTTGCCGATCTGTGGCCTTCATCCGTTCGGCCATTTCGTTTCGAACGGCTTGGCTATACGTTTCTCATCTGTTCGCTTGCCGTGTGTTCGTTCGTAAGGAACGTTTTCGCGTCAGAGGTCAAATTTAGAGTAAAATGCTGCAGATTCTGGCCCGATACCCTCCCACCCTGTTTCAGTGGTTCCTGACACCAGGTAAGGATTTCATTTTTCGAGTTAGTTAGCAGCCCAGCCCACAACCTCCTCCATACCTTCCAACTGCATTTCTTTTGGTAAAAATTACTATAAAATTTTAGAGCAAATAAGTGAACAATACTTACGTTGTCTTTCAACCTGTCTGTTCTTGTGCATCTCTATAATATCATGCAGCATAGTCGCAAGCTCATTAAAATAATCAGGGGTCATACAACCCACCCCTAAAGTCTCTATACACTGAGCAAGCGCATTCATGATCAATATCTGTACTTCCGGTTCCGGTTCAGCACTCATGGCCTTTAACACTTCCGGGCACATGTAGGCCCACATTTGCCTCACATAAGCCTCCCCTTTGATTTTAGCGCATTCTAGGATATAGGGTAAGGACTCTGCAGCTGCTGTGCGTACAAGATCATGGAAGTAGAACTTAAGTAAGGGAACCATAAGCTTCACAACTTGTTCTGTGTACGGAGCAAATCCTTCTTTCAGCTCCCTGGCATAACAGACAAGCATCTGACAAGCGGTGCTTTTGTCCTCCAAGCCGGCCGTCTTGATGCCAAACTTTTGCTGTGAAGAAAAAAAAAACTTAATTAACCAAGACGTAGGGAAGACTGGTCGTGTAGAATATTGATGAAATTACTCAAGCAAATCTAACTTTGGCTTTGAATTTTGTTACAGCGGAATATCGTCGGCTCGATTTCCGTCGCTCTCTCGGTCCTCCACGAGAAGAGATAGTTATAAAAAGACGCGCGCGTGGCCGATCGTGTCTGTTCGGGGAGGAGCGCGGGCTCATTTTCCGATCAGCGGTTAGTAATCGAGCCCAGCACAATTGTGGTCATTCCATCAGTCAAAAAAATGAAGAAAAGAAAGGTCTTTTCCTGTAATTCAAAATAATCACTAGTTCGCTAGCCGGAGAGACAGCCGACCTTTTCGCGAACCATCGCTAGTTTTGCTAGAACATGAAGCAACAAGTAGGTCTGACGTTACCAGTTCGCTTGTCCAAAAAGTTTTGAAAGATACAATGTACGTGGCAATTGATAAAAATGATTTGGTTAAGAGGCCGAATTGGAAAGTAACCCTCCACTACCGAGTGCATTGCACGAAACATTAGTACTCTTAATTTAGTTTTGTCTGTGAAACGTTTGAACCCAGGAATCATTTCATAAGTAGGTAAAATATGATCGCCCGGGTGAGTGTAGTCCTGAATAGAGCTGTTGTTGACAGTGACTGACTTTTCGACAATCCGTGCGGTTGTCATCTTCGAATCAAAGTGTATCACTTCAGTTGACGGCCGACTCTATATTGGCTTGCTGTCATTCAATGACCAGGATTAGATTCGTTTTACCACGGTTTCAGTTTTAATCACCTTACCTGGTCACCGAGAGTGATAAACTGCCATCCTTCATCTTCAGAATATTGCCCACTTTTGGGATCATCAGCTGTTAATAGAAAATTAATTTGCCAATGAATTATGATTCGCAGATTACCAAATAAACTGACACACGGCAAAATAAAGTGGGAATTGTGTTTCTGAACAATTTTCACTTTTTTCGTAAAATTGATGAGCAGCTCCCCTAAAAATCTGTCAGTTGTCTGTCGGTAGACTGTCGACCAAAAGTCGGTCGACAGAGGACGGACATGACCAACAGTCGGCTGACAAACGACCAACAATCGGCCGGCAAACAGCCAACAATTCATTTCCTCTCTGATGATGAGAAAATAACTGCTTTATTTAAGATGCAACCCCCCTCAACAGAAGCCCGCTTGATACGGACTCCGACACCTAACAAACAGTTTCGTTTGTCGTGACAAAAAACTCATATTTTCTCTAAAATTAACCCGCCGTTACCAGAAACCTGTTAATACGGAGACTAAGACATGTTCCCTTGTCGACCCTATTAACAGGCTTCTACTGTAGTTTGTTTAAGGTCACAAGAAAGTGATAAAACAAACCATCAATAACTGCTACTTCTGGTTTGATTGAGGCAGCTTTCATAACAGATGGCATTACAAGAGGAAGATACTGAGTGAATTCTGTGCCAAAAATCTTGCACATTCTGGCCCAAGCAGAGATCATGTAGGAAATCTAACAACATTCAAATAGATAACAAGGTTAGTAAATGAATACAACAAACAAAGATGTCTAATATAGCAAAACTATCCTAGTATTATTGTCACAGCAAATCATGCATTCTGATTGGCTGACGTGTTTGGAACCTATAAGCTCATGGATAGCAGATGGAAGAAGACGTGTACTGCCAACAATTAATCATTAAAACTAAAATTCACAAAATATATGATAGAATAGTAGTATAACTGTCTAACCAAAACATTATTAGAGGGCTCAGTCACCATCATTTCTATTGACTTTGATATTTGACTTGGCGCATCGTCCTTCCAATCCTTAATTTAGCAATAATATATTTTACAATTCAGAAAACCACAAATAATGCACAGAATAAGAACCCACTGAGATCAGTTACAATGATTTAAATGTTCAGGGGTGGAGAGGGACAGTTTGCGAAGTCCACGAGTTAGACAGTTCTAAGTAGACGAAGGGATAGGCAAGACAATAAGGCGGGGCTGGGTAAGGGTGCTTTGTCACTTGCTTATAAACCACAAACCTGTGGATCATCTGCTTCCAGTTCTTCCATCTCAGTCTGAGTCTTAAGCAACAATTGCATCACTTCACTGGCATCAGGCAGGAACTAACAACAAAATAATAATAATTAATAATGAAGCACATGGAAATGATTGGAGCTCAGGAGTCATAGCATAAGTAGTTGTTATGATCCTCTGGTTGAGTGTACGCCTGAAGGGGACTGTTGTTTACAGTGACTGATGTTTCGACCATGTGACAATGACAACAAATTATTATGGCAATGAAAATAATATTACAGTCAACTCTCTCCAAGATGGACACCTTTGGGACCGGCATTAAGTGTCCGTCTTAGAGAGATGTCCGTCTTATACAGAGTCAAATAAAGGGAATAAACAACGGCAGGGACCAACTCCAGGAGTCCGTTTTACAGAGGTGTCCGTCTCACAGAGGTGTCCGTTAATAGGAATCGACTGTATAATGAAACATAAAACAACAATGACAACAACAACAACAAACATCTTATATAACTCACACCTTTTCCTTTCCTACAGCCAAACCAATCAGGCTGATACACTCGATGGTTTTTCCCCGTAGCATGCGGTAATCAGATGAGAGAGCATTCTGCATGATGTACTTGAGGCTCGGCATAAAGCGATCATAGTAATGCAGAAACTTCTCCTCTGCTGTGTCAGCTACTGTCGCAATGGTAGTGACAACTTGTTCTAAAACAAGTTTGCCACCACGTTCAAGCTGTTAAACAAACGAAAAACTTGAGAACGAATTCTCCACCAGCTGCTGGAAAAAGATCATTTTCAACTACTCACACTTGTAGTTTGCACTTTTTATTTATTGCTAGTTTTGAGTCATTGTCTAAACGACAAATTTCCACTTCTATGGTGATAAGACGTGCATCAATCTAAACATCACATTCATATGACTTTTGGCCCTTATAGACAGTATTGGAACAAAATGCAGAACACAGGTTGTGGGTTGTACAGCAATTACAGCAATGCAAATCAACCAATATTGACTGGTGCCAGTCTTCCTCCATTAATAGCTTAGGTCAGAGAAAAGACATTGAATGGCTTTGTCTCTTTGTCTTTCTATTAAACTATCAATGCGTCATGTGGCCTGCATTTTGTACCAGCCATTTAATGAGACGTCTTCCTACCTCTCTTAACTTTGAAGACAAAACAACTTCAAGCTTGGTCACAATATTATCCAGATAAGAAGACAAGATATTTTTAGGGCAGTCGTCACAGAAGTTTACAAGGGCTGCAGCAGCATGTGCTTGTACACGGGGGTTAGCAGTGTCATCTAAAACCAAAAGAAGGCCTGGAACCACCTGGTCAGATTTAAAAAAAGTATATATGTTGCAGTTAATTTTTTATTTCAGTTAATTTTTGTTTTTCCATTGTTTTTGGGTATGGTAATGTATGCTAATGAATTTGAAACAAAGGAAAAACAAAAATTAACTGAAATAAAAAATAAACTGCAACATATACATGTTATAGCAAACTCCTGTCAAGTATTTGATTTGCTGTTTGTATGAGTCCATAGTTGTTAGAGAGGAATGGTTACGTTCAGTGGATTCCGATTGCCCGCTTAGTAACATCATTCCGAAGAAGAAAGAAACAAAGTATCAACTCAGAAACAAAAGTGCTCATCGCCTGGAAATAAAGACTGATAGATTTAAGAATGTTTTTGTAAATAGGCTTATTTTTAGATAAAATATTTGATCTTTCTATTATTTGTTTACAGCATGTCTTATGTATTTTTAGACTTCCAACAGCTGATGTAATTTAAAATATATCTTTTTATCTTAGGAGCAATAAAGATTGAATGATTGATTGATTGATTGGTTATGAAACCCGTCAGACTCTCTTGTTATATTTTTTTGTGGACCTGATGGTGCACAACATTTAATAGCATTGCTATCATTTTAATCTTATTGACCAATAAAAAGATGGCAGTAACTTATTCTGTCACAATTTGTGAACAAAAAGACAAAGGAATTGTGTGCCGTCTGGAGCTTGCAACAGAAACTGCATCACCGGTTGTTTTAATCTTTGATGTTTGCTGCCTTTCATAACAAGTGTCCTCTACTAACTATTATGAGACCTCTCACATCATGTGCCTCTGTTCTAACAAAAAACTGACCCATAATTTTGGGTGGCTTATCATGGGAGGTTAAATGGTACGAGGCTTTTGTGAATCAGGCCAAAACAAGGGCAGTGATGTGTTGTTAGAACATTTTACCAACTTGAGTTAAAAACAAGAGAAATGGAACATAAGGGCATTAGCTAATTATCAAGATCTTTCAAATGCTTACTTACTCTTGTATGGAACTTCTTTTGGAATCCTGGAGCAAAATCAGTGGACAGTTGTCCTACAGCATTGCAGGCGGCATATCTCACGCGAGGATGTTGGTCCGCAAGGAAAGGCAATACAGTGTTAACAATGTCTGGTAGTAAAGTTTCCATTTGCTTGTAACAGCCTTCACCAACGGCAGAGATTGCCATGAGACCAGCATGACGATATCTCCAGTCCTCTGATATGAAAAAAAAACATTTACAAGAAAAGGCATTAAGCAGCAGGAGCTTAACCCTGGAGTGCATGGAATAAAGCCCCACTTTCATCATTTTCACATATACCATAATGCACACACATTGTTTTCGATTTCTCTTGGGAGAACTGTAATAGCCAGGAGAAATTGGAAACAAAAGTGATATTCCCATCGCTTTAACTAATCATGAAGTGGAAACTCACGATTCTGTAACATCTGTGGTACAGTAACTATAATGTGAGGTAAAACTGCTTTTCCTCCCAAACCACAGGCCAGTCTGTCCAGGGAGCTCTCTCCTGCTACTGAGTTACTATCAACAAAAAACATTAAAAAGATCAATGAAAAAATAAAATAATAATAATAATAATAATAGCATGGTACTTCTCAATGATAGTTTTTTACTTACAATTAACTACACTCTGTAAAATATTTTTGGGGAAAATGAATTAAATTTTCATTATTAATCCTGTGTTAGAGATCAAAGGTCTGGATTTGTGAGTAAGGAGTAAGAAATCATCCTTGTTGCGTGAGATTGATGTCTACAGTGTGATACTTATCTGATATGTGACTCTTTACTTAAGAGATTGGAGAAGATGCACCGTCACAGAAATCATGCTGAAATCACCGTTCTTAAGTGTGAAAAGAATCCCTATCCAGTATGGTTTTTGTGGCAGCACAGAGGCTATCTGGCATACTGTGAATACAGCTGAAGTCTGCAGAGTCATTCTACAAACTCACTTCGCATGTTCAACTGTCAGCAGCTTCCCACTTCATTGCCATAATACAAAATCAACAATTCATGCAAACAGGATTTATCGTCTTCTTGCATTATCATCCGCCTTGCCCCTAAGATTCACTTAGAGACAGACAAATGCACATCTAGGCCATAAGGCCGAGATCGGGGCCAGATCTCATCACAGTTTCTGTGGGATGAATCACCTAAAAGTATTTCTCGCCCCCCCTGGATGGGAGGCTTGGTCATCGCAAGTTTACCCATGGCAGTATATTGCCAGTACCAATTTATACACCTGAGTGAAGATAGACAAAGCAGAGCCAAGTTTCTTGTCTAAACAGACAACACAGCAGCGGCAAGCCTTGAAGAGGTCTGAAGTTCAAAGTTAAAGCAATCAGCCACTATACCTCCAGCCTCTCCTAAAAAGAAAAGCCCTAAACAGGGTTGGTCCTCTTTGTGTACATCCATTCATTCCTACCTTTCAGCATCTTCATCATCAAGATCGTCAGAAACACTCCACTCAGGATCATCCTCTAAATCAACCATCATGGCCAACATTTCAGGAACTGAAAAAAAGTGTGGTTATAAATAAAGAAAGATGGTAAAATAATTCTATGAAAATTAAGTCTGCAGGTAACAAAGTGCATCTGAATCTGAGTACATCTGCAGTTGAGTAATTTGCTTGACATTATCCTCATGTAATATCAGCGAAAATAAAGTTCTCCAAAATGTTGTACATCAAGAGTTTTTACTGCTAGCATTTACAACTTACTTTATATTTGAGACCTTATGGCTTGATACATGATACTAAATGAACAAAGCCACTATCCTGGGATTCATAATAATTTAAAGCACATTAAATCAAAAATCAAGAAAAACTTACCTATTATTGGGATATGCTTTTGACATTTCCTGAGCATTGCTGGGGCTGCCAAGTAAATACAAACACATCATTGATAATGAGTCTAAATTTACTCATATGTTGGCTTCCTTGAGCTCCCATGCCTCATCTTCTTTTGAATTTTGTTTACATATTTAATTTAATTGCAAAATGATAACTAATAAGTAATAAATAAATAAATAAATAATAATGTATGCAAAGAAACTTGTCGATCATTTTTTGAGTGTACAATGCACACGTACATGTTTTAACGAGAGCTTTAGTGCTCCTGGGTGTTACGTGTTTAAATAAAGGATTTGATTGATTTGAAGGATTTCTCTATCAGCTACGTTAACAAATCTAGTCCTATTCCTGCCCAGTAGGAAGGTCAAAAAAAAGATTTTTGGGTCACGAATGTTTGTATACTGAAGCCTAACAAGCTAATGTCAACAGTTTTTCCACTCCATATGTACAGACCTGTTTCAGCCAATGTAACAACACACTCTAATGACAAGTGCCTCCAACTTTCAACAAGATTTGTGTTGCGCACAATCTGCAAATTGAATTAATAAGACTTAATACAAAGCTTAAGTTTCTGTTTTCAACTAGAAGAGAGAAAACTGTGAGACCTACAAAATGACAAGCAAGAACTAGAGAGCCAGGAGTTGCACAGGATAGCATATTATGAGAACAACTACACCATGAAAACAACGGAACTATGACAACAACAAGAACCAAAACCTTTGAATCAAAAAACAACTGGGGTGGGACCATGATAACCAGAGCAAAAGAGACATGTAAGCTGCAATGAATGAGTGATAAAGGATGAGGAATGGAGGGAACTAATAAATAAATTAATAACTAAATAATATATGTATTTTAAATAACAAAATGATGTCCAATTACAAACACAGAAAATGAAAAACTAGAGTGTACCAGGTAAAAAAACCTCTTTAGGAAAAAAGATAACCTAGTTAAAAAATCATCACTACCATCAGGTCAATGGTGTGACCATCACCAGTGTCTTCAACACTGGTGTCACTCTCTGGTGACACTGGTCTTATGAGGCAGGATCTTCCATCTGTCATAGCTAACAGACGTGAATGGGACAGACTTATCAAATCAGTGTGGGTGCGTCCGAAATAGATACATGTAGATCATCAGGTCTGTTTCTCCATGTGGAGAACGGGACAAGAAATCATGCTAATTAACTTCACCTGTCTCTATCCCAGGCCACAGTGGAGGCCTTAGCCAATAAAACTTAAAATAAAATATTTCACTACAACATTAAGGACAACACACTGTACCTCTAGCATAAGATCCAAAATAGGTTCTAAATTTGCTCTGAGAAGCTTGGGACATGTATCTGCAAGGTCAATCAGACATTTCAACACTGAATCATCAGTACTTGCTTGAACACTCTCCCGAACCGCCTGCAAGAATAACACACACAAACAAAAATTAATGTACCTAGTACAAATGAAGATAGCCTACTGGCCTGAAAGATACTGGTATAATACTCAAACTTGTCTTATCCTACTAATAATGTAAACAATATTACTATTATACACATTACAAAGATGAAAGAATTTTAAAAAAATCAATATTATTGAATGTACAATCATATTAGTCACTTTAACATAAAATATTACATGTATCTCTTTCTCCCTCAGCTTTACAATAACTTACTAACTTGCACACTACCTCAGTTAGCATAGAATGGAAACAACAAAAATTACATTGACACTTTTTAGATTCTTTGGGGATGCTACATATGTTAGATCTGTTACATCGCTTACCTGTACTATTCCTGGTACAAGATCGACAAATTGTCTCTGTTTTATCTCTTCAACCTGATCTGTTATAAAAGCAACTGAAGCACGCGCTGACATAAAGCGAACCTGAAGACAAAAACAGTCGCACAGAGCAGTGAGCACCATAAAAAACACAAGAATTATAATACAGTTGAACCCCCATTAAGAGGCCAGTAATCAAAGTCCCACAATAATTATTTGTAAATTAAACCTCTATTAAGCCGCCAGAGCCACGTTGTTGCCATGCCAACAGAGTTCTCTCATTGTTGTCACTTCTATCTACTACGCAGCCATCAAGCGCTTGATGCGATTTGTTTGGATTTATTCTAACTATAATGATGAAGGAAACTACAGACCAGGGCCCGGTTCCTCAAAGGCCGATTAGCGCTGAACCAGGATTAAAATTTTGTTCTACATAATTTTGTATTGCTTAGAGTAACATTTTGTGTTATCATAACTTCATCTCAGTGTAAAGGTTCAACAGTATTTTGTGAGCTTGAGTTACATGTTCTTAGACAAGAAAACCCTGCTTAAAAAACTTAACCATCTTTTCAGGAACTGGGCCCAGAATAATCTGACCAAAAATTGTGGACCAGTAATACCACTCCCACCGTGTGTTAGTTTAAAATAATGTGATGTTTTAGTTACAGATTATGATTATTTATGACAATTTTCTATTGAACAGCAATCATTCATACTGTACCTGTTGGCACGTCTGATCCTGCAAACACTGCCATAACATCTGTTTAATAACCTGCAAATAATGCTCCTGTTGTGTTCCAAATATTCCAGGGAATGATCTGCAAAACAGCCCACACTAGTTACACGTAATTCGCTCGATGTCTACTTTCATTGAATAAACAGCTGTGAGAGCTTTTGATTTTATCTTTAATGCATTTATATGTAATAACTTTGAAGGAGCAAACAACAAATAGAACCAACAGTGCTTGAGGTCAGTCTGGAAACACACACTGTTTTTTAGCTCGCTTTCTTCACTGAAAAGTTTCATCAGCTAGAGTACGGTTTGAGTAGTTTTCCCTCTTTTTTCTTTCCATTGATATTACTGTGTGTTGTGTGTCTAACAAGCCAAATTTTTTTTAAAGTTCATTTTGATTTATTCTACATTGATTATCTATAATACTAATTTTCTCCTAGCCCTAAGGGACAAAGGAATTGAGAATCAACCTAGGCAAGAAATTTTAATCTGAAATCAAACTTGACCTGCAACAGGTGCTTGGCTGGGTTCCGGGGTTGTGCCAGGCATGGGGGAAATATTCAGTCTAAAGGACGGCTGCCCAATAGGGACGCCTGGCTATTCCAAGCACCCAACCTCCATTAAGTGATGTAGTTGTCAAATGTGGGAAATAAAGGCAAATAATTGCATTGTATAAACAGAATGAATTTTGGCAGAATCGCAAAACAATGGGGAGTCTGTATTAAAATACTACAATTCTCTTATACCTTGTGTTTTTAAAACAAGAAATATTATTTTCCTTGATGTTGCATAACTGGGTATCCAACTGGGGGACCAGTATAAATATTAAATTTTCCTGTGGCACAAAACTAAACAGTTGTTGCAAGAGGCATTTGACTGCAGCTAGACCACAGAATTTATTTTTAGTGTCAATTTCATCAGCACTAAACTCTTGGACTAAACCATGGTGTTAATATACCGTAAAATTCCGAAAATAAGCCCCTCCAAATATAAGCCCCCCAAACTTGTAACGCAAAAAAACCACCGTTAAGTCGCCCCTCCAAATATAAGCTCCCCAGGGGCTTGTACTTGGAAATTGCTCTCGAAAACAAAGTAAAACAAAGCAAAAATGGTAAATTTCCTTCCAACTAGAAGGCTAGCCCAATCAATTTTGAAATGCAAATTTCCCTCCACATATAAGCCCCTCCAAAAATAACCCCCTCAAAAAGGGTCTTTGAAAAATATAAGCCCTGGAGCTTATTTTCGGAATTTTACGGTAAATTTTATACACAATATTTGGTTTTTAAAAGCCAAATAAATAAGAATGTCTAAACTTACACAAAAATATGAAGTGCACTTTCTTTCAGCTCCGATTTAGTTGAGTTGCAACAGCCAAAAAGAAATTTCAGCAGCTCTTGCCAATGATTGTAACCTTCTTCATCTGAAAAAATGAAAACAGAAGTCTAAAATGTTCAAGAGAGAAAAAAAACAACAGACAAAACGATGGAGATGGTAAAAACATCCTTTCCATGATCATTGTCTTCTATACCTTTGAACACTGGATTTCCACTTATAATTCCCGTGTTCACAATGTTTGACTAAGCAGTCATATCATTGGAAGAAATTATTCAAGGTTTATGCTGACTGGAGACAGGTTTTCTTTTCCACAAAATAAATAAAAACAGACAAGTATCTCCTAATGTGGATTTTATTTGATGCGTTGAAAGGTGCGTGCAATCCAGCATGAAACTAGCACAAATTTCCCTTCAGCAAATAATAAAACTACCGCATACTACTGAAAAAATTTCAGACTGAGTCTAATCTTCGAAATGCCAATCCAATAAATACTCTGTATATTTGCACAAAATACTGGGTTCCTGAACTATTAGAAGGTTTCTGCTTACCAAAAAAGCTGCTTTAACAATGTCTGCTTTATTCGCAAAGATCAATAAATAAAATTTAAAGACTATTGTCAGAACTTGAAGGACTTTAATTTCCCATGTCCCAATTCTCAAAAGTGCCGATAACTACATGCGAGTGGGCGTGGAAAGCTGTTCTTGTTTACATTTAAGATCAAGACTTCAAATGATTGGCAGATGACATGATAAAACTATTAGTTAACAAAAACAAAATGGACTGGTTTGTTGGCTAGGACTCCTGTTTTTATTTTTTAGATTTGGATTTGAATAATTTTTCATCTGTTTTTGGACTTAAAATGTTTCTGGGACAGTCAAAAATGGGCCACTGGCCTTTGCAGGGCATGTTTGAACTGAACACTGTAACTCACCAAGAAGACTCCTAGACAACTCAGCCACAGCATCACAAATCTTTTTCCGCACTGTAGGAATCTGTTCCTCCTCGATGGCCTTCAGCAAACCATCCTTCATTCCCTGCTGCAAGGTTGGGTCGAGTTTCTCATAAAAGTCCACCGAACTGGAGAAGATTCTCCGCAGAAGTACAGCTGACATTTGACGAACCTTTGATTTATATAACATGTAAGTTTTAAGTTTACAACTGTCCTTTTAATGAGTTCTAAACATGTCATAGTAACTGAAAGGGTGGAACACAAATTGATGACTAGAAAATCACAAGTTAGCATCATTAAAGAGTGGTTACATTACAGAGAAGGACACCTAAAAAACTTGTTTTTGCCTTATTCACCAATATCGGCATAAAAATTATATATGAACTGTTAGAAAACAGTGACTTTCCTAAAATTAAAACATTAATTTTACATGTAGAAAAGCAAAGCCAATGATATGCTGAAAGTTATATTATTAACATATGTTGCAGTAAATTTGATTTGAGCGGGACTAACACCAACTTTCAATGGCACAAGTATTGTCAGAAAATGTGAACTTGGAATAAATGATTGTTGGAAATAATTAATTTTTGGAACAAAACCATGGTGTGAAGGCTGACTGGGATTTTATCTGTGTAACTCTGTAACATTTAGGAGTGACTGGTTTTGTGGTGCGGTCCTGATTGTCAGTTTTCAGCCTTGTGCAAAAGTTGACTGAAATAAAGCTCTCACACTACAACTTTTTAGACAAACGTTTTTAAACTCCCATACAAATGCTTATTTATATTTTGCAACCAAGAAGACTTCAGACAACCCTGGGAATCCTGTAACTGTTTTAATGCCTTTGAATATTTGATTGGAGTGAGTACTGCTTCAACAGACATGTGTATGCTCTAATAAATCTCACCTCAGGGATTCCTGATGTCTTTATCATTTGAATAAGGAAACTAATTTTTGTTGGCTCAACAATAGTATCATAATGTGCCTGTCAAGAAGAAAAGCAAGAGGCAGGCTATTTTATAACACACAATATTCAACCATTACAAGTAAAAATTATATAGCAAATGAAATTTTGGTCTAAAAGAAAACTTCATATAATGACACACAAGATAATCTAATGATCCAAAATGTCTGATAGGTTGCCACAGTCTTGTAACTTTGATTCAAGTATGCTTTTGTGGTTTCCATGGCAACTATGTAAATAGAAGTCACCATTAGTACAATGTATGGTGAAGTTAAGTAAAATTAAAAGAAACCAGCGTTTCAGTTTTTTTCAAAAACTACATCCATGTTGCCCAAGGCAACAGTTAGTTGCCACAGATCCCTGGGTATTGGTACAAACATTCCTGCATTCAGTGGAATATTACATGTAATTTTAGAGTACCATGTCAAGACTGGTTCCATGCACTGGTTTAAGGAAGCATTCACAGTTTGTGCCTAGGCACAGTGCCCAAGTAGGGTACTCGCAGAGCACTAATGTGAACACAGCAGGGCTCGAAGTCAATGACTAACTGGTTGCATATGTGACTGGATTTTTGGTTGTGTGCCTAAAAATTCATGTGTAATCGCACCTGTGCGCCATAAAACCCAAAGCACTGTGCGACTGACTTGCTTCCAACCATACTTACATACTTGAACTAGAAAGAGGATTAACAGTAGCTTCAAGCATTGAAAGTAAACGTAATGTAGAAATAGCAAAACCAGGTTCTAAATAATAAGTTACATTGTTTTCCTTTCATATGTGTATGTTTAATTCGCCTTTTCTCCTAATGGATTCCACGAACTCGAATGTTCATTTTTGTTTCAATGTTTACTCTATCCCAGACTCTTCTGTTTTGTAATAAACGCCGCCGACACATGCAAATATGCTACGAATGAAACACATGCTTTTTGCACAATGGATGACCATGTCGAACATTCAGTTTTAAGGTCAATCAAAAACACAGTACAGATTAAGAGCCTTCTTTTCCAGGTGAGAAAGTTTTTAAGTCATGTCCCAGTTACATGTAAGTTACTGCCCATTTCACAAATTCATTAAAGATTAATTTTCAATCTCGTTGGACACACTCATTGTTGTCAGTTTTGAATTTTTTTTTAAGTGTATGTTTTCTTTAGTCACATCTGTACTGTCAAAAAGAGAAATTAGTATTAAAAATCACAACAGTATTACTGCGTATCAAATCTGCTACATTTTATCAATCACAGGACTGAAAAAAAAGTAACAAACTCAAGATGACATATAAACTTGGCACTGTTAAGCTTTTTGCTTTTCCTTTTGAAATAGATACTCCCAACATTATAAGCTGTGCTCCTCAATTTTTCAGCTGTGCACCTAAAATTTCGGCAGCGCGCCTAAAAATTTACATCTGGTAGCACAAGTGCTCCCAAACTCAAATTTAAACTTTGAATCCTGCACAGCCTTTTTTCAAGTACCAACACTAGAACTTGAAAATGATGCCAGAAATGTGCGCACAGGGAACCTGTGTGCACAGCATTTTTGTTAGTTCTGTGGCAGCTCACTGTTTTGTACTTGCTTCTAAGCACATGTTCCAAATGGCATCTGGCAGGGCGAAATGGAGTAACCATGAATACAGTCACACTGATTGTGTTCTCAAGGTGTGAACACAAAATCATTTATTGCCAGTACCAAGGAACTGGTTCCCGGGCAACAAATATGAACGACACCTAAATGGCATCTAGACATTTTGTTCAATTTGATTATGTTAGCCATAAAAATCAATATATAAACCAAGCAATCTGTTGATCGTCTGTGTTCAAGACATAAAATAATGTCTATGTAACAAAAAATAAGACAGTATTAACAAAGGTTAATAAAAAACAAAGAAACAGACAATTTCACCAAATAAACTTGCTGGCATTTGAAGTGCATGAGTTTTTTTTTGCGCAAAGAACTACATCAATAAAAGTCATTCGCTTATATTTTGACAAACCAGTCCTGGCCCGGGTTGCTCGAAGCATGGTTAGTGCTAACCAGCGTTAAATACCATGGAAATCTATACATTTTGATACCTCTTAACCAACGGTTAGCGCTAACTAGACTTCGAGCAACCGGCCCCTGACTGTATTGCCTTTCTAATCAGAGGTAGATTTTGGGGCCAAGGTGACTGTTCATGTAACTTTGACTCTACTCCACATAATATAAGCTTAACCAAAAATAGGTAGTTATTTTGCTCTTTAATTGCTTCTTAAAACAAAATACTGTATTTTGTTTTCTTATAGAGTTATAAGCTGATCATCAAATTACAAACACCCCATTCACATGTACCAAAAATAACCTCATCAAATCAAGTTTATAAAAGTGTATGGATGTTACAGGTCAAATTTGATTTCAGGTTAATTTTGATTTTACCTGGGGGGATTCCCGATTCCCTTTGTCTCCTAGCCCCAGAAGACAAGGAAAAATGATAATCAACCTCGGTTATAAAATTTAACCTGAAATCAAATTTAACGTGTAACATGTGCGATTCATGTTGACAGTATGTTTGATAGCATTCTGTCTAAATCGAGCTTTTGAAGAGAAACTTTCTTAGCTAATTGTCACTTTATCTGATCACGAGTCAGGGATAAGTACAAAATAAAATTTCATTAAGTTCGATTTTCTGAGAAGCTTAAGATCAAGCTACCACATGCGAAATGAACACCAAAAATTCCGCAATAATAAAAGAAAACGTGGGCGAAGAAAGCATATACTGTAATTATAAAACATACCGGTTCTTTAAAAAGAAAGAATACCGCCGAAACATAGGAGGGCTAAGGACTATCTCAGAACTGAAACGATCTATAGAATTTCGAAATAAAAAGGGAAATCTCGGGTTGGCAAAAATTGCACATGGTGTAAACATGAGTGCATGCATTCGATCTCACCGGGCGAGATTCTTCCTGGAGAAAGGACCTCGGCAACAACCTACATTGTTCTCATTCACTCCGTGGAGCAGCCTGGTCACGATATGATAAAGAAGAGATATCTTCCTACCTCTGCCTGGTTTCTTATGTTATTATCGGGGGACATCAGTTGAGAAACAAGGGATTCGAATTGCTGTTGCTCGTTCGCCATCACGGCCACCATATTGCCCAACCTATGACTTGTACGCATGCGTGAGGTATGGTCTGATAAGAATCTTTTGGCGCGAAAGGGAGAGTTTCAAATTTTGGCGCGTTAAACGATATTTTCAGCGATGACTGACTAGGGGAAGTATCTAATGTACCTAAACCATTGCAGCTATTTGAATAAAGGAGGGCCAAAACGGCGGTTTCTTTTTGGATCCGATTAGATGCCACCATTTTTAGCTTTTGTAATGGCCACTTTTTAAAATGGGAAAATTTCCCCGGGGGAGGGGTACTAGCGAACGTACGGGAGGTGCCGCTGGACGGGGTGCGGGTATGGTTTTCGTCCTCCCAGCTGTCCTAACAGTGTAAGTAGTGTCCTAAACAATTATAAACAGGGTATTGCCTGCACGAGCTAATTTAATTTGCTTGATGAAATTTGTTTGTACCTCCAAGTATAGAAGGGTATAAAAAAGTTTTTTTTTTTTTTAAATAATACAATAATTTTATTTAACATTAAAAAATATGTACATAATTTACACAAACATTTGAAGTAAGAATTAAGCACTATATAACGTTGTGAATTATATAATTCGTAAAAAATATAATCACTGTGTCAATAACGATTTCCCAAATACATTCGCGGCTCAGTGCGATCAATAACTCTTGGAGGCGGTCCTTAACTTAAGTCATTACAAAAGAGAATCATCCGTCTCTGATCATGATTAAAAAGAAACAAGTTAAAAAGAGTAAATTTCTAATTCTTTAAAAAGTCCTTTAAAAAATAACAATTAATTAATTAATTCGGGCAGGCTCTAATATTTTCCATCTGTAGATCTTAGTCAACAAAGTCTAGCTATCGTCTTCTGGATCTTAGGCACGTTAAGCCTCTCAAGCTTAGTATCGCAGAGCGGCGAACAGGCTCCTGCTTTAAAACAAGACGGCGTTTCATTTGGTCCTTTGTCCTAAACAGGGTTAAACAATATTTATTTCAGGGTCGGGGAATCAAGCCCTCAGCGGCTCACCCTTACCCATAAATTAGTCGAGTACCCCCGGGGAAATTTCACCCAAAGCTCCAAGTGAAAAAGACCTATTCGACAAGATTAACAGATTTTTTGACCCTGTCTAAGTTAATGGATTTTTCAAAACGTGGATTTAAAAAAAATTGCATCCATTTGATCGGACGCTAAGCGATCTTTTCGACTGCTGACAAGCCCGATAAAAACACGTTACCTGTTGCATGTAACGGGCAAAGAGGAGGAAAATAGGGGAAGAGAGAAGTGAAGAGGAAGAGAAGATCTAAAAAAAGGCAATGATCAAATGCATGATTAAAAAAGGCCGATATTACAGCAAAGCAAACAAACCAACCGAAACATAACCTAATCCATACAGCGAGTCATTCTAAAATCACTGGTGATCGTTGTAATCCGTGATCGGCTCAGTCTGACTCAAGTAGCTTGACAGTATTCACGAGTCCGTCTACAATCTTTTTCTTTTGTATAAGAATGTTGTTTTTTCGGCCCAGGCTGGATATTCTTGTTTTTGTGACAATTTTAGGCTGAAAGTATTCTTGTTTTATGGCTTAAATTATAGCAGGAGAGATTGATTATAGGTTATTAATCTTTCAGAAATCTTCAGGTTTTTAATTTAATCATTTGGGGTATAAATTGCAGTCAATGCAGGTTTCTTAGTTTGGTAGCTGGTTTTGTAGTTTTCAGAAGGGATGTTTTATACGGTCGAGTCATGAAAATATAAAATTGTATTTATAGATTTTCAGCACACAAAATTGTACCCCTTTCAAAATCCCAGCCTTGAGTTTATTCCTATCATATTCTTAAAATTTCGCAAATTTCGGCCTCCGTATTCTTATAGCAGCAATACTCTAGCTATTATTGGATCGAAATCGCATTATTTCTTAATCGCATCATGCTTGTGCTCCAAATCGCATTCTGTTTATACAAAATAACATTAATAAGCGTTTCCGGTTCCTCATTTTCATGATCTTTTTCCAAAGTATTATTTTGATTATATTGCAGTGACGAAAACTTAAGATTTTCTTTTTAAAATGTCTCATGACTTGCGCGCGCTCGTGTAAAATACGTGTTAAAATAGTGACTTAACCGAGTGCCCAATAAAAACATGAGCGTGATGTAGGGCGCGTGATTTATGGCAATATCATGAACCCTTTCTGCGGATTTCCTTGAAAATTTTTATAACTTGCGAAAAAACGAACCTAAAAGCATCCATGAATTTTGCTTTTTACAAAAGCAGAAATGACGTCAGATAGCATGTTCTCTTCCGTGTCAAGTCAGTTCCGGTCTGAGCACAATTTGTTGCATGATGGGAAGGATTGTTTTGCAAGCAAATGCAAAATGGCTGCCACTATCAAAGATTCGGAAGAGGACACTCCGAAGCGGAAACACATAAAAGCTGTTTTAGTCAACAAGCTAGAGGGATGCAGCGATATAGTTAATATGGCGGTGACAATCCCGCATGAAGATGCAGTTATTAGTGTCTCAGATGACAAGTAAGCGACAAATTATTCGTGACTGAATATTGATGTGTTGTTGTTTTCATAAAATCTAATCAGCTGAATGTAATACATTTACAGCTGAACGTATTTTTTCCACGTTCTCGTCTTGTTATTCGCAGGAGCATTAGGCTTTGGATAAAACGAGAAAGTGGGCAGTATTGGCCAAGTGTTTGCCATATGATGGAGTGTAAGTTTTAGTTAATTTCAAGTCTTACTATAAATTTTCGTTTAATATAATATATATTTTCAAGCTTCATATCACTTTTCAAGAGGGGCAGCCTTTTCTAACTAAGGTTGCAGATATAGATGTGATCTTCCTTTTCATCTCAACCTTGACTTATTATTATGATTATGTGGGTTGAAAATATGATTTCTTGCTTAAGCTTGTAGAAGGACGTGTTGTCGTTAAGGGTTTCGTAATCTAAATTTTTTGATATCATATCTCTTATTTTTGCATATTTATCTGATTCTTTGGGGAAATTCGTGTCCTTTTAAGTCCAGATCGGTCATCCTTGCTTACAGATTCAATATCACATATTATTTTTGCATATTTGCCCTGCTTTTTTAAAAATTCAGGTTTTACCAAAAAAGAATAGGATTGGTTGTGGGGGGGGGGGGGGGGGGAAGCTTGGCAGGGTCAATTACCAGTCACTATTTAGGAAATGAGCCTGCACTCATCAAGGACTGGGCTCAGGAGATGGTAGAAATCAAGCCTAGGGGGCTGGATCAGAAGAGCAGTTGTCCCCCAGATCAGTTCACATGTTTTTTTAAATATAATTATAAAAGTGTCATATCTTCTATTTTATTGTTTCAGCTGCATGTTCTGCCCTAGATTACCATGGTACAAGCAGAAGGCTCTTTGTAGGATTGGCTAGTGGCACAATATCAGTAAGTGCTGAGTTTATGGAAATATTGATGCAGTCTTCTCATTTTTTTTACATTTGCCATTTGCACACCTCCCACAATATACCTTATTGCTCCCTCAAAATTTTGCAAAAGAATTGTCATCAATTTCACTTGGAAAGACTGTACTATCCAGAGGAAATGAAAAATAAAGGTTATGCAAAATGTGGGGGCAAACTTCGTGTGTTACTGGAGATGTGCAAATGGTGAATGAAACTGAAGAGAAAAGAGAAGGTTAAAAGGCTGCTACACGTCAGGAAAAAGAGAAAAAGTGTCTTTCATCTTATTTAGCCAACACTACATGACCTAACATCAATTTTTTTGAACAATTTCTAAAGTTTTGTACAGTGGAGCTCCAATATAATATAGTAGTTAAATTCCCGGGAGAGGGGGTACTTCCTTGTAAGAGGCTTTCAGGGATGTGCCACTGGATGGTGTCCCATTTTCACAACTGGATTGACTATAATGGGGATGCATTTTCAATAGATTTACTAGCATGGGGTGACGCAATTCAGATTTTTGATGTAAGAACGTCGATTGATAAGACAGATACATAAATAAAAAGTGACTAAGTTGGGATTGTGAAAATTATGTTTGCCAAAAAGTGACTAAGATGGGATATTAAATGTGTGAGTACTGTACTGTAAATTTAGTCTATTGTCTTTCTAGGTCACGATTTTGAAAAAAAATTAGAAACTTTTGTCTGGCTTGTCCTGCATTGCAACCAATCCCTCTGGGCATTAGAGATTACTTTAGACAGAGAATCTGCCGTGTCAGCATTCCCCTTGGATTCAATTTGCAATTTAGCTAAGCGGATGTAAAACCACGGTGGTGTTAATGTTTTACTGTTGTATCAGGTTATTGTAATTTGCTATTTGATGTTATGAGTGATCAGTAACAGGACATACTACAGCTGCATTTGGTTTGCGTGGTCGTATTAACGGGGTAAAATTATAAAGGATTATACAGGTTGGGATTTCAGAATGCGGTCGTTGGTTGTATTAACGGTGTGGTCGCATTAACGGGGTTTTCTTATGAGGAAATGTATGGGCGTTTCGCCCGGACAAAAAAAAGTGGTCGTAATAACGAGGTGGTCGTATTAACGAGGTGGTCGTAAGGCGGGGTTCCACTGTATCTGTGGCATCTCAGCCAGGAAACTGGACTCCTTTTGAATCGATTTCATTTCTGTAAGTGATGAACGTGGATCCAAAGTCAATGATTACTGCTAGTAATAATGATAAATTAATTGATAAAATTGCAAATTATTTATCCTCTTTTGGAAGGGATTGATAGAAAATTTCATGCTGGATTAGTTAACATACTGGTAATCAGAAATAAAGGCGCCAAACTAGTTTAAAACAGTCATTCAAGCAAGAGAGAAGAATTTAGTGTATAACATGATCATAGCTTTGGAAAAAATAATGTGAAGTGCTCCTCCTATAGGAATTTGAAGTGTCTGAAGATTTTAACAGAATTCACCATAGAAGAAATTATTTAGGTACGTATATTTGCTTGTGTTGTGAATAATATTGTAGTTATTGTCTTTACTTTAAGGAGGCAGCATGGCCGAATGGTCAGCGCGTCAGACTTGCAATGCTGCGGCCCTAAGTTTGAGTCCTACTCTGGCAACTTGCTGGATTTGCTCTCAGTCATCCAGAGTTCAAATCCTCAGCCACGCTTGTAAATAGCCAACTGGTTGCCTCCTGCCAGTTGGGGTTTTTAATCTTGTGATGTTTTATTTGAATTATTTGTTTCTAAGTATTTGAGTGGAGTGCCGGTAAACTAGCTGGATAAGCCAAGTGCACTTTCCTTTATAAACAAACCGTTAAATCCTTTTTTTAGAACAGGTTAAAATATTTTACTGTGACTAGGCTTAAGTGAAGTCTTTCAGCTATTTTCTTTTCTTTTTATGTACCAGTGGAATATTTTTTAATTGGGGCCAGATTTGAACACAAGTTGGAATCTTAGGTCTACAAATCAATGTTAATTAAGCTCAGTGTGTTTTTTGTTTATTTATATCTTTTGAAGTTGGTGCAGGTGGCTAACTTGAAAGTGTATGCTTCTTTGGCCACAGCACACCTCCTATTTAAAATAATTTTTACTGGAATAATAATTATTCAAAAGATCTTGTAACTTTTATAACTCTTTATTAGTCCACCTTTTCTGTAAACAGCGTAAAATTGAATTGAACCTTGAAGCTTGAATTAGCCTTAAAAAACTGATTTTTAATGAGGCCACCATTGGCTTCCCTCCGATATGTCATCTGAGCAATGAATGTAGAAATTCCATACTGTTGACCTGTCAGGACCCAGATCTGGATTTTGCTTTAACCAATCAGAAGCACGACTCAGATTTGGGTAGTGACATGTAATCAGAATGGAATTTCTGTGCTCGTTCCTCAAACTTTATTTCCTGGGAAACCAGTGATGGCATTGCAAAATGTCAGCCGTTTTCGCAGGCTAAGCCTGATCCTGCAGTTAGTATTTGTCTCAGCAGGCTTCTCCATTTAGAACATGTGTCAATCAATTTCCTTCTTTTAGCACACATGAATAGAGTGAGTGGCATAATATTTTCTCTGGAGAATGAATGGCTGTTAAGTGTAGGAAGGGACAAGTACTTGCAGTGGCATGATTGTACGAATGGAAAAAGACTGGGTGGATATCAAACTGAGGCTTGGTGCACTTCACTACAGTATCCTTTTAAGTGATAAGATAGCAGCAGGTTGAGTGGTTAACGCTTTCCAGGGTTTATTCTAGAAATTGGCCAATGAGGGTCAAATGGGCCCCCTTCTGTAATTTTAGGGGGTCCAAGGAAGGGGGCACCAAATCTAAAAAAACTAAATGCTTTTTAAGACTATTGACATTCTACATGTTTCGGACTCCCCAGACACCTTGCTGCCATTTTGGAACATTCTGGGCAACTGAAAAAGCCTGGGCTCTAATTACTTCAGAATCCTGGATGTTTGTCTCTTGAAATAATGACTCAAGCAAAGAAGAGAAAGGCAATTGAGACAGTAAGAGGCTATAAAAGTTCAAAGTAAGTTTATAGAGCGGCCATCAAATCAGTGTTGTTGTCAGTGATGTTTTAGAATACTTTATTGAAAAAAAAAGTAGTACTTATCCTTGGGTCTATTTTTTTGCGTCCCATTTGACGCGGCAACGTAAATTTAAGGTTTTTTTTTTCCAAATTGTGGAAATCCTGCAAGGCCGCAGTCTAGAATAAACCCTGCTTTCCCTCTCAGGCCAAGATTTGATTTTTTGTAAAGTTTTGAGTCTGCTGGTAAACGACCTCAGCTTGCGTTACTATATGTATAAAGCAAGAATCTCATTGCTATTTTAATCAAGTTTACAATGTTAGTCATGCAATGACAGTAAAAAAAGCCAAAAAGTGTGCAGCATGTTCAGAGTTTTTGTTTTTCTTTTTTTCTCTTGTTGTTATGCTTAGCTAGCCAGTAGTATTACCACTCAAAACAATCCTTGAAATGTGACAATTCTGCCTGGTAAACCGACAATTTGATGTGAAACGCGTGACAAAATTGACTTTCACAGGTACCCATACAGAGGCTTAGTGATTGAGGTGTGTGGAATAAAGACCCACATGATTTCTGATAAACTGCCAGTATTACCTTGCAACTTGTCCTGCTTTGCTTGTTAATGAGATGGAGAATTAAACATTAGATCAGGACTCACTAAGGGCCTTATTTTACACATCCCTTCTTTATTAATATTATTTTCATGCTTGCAGTTGAATTATTATTCAGAAGATTTCACCATTTTTGATTAGCTTTAATTCATGACCAACTAATTCTTCATACCCAGGCAATATAATTTATACCATCATTAACATTGGTTAATCTGATCTAGATAAATGATTAGAGCCAACTCTTGCCTTGTGGACACCCCGCTATAACAGACACCCCAGTAATAAGGACAGCAGCTAAATCCCAGGCAAAAATAAATTACAGATGTTTGGGTAAAATTAACTCCCGCTATTACGGACTCTTGCTATTGAGGACGCTAACTCAAGGTCCCTACAGTGTCCACTATAAAGAGAGTTGACTGTACCTAGTATACAATCATTGACATCAAGTCAGCAGAGTCCGCAATCAGAAGTAGAGCCAGACGTCTCTTGAGGTTCCTTAACAAGTTTTAGATTTGATGCTGACTCAAAACATGTCTTTGTTGGAGATTATGGAGGCCACATCAGTGTGATAAAACTAGAAAACAACTCACCATCACTGGTTACAACACTCAATGGTCACTCAGGCAAGTTGCCTCCATGGCACATATGGTTTGGCACAGGTGATTAGGATGGGTCCTGTCACTCAGTTCTAATCCAATCTAGTCTAATGCTTTTGTAGTGGTAAATAATATTATTAGTAGGGAAAGGGTTTGCTCAGTCTTGAGAAAGTCCTTGAATTCTATTTTTCCTTTTAAAGTCCTTAAACTTCCGTGTAAGCCCTTGAATTTTCTTCAACTTGGAATGTAGTGTCCTGGAAACTGTTTTTTAATGCTTGTTGGTCGCCCAACACAGAATATAAATCATAGCTCAGAGAAGCTAACCCTGCGATGGACTAGTTAGCATCATGTCCAAGGGAAGTAGCAATACTCCTAGGCATGCTTCATGCTAAGGATACTGGCAAATGCTCCAGCCATTTTGGCCTTTGGCTCATGTGTGCTTTCACCTTATTTTTCACTGCTATGGTCCTCATGGTTGTATAAGGTCTTTAGTGTCTAGAAATGGTGGGCTGGTACTAGTTTTATGCTTTTCACTCTCGAAAGTGTCCCGAAATTACCAAATCTCATCATGTTGAACTATTTGTTTGGTCATGAAAGCTAAACATTGAACTTTTACTGCAGTGCAATATCCACACAGCTGGTATTTTGCAGAAATATTTTTTTCTTAAAGAGTGCAAATATTAGTATTTTCAATATTATAATTAACATTATTGTCTGGAATTGCGATAGGCCTTCTACCACTAGGTTATTCCAATTCATCAGTTCTAATAAATTAATGAACATTACTAATCCAATAGTAATCTGACTTACTTAGCCTTGTTTTCTGCATAACTACTCTTTGGGTCATCACACAGCTCTCCTTTTAAAGCATAAATATGGCAGCTGACTACAGCTCTGTGTACCTTTATTCCTCCAGTTGTCATGCTTCCTTTTCTCTATACTAGATGGTTCTGATAAGGCATGCTACAGAATGAGACTGCAAACATAGCCTACTAAATGAACTTACTGATGACACTTCGTGAGCTCTTCAGTTCTATTATTTGCAGAATTCCATTCTGCATATAGTGGATAGTCATCTGTAAGAGGTTATGTTCCATTGGCCGTGATGATCCAGATCAGGATTAGTGAACCAATCCGGGAGTATTCAGATCATAACATGTCAAAGGAACCAACAAATCCACCCTGGGAAAGGATTCGTCAGTTCATTTGATGTATAACCTGCAAGCAAGCTGTCCGGGGCGCTCTGGCAGTGGGGCAGGAAAAGGAAGGAGAGCTTGCAATTACGTCTCTGGAATTTGAATATCTGCATCGAAAAAATCGATGCGAAATGCTGATTGGCGGAGATGACATTAGTAATGATGTCATTACCTTTGGCATGTGTTTTTCAATATTTGTTTACATTTGCACTCTTTCCACTTCGCACTGATCGGCGCTCAGATTGATTGACAGCTCAGTTGACATGGAGCCACAGAGGAATTGAAGGTGGAATTCAAATTCCAGAGACGTGGTGGCAAGCCCTCCTTCCTTTTTCCACCCAACCACCAAAGCGCCCTGGAGAGCTTGCCTTCAGGCTATTTGATGTACCATGATTGGAGTGATCTCAGATCATGTTCCTGATCTGGGTCATCCTAAAGGAATGCACCCAGTGTATCTCTTAAATAAATCCAGGTTTTAAAAATTTTGCCTTGTTAATAAGTTTTTTTTCCCATTTTTTTTTCCAGGTAGCGTACGTGCCCTTGCCTGGGACCCTGAGAAGCGGTTGTTATTTTCTGGTAGTTTTGATGAATCCATTATAGTATGGGATATAGGAGGACAGCAAGGAACTGCCTTTGAACTTCATGGACATTTGTAAGAAAACCATGGCTTGAAGACTGTTTTCTTTATGTCCTGTGACAAATACAATACCTGTCAAATTTCATTGAAACAATAGGCTGAAAATGAAAGATTTCTCATGCAATGCCTTCTCAACTACTGAGTAATTCTTCTCTCCTTCCCCAATTTTGAGAATTAACAATTATTGGACGAGGTTGGGCAAAATATCATGATTTGTCAGTGGTGAGCAGATTAATTATTTGCCAAAGCCAAAGGCTTAGGCAAATAAAATGATAATTATATTGATCTGCGAGATACTGGCAAATCATGATATTTTGTCATGATCAAGTTCAATATTGTTTTATCATTCAATCACCAAGTTTGTTTTTCAACGAATATCTTCGGGAAGCAAAGCAATCTGCATTTTTCACGAAATAGTTATCGGAAGAAGGACAAAAGCGTGCTTTCATTTAAGCATGAGCAGAATATTATTAATTGCAACCAAACACAGTTGGACAGCATTGTGCACGAGCAGACCATTATTTGTAGGCAGTTATTTGCAGGTCACCTGGTGGGCTCTCGGCCGACGAAAAAGAAGAAAAAATTGCATCGAATGATTATTACATTTATTTGCAAATTGGTAATATGGGAATCAGCATTGGGGAGGGCAAAACATGACTATAGTGTTTCAACAAATGTGACGAGTATTGTCATAGTTAGAGCAGCTTAGCACACTTTTGCTATTACCAAAGCATTTTTTAACAATGAGTGCTCAGCACTTTAAGACGGAAGCCATTAGGAAATTGAGTAATTTTAATTTTTAGTGGACAAAATCCTTGTACCAGAATAGTTTAAAGCATATTGCATTCTTTTTTACACTTTTCAAGGGCTATAAATGTAATTAGTTATATATAATAACACTAAAGAAACTTTCTCACGGGAGTCCAAGGAAACAAATTTCAAAAGCTTCAGATCTCACAAAATGAAATCTTACCCATGAAATCTTACCTGTGTTTTCACAATTCCTGTGAAATTTGGATCAGTTTTCTCGGGCTCCCATAAGAAATTAATCTATTTTCATTTATTACATTGCACCAGGTCTAAAGTACAGGGTCTGTGTTATGCACCACACGCCAAGAAGTTAATATCATGCAGTGAAGATGGTGTTGTTAGAATTTGGGACATGAATGTTAAACGACAAGAGGTATGTTTAAACAATCTCCATGGGGGTATGGCTTGTTCCTTTTTTACCGAGAGGGCAGGAAACTGTAGAGTATTGTTTATTATTGTTGTGTCAAGGAAATAAAAAATTAATCGGTTGTTGAGTGATACATGTTCAGTGAGAGAAATACCTTGAAAAGACAAAATTAAAGACAAAGGTAAAGTATCATTAATTTCTTTTTTTTTTTTGTATCCGTATTAGACACCAGAATGGTCGCAAAGTGATGTCTGTGAGAGATGTAGTGGTCCTTTCTTCTGGAATTTCAAGGTTATGTGGAATCAGAAAACAGTGGGTGTGAGACAGGTATGACCTTCAAGCTGCCCCCAGCCCCAACCGTTCTCCTTCCCTGTCAAGTAGTGTATCACCTTCATAGGTGTTATCAGGGAGTTTAAGATACCACGACGGCGAATTTGGGTTCTTTCAATCTCTATCGTGATTACTCCAACTCAAATGAGAAATCCTCTTCAAATGCAAGCGAACTCTTTTTGAGCCGAATTCCTAAGAACCGTATTCAAGTTCAGAAAGAGAAAGAAATTTAGCCCGTCGCTTGTTTACGTCCTCCATAAAACGTGAAATTAGGCATTTTCCGGTCGTAGTCGTGCAGTGACGGTAAAGAAGTGTACAAAAAAGCATGCTGCACGTGCAGAGTTTGTTTTGCCTATTCAAACTATTGCTTTTTTGACGTTCTCATTGTTATCGCCGGCCGTTGTGGCATCTTAAAGTCCCTCCCAAATGAAGGACTTGCCCATTACGTACAATATCCGTATCAAGAGAACCAGAGGTTTTTAAATCAGTGGCGTCAGTCAACGCAAGCATGCGGTTATTGGGCCTATAAAGTTAAAAACGAGCTTTCTGGCTCTTAAGTTATAAGTAGCAAAAGTGTCTCCATCTTTCAAAACGGTAACTTTAGGGTTAGTGTAGTATAGTACATGTCATGTCCTAACATTTGTGAAAATCTATGCATTGGCTAAATGCATGGTTGCTTTGATTTTTCAGCATCACTGTCGGAAGTGTGGCAGAGCAGTTTGTAATGAATGTAGTTGCAATGAATCAGCGTATCCGATCATGGGCTTTGAAAATTCAGTCCGCTTTTGCGTTGAATGTTATGAATCCATCACTGATGATGAGTAAGTGTAATGCCTTGTTGTAAAGCCCTGTTTCATTATTTGAATGGTCACGCTTGAGGATTTCTTCCGTAGAGTCAAAAACTAGAGACAATTTGCACACCCTAACAAACAGTTTCACTCGACTGCCACTTCCAAATGGCTTCTTGCGAAAATCTCACGCAAACGCCTTCAAAATCTGAAAACAAATGCATGTTTTACAGTCTAAAGTTCCACAACGTTCCACAGGAAAATGCTGCTCGGTAGCTATAATGTGAATACATGTAACCACATTGGAGGATTTCATCTTGACTCAAAAGTGTGAACGTCGTTCTACGGCGTAAACAGTGTCCTGGAAAGTACTGTTCAGTAGCTGTCAGTTAGACTCAATGCAAACTAAGAGGAACGCAACAAATAGCGATCCGTGAGCAAAACGTAAGAGAAACGTAAATGGGGAGGGGTTTGACAAAATTTAGGTGTTCATCAAAAACATTCGTGAGTATGGCGGACTTGGCTGTGAACATTCAAGCTGTTATTTGAAGGGTCACGTGTATTTAAAAATATCTTCCACTGCAAAATCTCTTTGCACAGCATAACGCACAGTTCCACAGCAAAGCACTGCTAGGTAGCCTTTACAATGTACTTGAATGGTCACACCTTAGGATTTCATCCTCAGGCTTATGAGTAAGTTAGAACCACCTTGTACTGCAGATTGATAAATCCAATTGGGGATCTTAAAATTTAAATCTTGATTGTCCAAATCCTAAATTGCTCGGTGGTTTTATTTGAAAGTTGATGGTTTACTAGATTTTATTCACGGACTGCAAATTATAGAATCACAAACATATTGCTCAAGGATCACACTCTAGCTATTTAATTTACAGACTTGCCACTTTTCATAGCGTAAGAGAAGAAATAGTTGCGTCTCTAGCGAAGGAACAAAGAGCATAAAACCACAACTCAAGACAATTTAATCTGTTTTTTTTTTTAACCCAGTCGAGTGCCGCTGTCCGATTTTCTCGATGCAAAGCACACAACACGCTCGATGTACCTGGATCTAACTAAAGGAAGATTGCTGACATGTGGCGGTGATAGAGTTGTGAAGGTTGGTTCTTAAAGTTAGTTTCAGTTAGAAAACATTTAAGGTTGGTTTTCTACTGTCGCGTAATTTTTACGTCCGTACGCGCGTAAAATTTACGCGCATAAATGAAATAGAGGCAATGCATGGAAGGTTGTGCGTGACGTAAAAGTTGACCAAAGTACAATTTTTGCGTTTACTCGCAGCAGCCTTTATTTTATTTACCCGCGTAAAATTTACGTGCTTACGGTCATAAAAATTACGCGACAGTGGAAATCCACCTTTATCTGAGAAAGAAATCTGCAGGTGGAAGGAGGTGGACCATTGAAGGGCACCCGTGTCTTCTTCTGTAGCCTCCTGGGATGTCATTCGTTTATACTTGTATTTAATTTATCTGCTATACAGCCATTTATAGTGTCGTCACGCAACGCTCCTCCCCACTAACGAGGAGCGTTGCGTGACGACACTAAAAACGGCTGTGTAGCAGACTAGTATTTAATAGAATTACTAATAAAATGATAGACTTTCACAAAGGCCTTTACTCTGTATGAGGTTACTGGCAAACTTTTACCTCGTATTCATTATCAAAAGAGGTCAAATTGGTGCACGTCTCGTAAATGATAAACAATCAAACAAGGAAAACGTCACAACCAAGATTTCATGTCTCTGCCATTTATGTCAAATTTTTTGGAAAAGGAAAAAAAGAAAAGAAGATCCGAATGTTCTTTTAATACAAATTTAAGTATCAATTTGTGTTGGAAATTCATCGGTATCAAATTTTGTGTTTTAATGGCATAAAGTTTGAAAGTATCACAAAATTGTTGTCTCAAATTTTCATTAAAGATTGATTATATAATGAGCTGATGTGGTTCTTGTTAAATCGGACTCCCGCTGCATGCTCTTCCTCAGTTCTCCTCCACAGAGGGCTCTTTGTGTCATAGGGAGGCTGGGGAGAGAAAAAAAAAACAATGCACGCGGCGGGGATGATGGGAAGGGGAAAGGGAAGAACCTTCCCATCGTCCTCTGCGCTTACTTTTTTAGTTATTTTTTTAATGTTTCTTGGAATCGCAGCGGGGCATCCGCGGAGAAGAGCGATCCTCATGTATAGGGCAGCCCTGTTGTGTCATTTTCTTATGATGTTATAGCTATGACTTTTCACTTTCTTTGCAGATTTGGGACGTAAAGAATATTCTTCTATCATGAACAGTGATTAGTTACTATTAGGAAAAATAATGCTACGATGAGAGTGATGTGTATGATTGATAGATGAAGGAAGGAAGGATTGACTGAGCGACAGCGTCTTTAAAAGGCTCGGGTAACGCCGAAAAAAGGACAATTCCCCAATGATTATTGTCTGTCGCGTAACTACAACAAACTTTCCAAGGGGTTTTGCCCGGAAACGATGTTGGAATCATTCCAATTAAAAAGTGATTATAGCTTTTAATACCGCTCCTGAAAATATAACTTTTAGAAACCAGTCGTTTCGATACAAAGTCGTTTCGATACGACCTCAATCACTGAAATTACACAAAACTTTCGATGACTTCAAGTATGGTTTGCGCGTGAACGAGAGAAACCTTTAGGGTGAATATTCTTCGTTCCTTAAGCCAAGTGTTTGAAGCTGCATACACCTCAAGGGAAAAAACTTGTATCGAAACAAACGGTAACATCACTTTGAGATTCAATATTGTTACGTCAAGGTAGATGTAGTTAAATAATATGAGAACAAAGGATAAGGATGAACGATTTTATATCAGTATCGAAAATAATTTCTCATTCGCTTTGGTCATGCCTGTTTGTGATTGGTTGACAAATTTCGCACCATGTTTAATAAGTTCGAAGCAAAATAGTGGGACCAATCGAAACTTCTACGGCCTTATTTACAGCTGTATTCACGTGGAGGGTCAACTATCCCTCTATTGTTATTGTTCGAGGTATGGGGTATTTCAGGTAGGAGGGTCTAGGTTAGCGTGGCAAGTTAACAGTTAATGCTGCAAAAAGATGAAAAAAAACTGTCCTTCCCTGTAACACATACGAAAGGAAAAACCCACAGTACTGACGAAATGCCTTGGAACCAAAGAAGAGTACCATGACTAGTGCGTTCGCGACAAAAAAATCCTCCTCTGTTCGCCAGATTGATTGGTTGTTTACGTGCTTTGCAACAGCGCACTAAATGAGGAATCCTCTTTAACCTTTCGTAAATCCTCCTAATGTAAACACGGGCTGTCATTTATGATTTGTTTGCAATTGTTCTGATTTAACAGGATCGATTGGAAACGTTTCAAATGAACCAACATCAAGGTAATGACCGGTGTCTTAAATTAATTCAGTGTCGACGGTAAAAAGTGTGATCCACAGTGTTCAAAAGTAAAGACACCAACGTGATATTCGCTTGACTTGACGAATGAAAGAGATTTTTTTCTGTTTAAGCGTTTTTTTTTTGTTTTTCTGCGTGCTGGTTTTTTTTTACGTAATGAGAAAATAGTTTACAGGTGATAGTCAGAAAATAGTTATTTGCGACGGTCGTAAAGGAAAGATATTTCTCTTTGTAGTAATGTTTTCAAATGCCTTGTACAAAACACATTAAACATAGCTAATTAAAGATATATTAAAACAACTCCTTTAATAAAAATTGATTATGAAAACGAGTCATAGCTGTTTCTGTCTTTTACATTTTTCTGCAGATAGATTGTGGTGGCAGCGGCGGCGGATAAGTTAGTTGTCTTCAAGCAGATAACTGACTGATCTGTAGCGGGTTGCGCGCGCAATGCATTATTTCCAAGAATGATATCAAACTGTGTATCGTGCGACGGTGTGTTTGTCGTTAGTTGAAGACAATGCATAACAAAACATCTATTTGATTCGTTTTTTGTGATATCCGAAATAATCATGGTTTTCTCAAATGTTATCATCCTGAGCCTTCGCGGCTTCGGTCTCGACTAATATCTTTTAGTAAAATCCAACTAGTGGTCTATTATCAATGCTGCGTTCTGATTGGTTGAGCTACTACTAGGCTATATGTTATAGCCCACAAGTAGCGAAAAGCGCCGGCTTTTCGGCAGCAAAAAAGGATTAAAGTCTAGGTTTAAGTAGCTAAAAGCTTTGTGTTAAAAATATCGCCATAGTCATCATCATAAAAAGTTATGTCGTTTGTGCGAGTTATTAGATGCAATGTTTTTGGTTTACATTTGTCGACAAAGGCAGCCCACTGCTTTAATTTTTGATGGCTAGCCAGCGATATTTTTAATATAAAGCTTTTGTCCGGCGGCAATAGTTTATATTACCTACCGCTGAAGTGGTTATTACAAGTAATTACAGTTAGCAACTTTTGCTTTACAGCCGCTGAGGGAAACGGAAATACCGATCGCAATTATAAAACAAGTGTCTCGGCTAACGCAGGCTTTTTACACGCTTCTAATGACCGGAGGAAGTGTCTTGCTTTGAAAAGCACGTTTTCCATCAGAAAACAGGGCAGACCAAGGTGTGTACACATTTCTTCAAGTCAAAGGCTGAATTAAAGTCCCTAGGGGTACTCCCCTATATAAGCCATATAAGTTTGTGCCGCCCCAAAGGGTAGAATTTGCGCCGTTTTGGTCTGAAAACCGGTATGGTTTTCAAGGGAACCACGGGAGTGTACGAATGTATTTATTGTTTCAGTTCCAAATGAGTAAGAAAGAGACAGGGGCACCCAACGACAATTTTCGGAAAATTATCTGTTCGGAAGACGATTTGAGATCTAGAATTTTCGGATCATTTTCTGTAAAATTTCTTGCTTGCCTGCTTCTCCTAGGATTTTCGAACATCAAAAAAATGGTATAATTGCCCATTTTTAACGGATTTTTACCCTAAAAAGGTCACCTAGAATTTTCGGGAGCCTTTTTTCTGGCTGAAATTTTCGGAAAGGTAGATTTTGATCCCTATAATTTTCGGATCACTATACTTTCAGCTAGGAAATCCGAACAGATGAAAAATTTTTAAGGGATAAAAATAAGCCTTTATCTACTGTTTAAATACTAAAGTACGTTCAACAATGCTATGTTTATGTGGTTTTGAACTATATTCTCGTTGGGTGCCCCTGAAGTGAGAGAAATATGCGAATTCGAAATGGATCATTTTTAAGAAATCTCTTTTTGTTACTGTTCTAATCTAAGTAATGATGACATAATTTCTTTAAACCCAGGTCTGAGAATGGGTATGGATTTTCAGAGTTCAGGTCAGAAAACGACTGTGAAAAATGGCATTTTTTTGATCTGAAATAAGATCAGGATTTGGAGAACCGGGCAGCACGCCCCCCACCAAGAATTCCCAGGAGTAAACGCCGGGTTTAAAGTCTTCTAACGCATTTATGTTATGGGAATAAGGGCCAGCCCGAATCAGTCTATGCTGATGCCCATTCTGAATTCAGTTTTTTTATACTGCAATGTTAACATTAGCCTCCCACGCAGACGTTCTTAGGGGTTCGTGACGAACCCCTAAGAAAGTGTGCGTGGGAGGCTATGTTAACATAGAAAACAACGCCAGACAAGAGAGCAAAACATGTCGGTAATACGGTGAGAAATTTAATGAAACAAAGACAAAGAACCAGAAATCACTGAAATACGATGGTGTCCAAAGTAATTTTATTTTCGACGTCATCGCTTTTTGCTAAGTACTGAAGGAACGAGAGTTCGAAATTCAGTGGCTGCTATTCACTTATTCCTTTTTAACCATGACTCAATCTTCTCGTGAACTTGGCTGATGCCCTAACAATGTGCTATCTATTATTAAACGGCCTCAGTCTAGCGCCTCCGGGGTGTTAACGCTAATTACCGTTGATTTTTGGCACTTGGGTGTATTTAAATTTTAGCTATATCTCTGATGTAAGTAGACCGTTTGTCATATTACACTTGACACAAATTTCAAGGTTTTTATGATTATAACAACAAGAAAACGTGGCAAAGACAATTGCCAGAAAATCAGGTACAGTTTCAGTCATCAGTCAATTAGACGGCATTAGAGTGATATGATTTAAGCTGTTATATTTTTCATTATATTAACCTTTTTTTCGCGTTTCTTGTTTTAATACTGAGTTTAGAAAGGCGTCTGGTTGTGTTGGTAATTTAATAATTTGAAAGAAATCGTTATTTTATCCATGGACATGGTCTATGTATTTTGCAGGTGAGTGTATTAAAAAATATATATAGGAACAACAGAATTTTGTAAAATTAAAGATCTAATCGTGCGCCAGCCTTTTGCCCTGAAAGAAAGCCAAAAGACTCGTTTCAACCACAAGACATAATAGCTGTGGCTTGTTAGCCTGCGTGGCAAGCTTTGCCAATTGATTTATGAGCGAAAACAGGAATGCAAGAAATGGGATATATATAACGGAGAAGTCAGTTCTTCTCTCCACCCTTCATTCCTCTTTTTGTTCTTGTCCTAACTGCTACGCAGGCTAATCTTATGACATCCGTATTTCTTTCAGTTAAAATGTATGCTTGTTAGAACTAATGTTATCCAAATTGCAATTTTCAGATTTCCGGAAAATGGCTAAATAACACTAAGATGTAATTATAGTCGCTAACTTTTATTTATGTGTATAATTTTAAAAGTCACTAACTGATCATACCACAACGACAGAGTATAGGTAGTAAACTGTGCCAGGTTCTCGGTGAGTGCAGACGAGCGATTAAGCAAGCGAGCAAAAAACGGCGGATTGCTCCGTCTCTTTCCAGCCCTCAGACGGTTTTCGCCCAACTTTCCTCGATCCGCAAGTTCCTCTCAATATTGGAGCTTTTTTGTTACATAATTTCAGTGATTTCACTGTTAAGAATTTTAAATTCATCACGGTCACTTTAGAAACATGTTTTAGATGCTTTTTCCTACTACCCTTAACATTGTGAACTTTCGCGATCGCATTCTTAAAACTGACGTTTCCTATATATGCTAGTCAACATACATTTTCAAAAGTGATCTATTTATCAGTTATTAGAGCTAATCAATTCCTCTTGAAAATTTTCAGCATTTCTTCACCGAGAAGGATAAGCTGAATGACATGACAAAGCAAACTAAGCACCGACTTTCAGTGCAGCTATGAACTTCTCCAATGCACAGTTTGTATTTAACGGGACAGAACCCGCGGGATCGAGTCACGAATTTCAAAGTTTGCCTATCATGCTGATTGGTGTTGTGATGACAGTAACAGCGGGAATAGGGAACTTCACATTGTTGCTCACCATATACAAAAATCCTCACAGAAATTTAAGGTCTCCGAGCACCAGTTTGGTTATAAATATGGCCATCGCTGATTTCATGCTGGGAGTTTTTGCGGGAAGTCTTCTTACAGCCCACGACGCCGTGCTGTTCATCGACAAGTCCAAGCACACAGACCGAGTTCATACCTTATTGACGGTCGTAATCTTTACAGGTGTAATGACCATCACTGTGGGTTGCTGTAACGTGGTTGCAATGGCGTGTGATCGGTGGGTGGCTGTCAGATGGGCGTTGAACTATCGGCACGTAGTAACAGTCAGACGGATTAAGGTGTCAATAATTCTCTTTTGGATCTATGCAGCTTTGTTTACAAGCCTCGTTTTTGTCCCAACTGTCCCGTACGTTGTATTTGAAATGCTTTTCTGTCACCTTCATGTGTCGCTTCCACTTCTGGTGCTACCCTGTGGTATACTGGAAGACGTTTAGTGCACTTGAAGCGCATATGCGTCGAATGAAAGACTTGGAGCATGGGAGTGAACGGGCGAACCAGAAAACAGCCCAAAGAGAGAGGAACACAACAAAAGCTTTTGTTCTTGTTCTGTGCTTGTTTTATGTGGCTTTCCTTCCCTACGTTATCGCGATCAACTTAAGTAATTTTTGCTTGGATTGTGCAAGTTCTGAGGCGATAGAGTCTTTCCTTCAAGTTTCTCTAAGGTTTATTTTACTGAATTCCTCTCTCGACCCGTTTGTGTATGCCTGGAGAATCCCGAAATACCGAAGAGCTGTGAGAACCATATTGAGCAGAAACTGTGGCTTCAGGAGACGAGGAAACAACTCCGTTGGTTCCACAGATATTACTGGAACAACGCTGCATGAGACTCTTGGAAAAGACATCACCAACAATGCTACATTGCAGATTAGCAGCGCTATCTTTTAATTTTGATCTTTAAGTCAAAAAACCTGTGAGTCAACCTATGAGAAATAGAGTTAAAAAATCTATCTGGGCGTAGAAAAAGATTGGACAATGTCCATTCCCAAGGCCAGAAGGCCAGTCCTGCTTTGGACACGGGATAATCCGCTCAAATTCGCTAAGCAAAGTACAGAGAACTTAATGATGGTAGATCCAGTTACTCGATAGATTATTAGAAAGAGCCGTTGCTTATCCATTCCGTTTAGATACGTCCTTTGAGATGATAGTAGTGCAATTCTCCAAGTACTGTGGTTTCTCTGATCGTCGTCAAATATCGCAAGCGCCATCAGGGACGACGTTCACGGAATCCTACGGTTTACAACAAGCCAACAACAGCAACGACAAACCATTTTATTTGCCAAGTTAAAAAACAGTTTACAAGAACAGAATAAGTTACAGTAGATCAAAAGTAAATCAGGCAAAAAACTACCCAGAATAGAAAAAAACTAAACGAACTCATGAGTAGTTACAATAATCAAATTGGATTCTTTAGGGTTGTGACACACGAAAGAGAAAGAAAAAAATTAAGGAGAATAAAAAATTATGATAAATAAATAAATGAATAAATAAATAAAAATAAAATTGAACAAAACAAAACGGTACCAGGTAACTATAAAGGCCGAAACACACGAGGGGTTTTGCTCCCGGATCATTTTGCACGTGTCAGTACACACGAGGGAGCGTTTTCAAGTTCGCTCTATTTGCCCCGGGAGCTTGCTTCCAAACATTTAACCGGTTAAATATCGTGGAGCATTTTGCGGGGTGGAAATTCTGCTCCCGAGGATGAAGTATACCCGTGAAATCGTTGGTACACACGGAGGAGCTTTGCTCCCGGAACGTGCCCCTGGAGCATGCTCCCGGAGCAAAATCCCTCATTAATTTGGGTAAATCAACAATGCTAACCAGCATCAAAAGTGGCACTGAGTTTTTTGGCCGTTGCTTTAGCAGACATGGCCGCGTACACCTTTCCCCCGGATATATGCTTTCATTTCATAATGCACCTTGTTAGAGCCAGCAGTTCATTTCATAATTTGTACCATTACATTACATTGATACCTGTTGTCGCTGCGATCTGCAGTCTGCGGCAGAAAATGCCACCAACACCCGCGTTCCCAGTAGTCCCGCTCCAGTGGACGCCGGGAAAGTCCTGGGTCGTGTAGTTTCGGCAAACGCCGGGAACTCCTAGGACTCTCTCAGGATAGCAGTATCAAAATTCTTAAAGCCATTTATCTAAAGCCATTTATTTAAACGTCAAACTTTTCAAACCTCTGTTCCTGTCTGTTATTCAGAGGTGTTAAGCGATGGCTTTTAAGGCTACAGCTACGATCATAGTTGGAAATACTAGTTAGATATATTTAATATCTTGAGACACAATGACAGCCTGCAGCGATTGCAATATCAAAGTACCATTTGGTTTCGTTTCGCGAGATACTCTAAACCTATTTTGCGCATCATTTATTACGATTCTAATTCAATCGCTAGCACTTAGCTAATAAGGGTTATTGAATAACAAGCTCAGTCTCCTTTTGTACACCGCATGCATCCCTATGTTGTTCAAACAGCTCCTTAAGCTTCTCTTTGTACTCCGAGTGCAGTTTATTCATTTGTTGCTCGCTTGGATTTTCCACTTTCTCCACTGGGATAGGAGATCCAACTGAAAAGGAAGTCAAGAAAAACAGGTTACAGTTAAGATTATTCTAATTGTAAAATCTACACGGCCGGGGTAAAGCCCATCACCACAGACGAGCAAATTTGCCGGTGAAGGTGTTAATGTACCCTGGGTACCAGAGGTTTTTCTCGCGTGCGGCGGGAATTTTCGGTGTTGGCCGAAGGCCGACACATCTTCGGCCGTAGTGTTAATATGAAACAAGGTGTAAGTGCTTAAACAAACCTCGGCTCTATTAAATAAAGGGGGCTTCTTCTCTTTAAGACCCCTTTAATACCCGTTTACGCGAGACACTCCGGCAGTCAATAAAACCCGTTTCGTTTCTTTAAAATTTGGTTTTGTCAAATGATGATGGAGAAGTGTGACTTCCACTATAAAACGTGATGTGAAAACTGATGTTTTAAGATATGATCCCTGTTGTATCTAACAATGATGAAAAAAACATCAGTTTTACTCACGTTTCTCACGAACGCCAAAAGTAACTTCTTCACGTTGAAAGCGACAAACTAACGCAAAAAATGGCGGGAAAATGACCAAGTGATTATCGTACCGTTTGCGGATAATGGAGTGCACCCCCCTGCCATTTTTCCTTCCTTCCTTCGTTTTTCCTTCTTTTTGTCATCCCCACTATCTGAACGCATCGGACAGGCTTTCGTACACGTGGTGTAACGTTCTAACGTTTTAAGTATCATTTGGAACTTACCAACAACAGTAATAGGATGTGGATAGGGCATGACTCCAAAGCGCGCAAACATGACCTGCATGACACCTTTCAAGAAAACCTTTGACCACTTCTCCCACTTGCTGCGTCCAGGTTTGTATCTCAACAGGTAGTCGATTTTAGGCTGTTTATCAAACACGTCGTTTTGCCCAAATCCAAATACTGGAACCAAGGGGGACCTTGAATATGGCAAAGAAGCAGTTTCTTAGCTATCATCAGTTCAATGGACAAATGGGAAATTAAAGGATTGAGCTGTACTGAGTAAAATAGCGCATATCTAAGTCTACCTTAAAGTTTTAAAGTAAAAACAATTAGGTATTCTAAGGCATTTTCTGATGCGTATGAGGATAAACAACTGAGTAAAGACAAGTTCTCTGCGATGTCAAGGGCAACATGGAAGAAATTGCTCAGATGTGTTCAGTTTTTAGTATCCCATCTGATTCCTGAAGGAGACTGTACTTAAATAAGAGCTACAGTGATTTTCAAAGTGCTAAAGACGTTTGGCATCAAATGCTGTTTTTTAACACAGCGTCCAAGTCTGGTTTCTGTACATAATTCTTTATGCAAAGCCCTAAGTGACAATGGTATGGGTAAAAATAGGGGCTTTTTTATTCAGAACAGCCTAAGTGAGACCAAACTCAGCACTCTACCACTAATATGGAAATCTCCCTTGAGAAACATATTCCTCTCGAAACATTTGCCATTCCCCTGCCACATCCAAAAAAAGAGGAATGTTACCCAGTCTCCAAGGCCAGCTTGATAAAGCCTCTTCGTCTTTCCAAAGTAAGGGTATAAGAGCCAGGGAACAGGTTAAGAACTTCAGAGGCACCTCCAACAACAATGGCAACTGAATGCCCAGGGCCCTGCTGAGTCAGTACAAACTTGCAGCTTTCGTGGCTGACATTTACTACTCCAAGACCCATTACAATTTCACGAAAGATTGGAGACCAACCCATAACTGTGGAAAGGAAGTAAAAAATACTCAGAAACTCCATTCTGCAGCTCCCACAGGAGTAGAGAAATAGATAAGTGCTTAATTAACTTTTTTTTATTAACTTGCACTCAAGGCAGGTGAGGTGAGAATCAACCACTATGTCTTACTCCTAGTTAATATCATAGACTGATTGCAGTCCACCTTTTCTCTTAAAATCCATCTAGTTCTTATCTCATCCAGCGCGATTGTAAACCACGATGTTATTATTACAATAAGGGAATTGAGACCAGACGAGAAAAGACGGACTGCTGACTCTTTTGTAGTAAACAAACCCTCCGTCAGCCCAGAAATGGAGTTGAAATGGATAGAAATGGATTGCACAGCTGTTGACAGATAATTGACTGGTCTGTGGTGAGATTGCAAGCAATAAAAATAGTCACGTGACAACCAACTGCAAACAATAGCGAACCAAGCAGTAATCTCAGTAATAAAACTTTTAAGGATATCTTACAGAAGGAGACTGCTGTAAATTTCCTCAAGGGAAACAAATTCAAGGCAATCTTACTAGATTTAAAGAAACTGTATTTTTTTCAGTTTGTTGTTTTTGTTCTATTTATAAATTGTTTCAAGTTCCTCGGGTTTAAATGATTAATTAAATTACCTTGACAGCTTGGTTGTCCCCAGACAAAACAAAAGAGTCAGCAGTCTCTTATTTTTTATTCTTGGGCTTACGCCCTTGTTTCTCGCGGCTCACGGCAAAGCCGCAAGCTGTTTTTAGTGTCGTCACGCAACGCTCCTCCCCAGTGTGTGGGGAGTCTGTGGGGAGTCTGTGGGGAGGAGCGTTGCGTGACGGCTGTGTAGCAGACTAAGCAGCGTAAGAAAGGGTAAGATCTGGGTATGAGGAGGTGGGATCACTCCCATTCTCTTGTAGTTGTTGTTGTTGTTGTTTTGTACTAATGTACATACTCCTATTGTTCTAATATGGATACATACATGAATGCACTCCAATGTAAGGGACAACTCCCGGGAATTTCTTGCTGAATTGCAAAGCTTCTGATCCAAAGCCAATAGCTAGACCATCTGGGATAGCACCATGTGGATGATAGCAAAATATGTAGTTTCTCGCTGGGTCGAGCTGTGTGGTCTTGACCAAACTTATTGGGAAATAATCTCTCATATAATCAAACAATGGATTGTTTCTAATGAACTCCGCTCTTCGACCTCCACGGCTAAAGGTCTTAAGGTCAATAAAATATACCCACGTCAAGTAAAGGACACAGAGCGGCCAAATGATAAACAAACGATTAATTACCACATAAACTATGAGTGCTCCAAACACAAATAACGTACCAAAGACCAAAATCCAGTAGAAAACTAGCACGCTTAATCCTTGAAGAAGTCGAACTTTTTGAGTAGCAAGATAACGGACGAGTCCAGACATTGTTACTGTACTTGCATGAGAAAACGTAGATGGAAGATTCGCCTGGGCCGGTTTTCGTTTCCAGTTTGACTTTGATGTTTCGCTACAAAAATCTCCTATAATTTCTTCTATAGCTGTACTTGAAATCCTCATAGGCATACACTAAACATTGTGAGATCATGATCTGAGAGGCTTGGTTATGTAATCTGTTGTTGAACGTTCACGAGCTTTTCAAGGTGTTTATCTCTTTGCGTTGCGTGACAAGGTGTCGGAAGGGAAAGGGGGGCCTGGGCCCGTTTCTCCAAAGTCCCTATGACTTTTCGAGCCCGAAATCAAATATTAACTGATAGTTTTCTCATGTAAGATGCAAAACTATTGAAACCTCTATCTTTCATGTAAACATCAACAGCTTTACGGGCCCGTTAATTATCGGGACTTTCGAGAAACAGGCCCCTGGGGCGGTTAAAGACGCTGGATACAGACGCATTAAACGTCTGACTGTTAAGTGCGTCCTTAAGTGCGTCCCGTTTTTCTATTTTTTATATCTTAAATATTTTTTATATTTTTTATTTTTATTTTTCCATAGTTTTTGGCACGATAACGTATGCTAATTTGAAAAAAAGAGAAAACAAAAACTAAGTAAAATAAAAATTTTACTGCTTCATATATATATATAAAACTTAAAATGTGTATATTTAACAGCACTAAAAATGAATTTAGAACCAGTAAAGCATTTCAAAAGAATGACATCATCATCATCATTATTAATATTAATTGTTGTTATATAAGATTACTATTTATTACCATTACATCATCATCATTATTATTATTATTATTATTATTATTATTATTATTATCATTATCATTTTATTGATATACATTTCTTTATTAAACTATGCATGCGATATATAGTGACTGCTGAATCTAAGTCTTTGTTTAATTACGGAAACTACATTTCCAGGGGCCGGAAATCAGAAAAATCCGGACTGGGATTTCTAGCGATGTGGGCGTGGGTTTGGGATAACAGGAATAAACGTCTCAGACGTCCTCTAGTATAAATACGGCCAATTTGACAATAAGACTCAAGACCCGACAAATATACCCTGCTCAGCGGCACATATTCGTCAATGCCCTCTCTGGAATAAAATAATGCAACTGATGGTATTTTTTATTAAATTAAATTAGTCGTGTCTATGTCGAAAAAAGACAAAATGGCGGACGAATCTCCTAGAACGTGTCCTATTCCCCTTGCAGTGGGACCGACTTCTGTGAGGAGGGGGTCCCAAGTTTTTACCATGAATTTTCCATTCATTGAAAACCGAAACGTGTGTTTTTTCTATAGTTTATATTCGGTTTAGGAGCAGCTTTAAAGTCAGCGTAGAAAATATTAGACCACTGCAGCCCAATACACGGGAGGTATACGCGTCTCGTTTTGTCACAAATAGGTAAGATTTTTAACTGCAAGAATACTTTAACGAGACATTTCTTGTGAATTGGACCTTGGGCAAAGCCTGTGGATGATGTTTATCACATAACGTTCGTCCAGGATTTTCTTTGGATAGAGCAATTTCGTATTATGCTATAACCTTCTTATTTTTACCCTTAAGAAAACATTATGTAAGCTGCCTCTAAAGTACCATTTCGAGTTTTCCTTCGTTTAATTCCGCGCAGCCAAGCCTAAAAACGCACCAACCCATCGCTCTGTCAGATACGATTACCCTCTTTTTTTAAACGTAGGCTTAACAAGACATTAAACTAGCCGCAGAGCACTGAACTAAGACTTCGCCAAGCACTACCACTGAATAATGAGCTCAGTCTCTCTTGGTACACCGCATGCATCCCTATGTTGTTCAAACAGCTCTATAAGTCTCTCTTTGTACTCCGAGTGCAGTTTATTTATTTGTTGCTCGCTTGGATTTTCCACTTTCGCCACTGGGATAGGAGATCCAACTGAAAAGGAAATCAAGAAAAACAGGTTACTAATCTGATTCTGCTAATGATTGTTGTAATTGGTTAATCTACAAAGGGTACAGCCGATCATTGTAGATGTGCAAATGTGGACTCAGATGACTTCTAGTAAAGACGGCTTCCTACTCGAGTTGAAATCAGTTGTTGCAACACGTTTTGCTTCTCTGGCGGAATTAAAATTTCGTTTTACCAACTTCTGATGTAAAGAAGAGAGTTATTACCATTAAGATCCTTTAAGTGATTTGCAAACTGATGTTTCGAGCGTACCCAAATATAACGAAAACTGCATACATTGTGAGTCAAAGTGATGAAATCACCGCCCCCCAACAACACCACGATCATTTTTACACATTAAATAGTGCTGTGTGTGCTGTTGCTTGTTATGAAAAGTTCCAGGTCTCTGTTTGCAGATTTATACAGCTTTCAGGAGCCTTTTTGTCATATGCACTCAGTGCTTAGTTTGGTACTAAGTGGATGGTACCTGTTAGAAACCTGGAATTAAGAAGGTATAAAATAGGGAGGAAGTTTTTAAACAAATTGTGTCGCTGCGTCTATGGCTGAGTGGAACAAATTAAACACAATTGGTTTTATCAACTTAGTATTAGAGACCCTTAGATTCGAGGACGTGGAAAATTACGCGGCCGAGATTTAACTTAATGTTTTTTGGCGTCTTTTTAGAGAAAAATTCACCCCGGAAAACTTCATTGTCCTTAAGCAAAGTTATTTTTCTTGAAGGAGGTTAAGCGCTCTACCGATCGCAAAATGATAAAACTTCTAACACTTGATAACTTTTTTTCAGCTACTACGACACTCTCTCTTAGTCGGCTCAAATGACGCTGGTTCACGCGCGCGCACCACCTAGTATTGCGAAAATCTCGTTCTCGTAGTGACAGGACAGGTAATCTACTCATACCCAAGTCTTCCTCGTGTTTCTGTACCATATTGATAAAAGGATACGATTCAAACTGTATCCGACAATGATAAAAATTTCGTTTTTTCTTGAGTTTCTCATGAACGCAAAACTAACTACTCGTTCAAAAAGACAAACTAACGTAAAAAAAGGCGGGGAAATGACCTCATGATTTGAGAAATTTAGAATCTTAATAGCAAATGTCAGATTCCATTTGACAGTTTCTCAAAACCATCAAGTGAAATGAGCATACAAAAACTATGCAGACTAATTCTTATGGATGAAACTGGCGTGAAACTGCTAATTGTTTTGGACGTAATGAACAGTATAAAACGAGTTGAATAGCGATATTGCAGTCTTTACTAGCCACGTTCAAACCTTTTTTGCAACTTATAGGATGTTGCAGGTTGCGAAAATTTGTTGCAGAAAGTAGAGAGTAGTTCTACTTTTTGCAACAAAATCTGTGCATATTGCCCGTCTTACCGGACCAAGGTAAACTTGCTTCACAGTGAGTGACGTAACTCCAGTGTATCGCGTGACTTCCGCGTAATTTTATCCAATTCGAAGTCAGCAATCACGCAACTTGCAACTAGCTGATTTGTTGCAAGACAGGTTTGATTATTTATGGGTGGTAAAACACGCAACATCGTCATTCAACTCGTTTTGCAGGAAGTTGCAAAACAAGTTGCACGTTTTTGCTGCCCGTTTTACCGTAGCTTCAGATCGAGGTTTTTTGGCATTTCCAGCAAACCGCGAACGTCAAGAGGTCTCGTGACCAAGGCCTTGCCGTTGGGTTTGCGGTTTGAGTTTCGCTTTTGTATGGCCAGACCTCGCTCTAGAGGTAAGTGATTTACAGCAAGGGTTTTTGCACCCCAAAACATCACAATCTCAGGTTTGAGAAGAAATACTACTTTTAAGAACTCTTTTGCTGATTAATTAAAAAAAACACCCCCTGCGAATCTCAAGTCCCAAACCAGTATAGGCAAACGGGTGAGAAGCGAAGGGCTTTGAGAAAGTCTATACAATGGCCAAACCTCGATCTTTTAAGGGTCTCTAATCTCTCTAGCTGTGTACCGTAAACACTGGGCAAGTTCAGTGGCAGATCCAGACCTTCAGGGGGGCCTGTCATCCACACCCTGAGATAAGGGGGGGGCGGTCTCCAAAAAAAAAATTTTTCGGCCCTTTGGGCCTCATTTTGGTCGAAAAATAAGGGGGGCAGAGCCCCCCGGGCCCCTCCCCTGGATCCAACACTGAAGTTCTAACTTCAATATTATTTGAAACTTACCCACAACAGCAATAGGATGTGGATAGGGCATTACTCCAAAACGCCCACACATTACCAACGTGGCACACTTCAAGAAAATTTTAGACCACTTCTCCCAGTTGCTACGTCCAGGTTTGTAAGTCAGTAGGAAGTCGATTTTAGGCTGTTTAATATGAAACACGTCGTTTTGGCCAAATCCAAATACTGGAACCAAGGGGGACCTTAAATATATCAAAGAAGTAGTTTCTTAGTTATCACCAGTTCAAAGGACTGAATGGCTAAGGTATTGAGCTGTAACAAGTTGAACAGTGCATATTCAAGTTTAGTCTACTTTGAAGAATAAAGTAGTAAGAAAGGTATTCAAAGGCGTTTTCTGGTAAATAGGTGGACAAAGAACAAAGTTAAGATCTTTGTGATATCAAAGGCATCATGGAAAAATCATGCCTGACTTATTTGTCCAGTTTGGGCTGTGTGAGGTGATTATTATTAAGGTGACTATTAAAATAGCTGAATTCGAGTCAGCATTGTACTCTGAAAATGATCACAGTGACCCCTCATTTTATGGTGTTTTCATCATTTCTTTGACTTGTTACAACAGTATACCAAGTTTCATTAAATATCTATGCTGCCCAGTTAACTCAATTGAATAAGCGCCAGTCTACTGAGCGGGAGGTCACAAGTTCAAACCCCGGCTGCACCAGCACTCAAGGATGAAAAACCCTAGGCCTCGTCTCACAGCTCTTGCACTGTTCTGATTCTTGTGAGACACTGCTGTTCGTAAAGAATAGGGGGTGTGGACCCCGATGATGTTGTACAACCTTTCATTTGCTGGGTGGGTAATGAAGGGGTTGATATCAATTCAGACACAAGTCCTGTTTCATCCCGTCACCGTGTTGAGTCGCCGGGGTAAAATTCAATAAAGATAAAGTTTCTTTTACTAGAGAATCACCTAAGTGTTGCTCCTAAAGACACACACATCTCTTAAATAAATACAGAGTGATAGTCAAGTGGTTGCAGTCAAAACTTCAAGCCCTAGGCATTAGGAAGTAAAAGAACAATAATTAAATGGGGGAATCCCCAGAGAGGAGGCAACTCCTGTGTGAATTTGACAGGAATGCTCCTTGGAAAATACAGAATTACACCCCAAAAGAACACCAATCTGGGTGTGGCCCAGTCGTTTAAAATGTGACCCTAAAGGAGACTGTACTGAGACAGATCGGACAACCAAGCTTTAGTGATTTTTATTGTGTCAAAGATGTTGACATCAAAGCACTGTCAATTGGTATTGAAAACAGCATTAATTTAATGCTGTTCTCAACACCACTTGACAGCACTTGGTTTGTTTTCTCAAGTGACACCAGTATGGGAAAACATTTGGTTTACTGTCCTGAACTCTTTAAGTGAGACCAAAATCTGCGATGTACACCTCTAAGCAAGAGATGAGGCATCCCATCTCTGTACACCTCTAAGCAAGAGATGAGGCATCCCATCTTATTCACATGGAAGTGTTCAGGGACGGATCCAGGATTTTTTTTAGAAGGGGGTGCATTCATCTCTTGCTCTACTTCAACACCAATAAACCACATAGTTTTTTTTTTTTGCAGAATACCACTTGTATTAGAAAACCGCAGGTGATCTCAGGGGGAGGGGAGTGTGCACCCCCTGCACCCTCCCCCAAGATCCGCCCCTGCATGGAAGTGTTCCTCCAGGAACAAATTCCTTTCAATTAGCCCTCCCGATGCCACATCGAAAAAATGACAAGTGTTACCCGGTCTCCAAGGCCAGCTTGATGAAGCCTCTTCGTCTTTCCAAAGTAAGAATATAAGAGCCAGGAAACATGGTAAGAACTTCAGGGGAACCTCCAATAACAATGGCAACTGAATGTCCAGGACCCTGCTGAGTCAGTACAAACTTGCAGCTTTCATGGCTGACACTTACGATACCAAGACCCATTACAATGTCACGAAAGATTGGAGACCAACCCATATCTGTGAACAGGAAGCAAAAAACACTCAAGTGTGTCAGTACATCACAATACATTATTAGGTTAAACATAAAAATTGATTATTGCCATGGCAGCATGGATGATTGAAAACATGCCAAAAATTCTGAATTTATTAGGTTGAATTTGCACAGCTTACTGTTGATAAGCCTCCATTTTAAAAACAACTTAACCAAAATCTAACGAACAGTTTTTGAATTTTCCAATTTTTGAAGTGTTCCACATTCACCACAAACTCTAGCTCATCGCCGTCACATCACATTTCCAGTCAAGGTAATGGACCTTTGAGTGTTGACAAGAGTTGTCAAAATAAACCAATCATAATTGGTATACCGGAATCTGGTATACCTGAACCAGGGTGCAAAGGACAATCAATTTTACAGCTTGCGCTAGCATTTACTAGCCCCAAAAACTTTTTGACTAGCAGAATTGATTTCACAGTTCTTCTGTTATTCAAATTCCTCAAAAACTATCACTTACCCGTCGGGCAAGTTAGAAACAGATTTCATTAGCCCGATAGCAAAATCCACTAGCCCTGGGCTATCGGACACTAATTTCTTTGCATGCTGACCTGGACAAGCTTTTGTTATAAAGTACTACAGGCATTCCCTTGCTCTCACCCCCTACCCTACCCCTTTGCCGATTTTCCTGCTCACATCTTCTTACGCCATCCCCACAATCAGAGAGGGGCGGCACAGACCTTTACGAGATTTATGGGAGTAACCCACCCCTGGTCTAATATGCTACCCATACGTACATGAATGCACTCCAATGTGAGGGACGATTCCTGGAAATTTCTTGCTGAATTGCAAAGCTTCCGATCCAAAACTGATAGCTAGACCATCTGAGACAGCCCCATGTGGATGATAACAAAATATATAGTTCCTCGCCGGGTCGAGCTCTGTGGTCTTGACCAAACTTATTGGGAAATAATCTCTCATATACTTTAACAACGGGTTGTTTCTAATGAACTCCACTGTTCGACCCCCACGGCTAAAGGTCTTACGGTCAACAAAATATACCCACGTCAGGTAAAGGACACCGAGCGGCCAAATCATAAACAAACGATTAAATACCACATAAACTATGAGTGCTCCGAACCCAAAACACGTGCCGCAGGCTAAAGTCCAATAAAAAACAAGGACGCTTAATCCTTGAAGAAGACGAACTTTTTGAGTAGCAAGACCCGACATTGCTACGAAAACATCGAAGATTCACGATCGCCGAGGGGTTCGCTTCCGGTTTGACTGTGATTTTCCGCTACGAAAATCTCCTATAATTTCTCTTACAGCTGTACTTAAAATCCTTACAGGCACACATAACAAAATAAGGTTGATAGGCTAGCTTATGAAATCTGTTGCTGAATAGCTTTGCAAATGTTCTGATTTGAGCCGTCAAACGGGGCTAGTTCTTTCCTGGTTGTCCTGTGTTGCTAGACGGAAAGAGGAGACCTGGGGAGGTCGAAGAGTGCCTGGGTATTTTTGTAAAACTGAGCAAAATGTGGAAGAGAGGGAATTTTGCCAGATTATTCCAAGGTTTTGCGGTCCTTCTTCATTACGCAATTGTGCTGGTGGGCTTAACTGGTGTTTTTGGGGTTGGAGCGCTGTATCTTCTCCTCCTAAATCCACAAATTTGGCCTCTTTTGGCGTTATATTTGGCGTGGGTGTTCGTAGATTGGAGGACCCCTAGACAAGGTGGAAGAAAAGCCGCTGTCATTAATTTCATTGGCGCCCTGTTTCCGTTCAGATGTATGCGAGATTACTACCCCATAACACTTGTGAAAACAGCTGACCTCGATCCCGAAAGGAACTATATTTTTGGTTATCATCCTCATGGATTTATGCCCGATGGGTTGATGATCAGTTTTGGCACAAACCAGCTTGGTTTTGAACAAAAGTTCCCTGGCATCTCACCGTATATTGGCAGCCATTCCAGTAGGTTTTATATTCTTTGTAAAACTGCGACCACATTAACCCTTCAAGCCATACAATTTTCACCAGACTGGTCTCTATACACATATATTTCATATGAATTTCATTTAAGGATATTGTAAATATCATCTCATAATACAATATAAATCATTTATAACATAATGCCTAAAGGCAGTACATTGCAGGTATGTCATTAACAAAACATAACAAACGGTCAGTGTAAAACACAGACTGCAGACTGCGGACCAGGGGTAAAATGCAGACTGAGAGTAAAACGCAGGCTGGGGTAAAATGCAGACCGAGCAGTAACTGTAGTCGTGGAAGGGTTTAAGGGCAAAAAAATCCCACAAATACAGGTAAACGAACACTTACTTGACGACATCTGCTTTCACAAATCCATTCCTTTCTTCTCTGGAACGTCATCAACGACCTGAAAACATAATCGCAATCTTGAACCTTTTTTTCCGTCCAAGAGACTTCATGCTTCAACTTTAGATGCGAAGTTTTCGATATACGTGACCAGAGACCGTGAAGTGGTACAACACCACGATGTTTACGCTTAAATGAAAGCTGCTGACCCAAAATACTGTACAGGAAGAATTATGGCGATAAAAAAGGGAATGAATCATTCCAACAACAAAGAAAGATGTTCTTGCAGGAAATTTGGATGACCTTCTACAAAAATATTGCAAATCAAGGTATGCAGACTCAGGCTGTTCGGATGTTCATTGAAACTTCTGGCAAATGTGCAATGCACTTCGACTAGGAAGCGAAGTGTGTAACTCATACCGGCTAGCTCTTTCACCGATTTGGAGAAGAAGGAGCACAAATGTTTAAAAAAGTCTACAGTCTTTATTCTGCATTTTGCACCCAACCTACGTTTTACTCTCAGTCAGCAGTCTGCATTTTACACTCAGTCTGCATTTTACCCTTGGTCCGCAGTCTGCAGTGTGCGTTTTACACTGACCGCATAACAAACAAACTCATAGTCAGTTCTCTGAAATGCCATTTCAAAGTTGATACACTTTTACAGCAACTCCACTGATAAGAACCGAACTTAAATTTTAGCCTTAATAAGTTCTTATGTGGAGGGGGCTTAAATTGAAAATTTTGGCTTAACAGGTTCTTAAAACCCAGGTTCCTATACGCGGGGTTTTACTGTATTTGTTACTCCCCCCTGAATGGGATGCTAGCCCATCGCAAGGTTACCCCCGAGCAGTATGTCACCAGTACCCATTTATACACCTGGGCCCAGTTGTTTGAAGGCCGATTAGTGCTAACCCAGAGTTAAATTTTAACCCGGTTTTCTTTTTCTTTTGTTCAAAAGTATTTTCCAGGCCAGGGTAATTTCCTCTCTTCTTTTTAGAGCATCCAATCATCAAATTGTTGGCAGAAAGAATAAAACTGAATTTGCTTCTCAAGCTTTCATATCTGAAATCAAATTTCGCACTAACCCTAGGTTAACTTAACCCTTCTTTGAACAACCCGGCCCTGGGTGATGAGGGACAATGTGGAGTAAAGTTCCTTGTTTACAGCAACCACGCAACGGGTGAGGCTTAATAATTGAACTTTGGACCTCCAGATCCAGAGTTCGAGGTGTTAACCGCTCGGTCAGACACTCGTCCTTTTTAATGTAAACTGAACAGAAAATGTTTGCAGCTGCTAGGATGATCCACCTTCTGGGATCTTTCTTCCTCCATGTAAACAGTTCCTGTGTCTTCAGTACAACATTGTTAAACTGAAGTAAAATGACATTTTAAGTTAGTCTTAAGATTACGCAATATGCTACACCACCATCGTGGGGAGGAGCATTGCCTGTGTAGCAGACTAAAGATTACGTAGCCAGTAGAAAGGCAAAGTTATTAATAAATCCACAGAAGAATTACATTCTTTTTTGATCCATCCAGCGTTTTTTATAGCACCACTATATCATGAGATTGCAATGGGGCTAAGACTTGTTGATGCAGGATCAGAGAGTTGTAGATACATACTAACCCAGATGGGTGCAGGACACTCTATTGCATTAGTACCTGGAGGAGCTGCCGAGATGCTGGATTCCTGCTTAGGAGATTACATTCTTACTCTTAACAGACGCAAGCAATTCATCAAGATGGCTTTGGAGACAGGGTACTGTAATGTCCACCATTCATATTTTATCTATTTTCATTTGGTGAATTGATTAACTCATTTTACTTGCTTGAATTAAGAAATCCCCCAGGGCATTGATACATGTTCTAGAGCATTAATGTTTTGGTTCTAGAAATTATCCTTGTTAGAAGAGTCTTCAAGGCTTAATTTGTGTTAAAAGTTAAGTACGGTAGTGGAAGCCCAGACTCTTAAAGACACTCTTGTAGGCAGACAGCTGTACTTGCTTACAGCCACCTATTCAACTCCCATACAAACTCTTCATTTTTACATTCTCATATAAGCGGATATTCCTGCAGGTGGCCACAGACACACTTCCACTTACAAGGGCTTTCACTGTTCGAATTTTAACTGGAATTTCTAGGAGGGTACTGAAAAGGGATCAGAGGGTGATGAAACAATGATTAAACCCTTCCCAGGGATAACGATAAGTGATGCATGTGCATGAAATAATCTGCAATAATAAAATGTAGGAACATTAAATTTTGTAATATTCACTCTGGGAAAACACACACAAAAGCTAACAGCAAGGCACTTCCAAACATTCTCAGCGTGGTCCAGGAGAATACACAGCATACCCACAGACCTTGTCCCTCAGTTTAAACAGCAGCCTCCATGGTAATTCAGTCAGTTCTAGTAATGTTTAGGTCTTGGTAACCTAGCTAGCAGTTCTCGCCCCACCCTCCTTCCCGCAGCAATGGATCATTCTCTCCTGGTCTACTGACTTGCAAAGCTCCAAGCCGATTCTCCCATATCTTATGCATTTAGTCTCATTTTACTTTGTGTGTAGCTGTTTTGGGTGAGAATATACATAATTTACTATTTTTCTAATTATGATGAAGTGTTTTTGCTCATTACAGATCATCTCTCGTTCCTGTGTTTGGATTTGGACAAAATGATAGTTTCAAAATTCCATCTTTCGCCAACTATGAATGGCTGAAGAACTATAAGAGCTCAAATACATCACTCCTGAAGAAATGGTCAAAGCTAATGATCAAAGGAATAGTGATTTCATTTTCTGGAAAATACATTCCAGGTCTTCCACATAACAATCCAATTACAGTTGTAGGTAAGATTTTTAATTTTAACAGTACTTTATGACATTTACTGAGAATTTGAAACTTGGACATTATGTCTATGGATGTCATTTACGACTTGACTTATGTCCAGCAAATATTTCTTTTGGATAGAGTAAATTATTTCTATTTTTGCCGTTAATACCCTCTTACTATCAATGGTGGCCTAGTTAGCTAGGTTCTCCAGAAGCTCTGGCGACGAGCAAAGGTGAAAATCATCTTCCAGTCAACACAGAGGCTCTAGCGTCTCACATAAGTGTGACACAATAAATCCATCATATTTCATTTTATTTTGTTTCCCAACACTTTTGTTCGATAAGAACAAACATATGATATATATGTCAAATAATGTGGGTAATAAAATGTGTCATCATTGTGGCCAAAATTTCTTTCCTATAAAACATGCCCTGAAATGCACTTTTCAGGAAATTTCCCAGGGGGCCACAGAGTCCGACAATTAAGAAGCGGGGAGGGGGTTGTCCCCCTCTTATACTACCCCTAGAAACAGCTGTGTGACATTAAAGAAGTGCCTTATCATCTAATCGGTTGCTACCTACGAATTAAATTTTTTTGTCCTTCTACTTCAAACTTTCTGGGGAACAGTCTCTTAATATCTAACCCTTTGGCTCTGAGCCCTTTAACTAAATTTAAATTCTCCTTTGTTGTCCCCATACGTTTTCAATAAAAAAAGTGGGAAGAATTTGTATTCATTTATTAGATTCAACTTCTGTGATCATGTCCTCAATTCTCATGACTGCTTTGTTTAAGCATAGATATTACGAGCCTTAGGAGAAATTTTATGTTGATCACTCTTTAGGGCTTACAGGGTAATATCTCTTTCTTTGTCTTCAGTTGGTTCACCAATACATGTAAAGCAAGTCACCAGTCCAAGTGATGAACAGATAGACCAACTTCATACTCAGTACTCAATGGAAATAAGAAGATTGTTTGAAAATAATCGAAACAAGTATGGCGTACCCAGTGAAACCAAACTTATCATTCAATAGTCAATAATTATATAATAATACTGGTAATAATAATAATAATAATAATAAATATTGATCTGTGCTGGGTTGTTGTATATGGGATGAGTGTCAATGTAAAGAAAAGGTATTATTAACAGAAACAGGCAGTGTTCTGAGTGTAGTAACAGTCAGACTGGCCTGATCTGCAGTCAGATCATTCAGATCATTGGTGTAAGAATCTATTAATCATACAGATCACTATGCACATTTCAATGAACACTTTCCTTTCTACGTGTAGCAAAAGCTTACTATAAGTCATACAGAACAAAGCTTCCAATTTCATGCTGTAAAATTGAGAAAACAAATAGTGCAATGTATTGACATCTACCATTTGGAATCTTGTTGTCTGAAGAGTTTTAATTTATTTAAATGGTAAGACCACAAGATTTCATCCACAGACCCCAACAAAGCTCTCATAGTTATTAATCCTTATTATTATTATATTGACTATTTAAAGACAAAGTATGGTTCTCCTAGTACCTGTATTGTTATCTACATTGCCTTTGATGCAATGACATGTTAATGTTATTATTTTGTACAGAAATATTTTTTATACTGTCTCAATTCATAAAAATTAATTGTGGCACATTACATGTGTGCAATTAACATGGGGTCACTTTTCTGGCAAGGAGTCTAATAAAACACTTTCAAATAATGGGGTAAAAGTTAATGGTATAATTGTTAATTAGCTATCACATTTGTACTTGAAAAATATTATATATATTTTAAAACAACTCTTTTATAATATTGATAATATATTTTGTCTTCTCTAACTTATAAATGGAGTTAATCTACCACGAAATAGCTACTCTTTGATTTAAATCACAAGGGATAGTGGATTATAAAACTAATTAGCAGTTAAATACTATTACTTTACAAGTTAAGAATCTTGTATAAAAGTGCCCATCGCCATTCATACATGTAAATCTGCTAAAAAATACATATTTTTGCATAAACATTAACACTAAAAATATTTCTAAAACATTTATGTAGTTGCAATGAGTACAAAGTCAACCAGTCCTGACCTTCACTGTCACAGTACTGGTCATTAACACATCCAACATACAGTTATTTTTGTCCAACAAAAAAAGGTTTGATGCTATTAGTAAATAACCAGCTCTGTTGATTCAGGAACATTGTACTTTGATTTGTGATCTTCAAAAAGCTTTTTGAGTCTTTCAATGTAAGTAGCATGAAGGTCATCCAATTGTTCAGGTGTTGGGTTGTCCACTTTTGTTACTGAAATAGGTTCCCCAACTGCAAAGGATAAGAAGGTTATAAGAACGTTTATAAAAATTAACTCCCTAAAAGCAGTCTCTTACACACAAGCTGTCTCATTAAAGGGTACCATTCCAATTCTCTGAAGAGCATCCCTTCCCAGTGCATTAATTGGGCCCATTAATTTGCAGAGAAATGGTAATATGGGACAAAAACACCTTGCTGGATGCAGGGTTTATTCTAGGAATTGACCAGTGAGGTTCTTTCTCTCTTTTTCAAGAAAGGGGGTCCAAGAAAGGGGGTCCCCCAAAAGGTATTCAGGGCCGTGCTCTAGCAGAGCCTGGTGGCCCCTGGCACCCAACTTTTGCTCCTGGGCAACTAGAAAATCTCAGATTTTTCATACAAATCATATGCTGGGCACCCTGGATTTTACAGGTTCAGAGCACTGGGCACCCTTCAATTTTCCTTAGAGCATAGCCTTGGTATTTGAACTTGTTGGTACAGACTAGACTGTTCCATGAGAAAATGAATGTTTATTTACACTTTGCTGCCATTTTGGAACATTCTGGGCAACTGAAAAAGCTTGGGCTCGAATTACTGTAGAATATAATAAATAACTTATTAACCTCGCATATCAAGGCCTTGGTCTGAGATTTCCCTGTAATGACCTCACTCTCGGTTTATTAGTACTATTAGGGAGCGGTCATTAACTATTGGGGGGGGGGGGCTGGTATATTTTGGGGGAGGGCTGTGTTTTTTTGGGCGCCCATTTGGGGTGGGCCATAATTTTATGGGCCCACGTTTTATAGGGGAGGGTTACAATTTCTGGGCGCCTTTTATTAAAACTTTGGGCGATGTGCACAAATGGGTTTTGTGCTATTGACTTTAGCATGGCAAGAGAATCTTCATAGAATCGTATACTCAAAGCTTAATTGCACAGTGAAAAAGCTCACACCCAGAACAATTTTATAAACATCACTTGATTTATTGTTATTTTAAAAAATCAACAAATTCTGGTATGCTATAAAACTCAATCAGTCTTAAACAGTAACGGTATCAAACATATTGCCAATGTCCAGTGAAGATGTATAAACGACTACTCAATGGGCTCATAGTAAGGAGTGCATTCCATTGTGTTCCAGTAGGGGCCAATGTCTTCTGCACTGCTGCTGTCGTGATGCTTCCACTGCAGTAAAGACACTTCCCGAATCCTCCTCCTGACATTGTTCAGTTACATCACTATCATCGGCCCCGTCATCGCTATTTCTTTCACTGTCTTTGCTGTCATTGATGCTACTTAGGTTGTCTTGGTCGCTACTTTCATCGCCGTCACTTGCATTAGAGCTACTCTCACTTTCAGAAAACCCTAACATTGTTCTAAGCTCTGATTTCAAGGCTGTCATTCAAAAGTTCGCACTGATCAAACATCAAAGCTACCGCCTATTTCTGCTCTCTTTTTCCAAGTTCTTTTACGATGTCTCCGCACAAATCCTCATTCTCACAAATCTTACCCTCCGACCAATCAGGCGCAATCTTCTTGAGGACCTCAGTCGTCCTGGCCACATGCCTCGCCTTTTTCCGCTTCACACTCTTTTGGGTATTTTGTTTCCTTTTTCTTGATTTTCTTTTCATTGCAGAAAAGGGGTGCTTAAATGCTGCTTTGCAGGTTTCTTGGAACTGACTTAGACTAGTTATTAAAGTGTGTAATTCATTTTTAAAACCCTGCAATTCGGTTAGCTTTTGCTCATCAAAGTCATGTGCAGTTTTATGTCCTGTTAAAACTCTACCTGATGAATGGATTGTTCTTTCTAAGTGTTCCTTTAGGTTTTTTTGTAAAGTTTCGATTGAAGTTTCGACCCTCTTTATGTGTAACATGTTCTGCGTTATGGTCGTTGAATCATGCGGCTTGATGATTATCAGCCAAGAGTAGTGCTCAGAAAGTTGTTTGCTGAGGGTAAGTTTCTGCTAAGTGAGAATAGGAATTAACGTCTTTTTGTACAATCCACATTTTTAATATCGTGATACCACCAGGTATTCAGTTTTTCTTTGTCCCCTGCTCGTGTCATGTTGATTATTTCACCTTATAAAACATGTATTTATTGTTACACTTTTTGCCTTTGATGCAGGTAAAATGAATGACGATGATGCCATAGAGAACTTCAGCAGGAAATATGTTGTTGAGAAAAGGCTAGTCAAGCAATATCTGGACCATCTTCTGGAACTAGAGAGGAAAAGAAACAAGAGGACAGAAAGCAGAAAGAAAGCGAACCTGGAAGAGAACCGAAAATCTTTTGCAGATTACAACTGGGAAGCAATGTATCGAGAAGGAACGCTAAAGAAACTGAAAGTTAAGATCTTAGACCTGTATGTCATGGAAAGGAAGCTAAAGCATTCCAAAGGAGCACTGAAGCAAGAAAAAATAGACCTCATAACCATAGACATTGCTAAGAAGATAATTGAAGGTAGCGAAAATCTCGATGACAGCGATTGTGACGATGATGTTGATGATGACATTGATGATGGCAATGATGATGGTGTCTTGGACGAAATCGGAGAGGATGATAGCGATGATGACATCAGTGAGGATTCTGATGAGGACCAGGAGGAAGACTTAATCGGTCCAGCAGGAAAATAACTTTGAAAATCTTTTGCACACCACACGATATGGCCGAACTTGCAGGACCTGGAGGGGTCGAGCAAGAGCTGCGGACTTCTCTTGAATAGAGACAGCTCTCGCTGATCCGTTATTAAATACGCACAATTTGTTCACTCTTGAAATTGACTACAAAACAGGAATTCAATGAGTAACAACGGGGCTGTTTAATGTACGGGTTCCCTTTACTTGGTGAACCATTGGGTTTTGTAAATAGTGTATTAAAATAGTAACACTTTTTTCTTATTCCAGTGAAATAATTGTCTCAAAATAACGTTCGTAAAAAAATCAAAAGTTTTTCACAGGGGAGGGTTACAATTTTTTGGGCTCACATTTTAAAGGGGGCCAAGATTTTTGGGCTGTTAACCTGAGAGGGGCTAACATTTTTGGGCTCTAACCTTTGAAATAATACCGACCCTCCCCCCCCAATAGTTAATGACCGCTCCCTTATATTGGGATCAATTTAGGTTTCTGGGAAACTGCCCATCTACTCCTCCCCTCACTTAGGGCAAAATGTTGGGTTAGGGGAGGGGTAGGTGGGCAGTTTCCCAGAAACCTAAATTGATACTTATATTGTATAAATTATTATGATCAAGCAAGAAATAAATATTGCCTCTGAGATTTGTGATCTAGGAACAATGTAGTATTATCTACCAGTAAATTGTTCTCTTAAGGAAATAATAATTATTACTTCACAGTATCACCTACCAACAACATTTATTGGTTTTCTGTGTGGCAAAAAACCAAATGTGTACTGAAAAATTCCCCGACCATGGAAAAGAACAGGGGCAAATGCAACCTTCTTCTGGATTTTCAGCTGAATATCTCGCAACCATGATCCCCTTGGATTATTGACTTGGTTGAATACATCATTTTCGCCAAACGCAAATACTGGAACTAATGAAGCTCTGGAAATACAAAAGAGTTCCAACATAATTTATACTGTAGATACTGCATTTAATTTGCAGCTGCATGTGCAATAATGGAAGCGACTGATTGGGAGGTAGCCTGAGAAAACAGCCAACATTTTGCAATGGTTTCCCCATGAAATAACATCTGAGAAATGAGTGCTTCTGATTAGCTGAAAGCTTCAGCCAGTCAGAAGGAAGCAGAACCCAGATCTGGGTAGTGACATGTCATCAGTATGGAATTTCTGGACTCATTTCTCAGTTGTCATTTCATGGGGAAACTAGTGGTGGTGTCATGAAATGTTGGCTGTTTTCTAAGGCTTTAAACTGGAAGGTCCTAACCTTCACACCTGCAAATTGTACTCCCAATACATTACACCCTTTTCCATTCTAAATTATTATATTTTGGTATTGAAGCCAGAGACCTCATCTAAACCACTTTTTGAGGTTCCATAATATACTGTAGGAATTACAGTACAAACCACAGGCAAGAGAGGGAAATGGCCTGTGAATACAGCTGTCTCTCCTCACCAATGTTTCGCAGGAAGAGACCTTCTCCTTTTCTCTTTCTCCCCGGGAAACAGGAAAGAACCCTGGCTAGAAGAAGAACCCTGTGTTCTGATCGACCAAATTGCCTGCTTGGGATTTTCTGCTTTTTTCCATGAGAAAACGTTTTCCTTTGGCCACATCATCATCATCATCATCATCCTTCATTAACTGAGCTTGTTCAGTCAAGATGGCTAAATACTGGCCTTGCCCTCTTTTTTCCCCATTTATCTCATGTTTGGGGTAGTAGTTTTTGTACAGTAGAACCCTGTTAATGCAACAACTGTTGGGTCATAAAATCCTGGTTGTAATAATGAGGTGGTCACATTAACAGGGTCTTTAACCCTTTAAGCCCCAATATCCACATACAAATTCTCCAAGCTGATCTCTATACATTTCCTTTAAGAATTAGCTAAGAGAATTTGATAGAAGATCAAAGTATTTTCTCCTGGGTGATCATTTTATTAATTCTCATAACCTCATCTCATGACCATGTATGAATATCGTTAGGAGAAAATTGCTGTTGGACACTATTGGGACTTAAAGGGTTAAGGTAATAAAATGACTCAGTGATTTTTATGTCTGGGTTGAAAGAATATGGTCATGATAACAGGGCTCGAAATAACGGCCGGTCAACGGACAATGTCCGGACTGATTGGGGAGTTGACCAGTCAACGTTTCGTCTTGCCGGTCATGTTGACTGGTCACAATCGATCGTATTGAAAATGAAATCAGTTGTGTCAATTGTTATAAGTATGTAGCGAGTCGCTGTGCATTGCGAAACGTTGACCTGAAATCCTGGGTGAAATACAACTAGAAACGTTGTTTACAATTCGCGCATGGAAACAGACATTGGGGTTCACGCGCTTTCGGTCACAAAATTAAGAATATTTTCACTTTTATCAGTTAAGCAACTCAGGGCGTCTGATCGGTCGCGGAGAAAAAAAGTCAAGTTTCGCGGGATTTTTAGAGAGATCCGCAAAAAAATCGGCTGATATCGCAGGAATTTCGCGGAACTTTTCGAGACAAACTTCGCCGAAAAACAATAGGTAAAAGCGGCCGATTTCGTGGAATTTTCTGGACAAATTTCGCTAGAAATCGATCGATTTTGCGCTGATTTGACGAGCGTGTTTAAAGTTTTTTAACAGAGATAATCACTTGCTATTTTAACTACAAAGCGCTCGAGAAATGAGCCAATGGCAAAGCTTTTTAAAACATCATGACTAGTGCCTAGTTGTTCCCAACATAACTTATGCCTGGTAGTTTTGGAACGTTGTTCGCTCGTTGTGGGGATGAACGTGACGGCAATTAACAGCCCCAACAGCCGAGATAAGTTTCAATTATGTTGTATTGACATGTATTAGATAGAATTTCTAACAAATTTCGCGGCCCCGCGAACCCGCGAAATATCTAAACCCATAGCTGTTTTTTGGAACATATAAAGCCATTTTTGGTTAATGGGACCTTGTTTTAAGAATTAACATTTGACCGGCCAGAAACGATAAGTGACCGAGCTAAAATGAATTTGGCCGGTCATCGTGTCTGAAGGCTCTCCGGAAATTATTTCGAGCCTTGTGATAACAAGGTGGTAATTTAAACAGGATGGCCATATGGCAAGGTTCCACTGTATAGTGAGACATTTTTGGATGGAAAGTTTTCTCTTATTGTCCACGAAGTTCAAATCTTAAAATTATTTATTTTTCTTAACCGACTCACCCAGTTCTCAAAGCAAGTTTTATGAATCCTTTCCTTGGCTTCAGAATCAAGGAATAAGTTCCTGGGTGGGCATCAAATGCCTCCTCAGCTCCTCCTACCACAATAACCACTGAATTTCCTGGGCCCTTCTTGGTAAGAATGTACTCGCAACTTTCACGGGTGACATTGCACATTCCACTGCACATGATATAGTCACGGAATAAGGGTGGCTTGAACAAGGCTAATTAATGAAAGTAAAAAGGATACAAAGATCAGCTTTGCGATGAAACCTGGCAAGGTTGAAAATCATCCCGCAAATTATAAGCCCTGGGGGGGGGGGACTCCGCATATGAAATGGGGTGGGATGCTAGTCGTCTTGTTTAGGGGTGTAAATTTCAGATTTTGGTCTTACTTAGGGTGTTCTGGGCAAAACGCCATCATATTTAGCCGTGAAGGTCTCGTTTAGGGTTGCACGCGAAAAAAACTTAAAAAGATATATTTGATATGTATATTTTTAATGCATTTTATTTACTCCAGTCATATAATCCAAGTTTTCTCATTTGTCTTTGTTTTAACATGGTCTCTTTTAGCGGTCAAAAAAAGCTTGGGCCACGCCCAGATTTGTCTCCTTTAGGGGTTTACTTCAAATTTCCGACGAGCACCCCCTTCCCTTTCATATGCGGAGTTCCCCCCCGGGTTATAAGCCTCCCAGAGGTCCTGGGGACAGCGGGTACCCTAAGTGAAAAATAAAAAATAATGATAGGAATGCTTGTCATCTTGCTTTGGGGTAGAAATTGCAGATTTTCGTCTTACTTGGGGTGTTTAGGATGGAAAGCCAATATTTTTACAGAAATATCTTAAAAAAGAACTTAGGTGTGCACATTGGAGTATGGCCTGAGTCATGCCCGGATAAGCCTCCTTTTAATAGAGGTTTAATTCTTTTTCTCCAACAAGCATGCCTTTTTTATAATGGAGTTTCTCCGCCCATTACTCACCATTCCTATAAACTGTCAAGCAGGAAAAGTGACTAAAAAAGGTTTCCACTCCTCCGTTCAATAAAATACCGTGATCAAGTACCCTCTGTGTTATATTACGTGACACTTGCGTGACAGGCTACAAAACACTCAACGTTCCACTGATTTCGTGCATTCGACCGCGTACTCTTCACTGACAAAATAAGATTTTTAAAGAAGCCTTCTATACCTACCCATAAGCGGCAACAAATGCGGAGTAATGCCGGGAAAAACGTCGGTAAAATCTGTGGCTTCGGTGGCGAAATTACAGAAGGCTCCGGCACATAACACACCGTGGGGATGGTAGCCAAATATATAATTCTTGCTTGGTTCAAGTTCCGATGTTTTAACCAAAGTGATTGGGAAGTAATCTCTAAAGTACTTCCATATTCGCAGTTTTCTTATAAAGTTTGATCTTCGTCCTCCGTGTTCGGGTGTACGTCCATCGATGAGGTAGGCCCATGACAAGTAAAGGATGGCCAGAGGATAGTATGAGGTGAAAAACAATCCCAGTATGATAAGAGTGCCAATGAGGGCGCCAAAATAGAACGAGTAATAGTAAAACGCAACTGCTGCTGTCTCCAACCGACGATGGAGAGGTATGCGAAGAGGCGCAAATTCAACGAGCGGCATCTTGTCCCGATGCGAGTGCTGATTTAGCGAATTAAAGAATTGCGCCAAGACAAAGAACAAAAACCGTGTCAAAATACGTATTAACATTAGACTATGACCTTAGCTTCCGCTCTGTGAACTTTTGAAAAAAAAAATCTTTCAACGCGGTGATCTGCACGTGTTGTTAGCCCAACAAAGCAACAAAGACCTGGAAACGAACTGGTCATATTGGGGGGCGTGTCGCGGGAGTGGTGCACTTAAAACATTAGCCTGCGTGGCAGGCATTTGAATAGGAAGGGAAACTTTCAAATGCCTCCCTCGCTTTTATTTTTTCGCACTCCTTTTTACTTCGCACCGCTCCCCACTATCTGAACGCCTGGAACAGGCTAAACATTGGGGTGTTTTCCATCGAAAGTTTGGAAAAAGTGGCAAATGGTACGGAAAATCCAGGAAAAGTGTCCAGAAATTTCGGAAACTGTTGAACTTCCGAAATGCGAACTTAACCATTCAACCGAAAATTCTAGAAATTCCGGGAGCAAAGTTGGATGGAAAGAAAACTTCCGGGAAAAAATTTTTCGAACATTTAGGTATACCTCGCGAGGTTGTCCTCTTTTTTGGAAATTTTGAAAAAAGCTGTTCCATTCACTACTGGAAGTTGCCGAAAATTCTAACCGGACGTTTTGGTTGAATGGAAAGCGTCTCACCTTTACTGATCTGAGATCACTGGAAGCTGCCAAAAATGGGGATTTTAGGTTACCTCTTTATAGGGAGTCAAAGAAAAGGACTGTGTACTTGAAGGGACTACCTAGCCCTTATGGGGTTGACTGGACTTTATCTTACGTACGAGTAGCTGCACCTTACTCAGAATAAGGGAAAACGGCGAGAGAGCTTTGTTCAGTTTCTTCTTTGGGGAGGGTGTGGTTAGGCTGAACACACCTGGACTATGTGTGGCTTATTTTGTGCTCTCTGTGCTAAACAGGACAGGGAGCTTGAACTCTAACGGGCCTTAGTTTGTTAAAGGAAAGGAAGAGTGCATAATTATTTTGTTCATTGTCCAAACAGGGTTCAGTCCAACACAAGATACTGTAGATGGTTTAGACTTCTTTATTTAAACAGGGCCAGGGTTTCTCCCCTTTGAGGCACAGTTACACCCCAGGCCAACATGGAGGTAACCCTGCCCCACTCAGGCAAAAATTGTGGACACAGGAGTGTTTCAAGTCCATTTCCTTTTTTTCGTTTATGAAACTACTATGTAGGGGCATGCTGAAAGTTAAGGGATCATAATAAAAGATAAGAGAAACAAGTAAAATAATGGCACAAACCTTGCATTTGAAGATTGTTTAATGCAAACCACTTTAAATAAACCAAACCAGTAACTCAGAACTTCACAGTAATTTTCTAAATATTGAGGTGAATATTGATTCACTATACACTTTCATCAATCTTTCTATCGTTTGAATGTTCACAAAGAAAAGCATACACAAGAAAAATAATTTGGTAAATGAATTTCACCTAAAATTCACCTATCTGCTTTCATCAATATATTAATATTTTTATTATTGAATTTATTCATATTATTGGACAGGCTGTTACATGGGTACAGCCAGAAGCTGGTCAGTGCTTGAAATGACTTGAAGCAAAACCTACTGCTTGAGTCTTTTCTCTCAAAAATTTTACAGATTTTTACAAAAAAGGGCATTTAAATATTTACTAATAAATCTTAATTCTTAAAGTCAATCTGACAATAATATTACTGTACCAATCAACTAGACAATTCTTAGCTTGACACTTCTTGCCAAGCCATATCTGTGCTTATGTTCCTCAAACAGATTTATAAGTCCTTGGACATATTTCTTGTGGAGCCTGTTGACTTGTTGAGCACTGGGGTTTGTTACTGCTCTCTTTACTGGGATTGGAGCACCAACTGAAAAGGAATCAAAACATTAGATTTACTGAACATCAATAACTAAAAGATAACTGAATGGAGGAAAATAAAACACAAAAATACAAACTAAAGGGTAAAAAATTATGTGACACACATAAGCAACTACACACATAACTTTACTAAGAGAAATACAGTGTCAATCAAGCACATCTGAGAACCAAAAATAAATAAGCAATTTCACAGGCTAACACAAAGTTACCCTAGGGGAGAAAATCTGTCCACAGGAAAACTATCAGGGATTCAAGGAATGTTGCACCTCTCAATGATGAAGGAGCAGTTGTTTAGGGGAGGTAACATACTGGAAGATTGACAGTATAAAGAATTCAGAAATTTCAGAAGGAGGATCATGAGGCATGGAGATTTTTAATACTATTATTGATTTTTTTATCAACAGCATCTTCGACCACAATAAAGACAGTCTCTAGACCACAGATTTTACAGAGAATTCTTATAAACCTTTTAATACAATTTCCATCTAAATCTGCCTGTGACTGCTAGTTCAGTAGTACATACCTACAGTGCAGACCGGTCTCTTATGGGGCATGATGCCAATTATTCTTGGCAAAATGCCTCTACCAAAGAACAAAGGCGGAGCAAAGGATAATATTTTCATCAGCTTGTCTTGAAAAGCCCTCAGCCGTGAACCTCTTGGATTACTGACTTGGTTAAATAATTCATTTTCACCAAAAGAAAACACTGGCACAAGATATGCCCTGCAAAGGAATTTATACAAAAAGGGAAATTAGTTTCATGTACAACTAAATATGAACTGCACAATGATAAATAAAGACAGCAAATTTAAAGTTTGGTACTCGGGGGAAAAAGATGGAGTAACAATTACTACAAAGAAAAAATTTTGAGCTCCAGACAGGATTTAAACCTGACACCTCTTAAACACCAGGAGGGTGCTCTTTGACTAAGAAAATAAGAGCTGAAAAAGCAAGTATGTGTTCTTTGATAAAAGTAAAGAGCACCCTTTTAACATTCTACAATCACTTTAAATGTACATGAACTGGTTATTTTTGTACTTTCCAGGTAACATCCTTAAATTTTATTCAATGTGTAATGCACAGTTCTCTGAACAGTAAACAGTAAAGGTATTGAGAATAAGATTTGTTCTTAAATTTACTTTGCGAGGAATAAAGTACTGAAACTAAACACTAAGGAAAATATTATTTTGTTCTCCTTACCCTGTTTGAAGAGCCATCTTCGCAAATCCTTTCCTGTTTTTGAGGGTCAGAGTGTAAGAGCCTGGACGGGCATCAAGAGATTCTGCTGCCCCTCCAACTACAATCACAGCTGCATTTCCAGTACCTTGCTTAGTAACAATGTGGCGGATACTCTCTTTTGAGACATCACACACACCTCCAGCCATAACAAAGTCACGCCAAAGGGGAAACTTAAACATCACTAAAAATATAATATAACAGTAATGAATCCAATGAATAAGATGACTCGCAAACATCAGCATGATGTATTCAACAGTAAATTATCATTACTTCAACGTGCCAGAGGATTCATTTGAAAAGTAGCACCATGTGAGCACAGCTTCCCTGGCCCTTTCAATCTCCTCAGAAAAGGGGTGGACCATCAGAAAAGTTATGACAGGAGTGGGGAATTTTAAAGCTACATAAATACTTTTTTGTTAACATTTCCTTTAGTTAATTAGCCTGCAAGCAAGCTCTCCTATTTGGGCGAGTGAAGCGAGTCTCGTGAAAACACGTGAGTGAGCGGTGAAGCCGCGGCCCCTCGCGGCTTCGCCGCTTGCTCGCGAGACTCGCTTCACTCACCCAAATAGGAGAGCTTGCTCGCAGGCTATTAGTTAATTTTCGCTGGCATGAATATTTTTCCACTCCCCACCCCTATCCCCCAATAACTTTTCTGATGGTCCTTCCCTAAAAAAAGATGGAAGGGCATCTCTAGCTGCTCACACGGTAATACCTTCCTGATTCATTGAGAGGGTTGACTGTAAACTGATACATTACATACTTCATGCATCATGGGTGGTGCATGCAACCCCTCTCAACCATGATTGATAACCTTGAAATTTCAAAATTTACTGTCTTTCTTTCCTAAAAACTGACTTTTAAATATAACATATAGTATTTCGTTGATATGGCAAGGTACCAAACTGGAAAAATTGCGTCGACCAGTGAAAGCTATTTGCCTTTAATAAAGAGATGAAAGCTTAGCTTGCAGACTTAGCTCGACTTTCGTTTCCTGTTTATTGGGATGCCGTATACAATTTCAGAAGTGTCATTTACGTCGTGAAAGAACAGGGTTGTAAAAGCAAGATGTTTCGAAGGAAGCACATCGCAAAATCAATGACTAATAAAATATACATGCATATCAAACACTTGAGTTATCTCTTAACTTCGCTATTCATTGAATAACTTTGCATAGGCTGTTGACCTTTCGATAGAACTGTGATCTGTGGATATAGGTACATGACAAGTACTTTGCAGTCGCAAGATGTACAAAGAGTGAACGAGGGAGGCTTCGTAAAGTTTACTTGTACACTATGAAATTATCTCAATTGCATATGCGTTAGCATATTCACAATAGGCAATTGTAAGCGTGTAAAACGAAAGAGCAAGGGAATTAAAAAAATTGAAAAGATAAACATGTGACTTACATTTTAGAGTTAGAAGATGAGACTTAATCCCGGGAAAGAGATCACTAAAACCAGTGGCCTCGGTAGCAAAGTTAGCCCAAGCTCCAGCGCACATAATTCCATGCGGATGGTATCCTAGAATGTAGTTTTTGTTGGGGTCAAGTCTCTTTGTTCGTATGAGTCGCACTGGAAAGTAATCGCGAAAATAATCCCAGGTTTTAAGCCTTCGAAACGCCTCGTATCTTCGGCCTCCTTTAGAGGGCGTCTTCATGTCAAAGCAGTATGTCCACAGCAAATAAATCACCATAAAGCCGTACAAGGGTGTTAAGAGAACATAAATCGAAAAAAGAATGCCCAGAGTGTGAGCAAAGATAAACAAAGTCGTCATAATCAGAACCGCCGCAAATTGCAGCGGTTCTTCCAACAAGTTGCTCATTGACAGCGAGACACTGGTGTTTTTTCTGTACTTGCTCGACATCTTCGCAACAGCGTCCTGCTTCTTCTCGACGAGAAAATTAAGAGCCGTACTTACTCTCGGCAGGAAACACCTCAAATGACGGCTGTACGAACTTTGATCAGTTATTCGACGGGGAATTTTGTATTTTGATCTTCACCGGACGTTGCAGTGGCCTTGGTTGGCCTTCGAACTTTGTCACGCGTTGTTTTGATTCACGTGTAAATTGTCACGGAATCTTCAAACCTAAACAAAGAAGCACGTGATAGTACCATATATGGATTCAGACTTGTTACCAGCCGGCAGCGGATTTTCCACTTGCACGGCCTGAGACATTTTCGGAGTTAATGCAGTTTTTGGCTCATAACGTTGACTATGAGCTTTCTTCCTGGAACAGCAAGCCTTATAAAGGAGATTGACAGTAGGTTTCTGCGTAACTCTGACAAATTTAATCATACAAACCTTTATTTCAGGCTATTTAACACTATTTAACAGTAAAGTTCATGAATTTTAATTAGGTAGTGTTAGCCTGATTCACTTATCAATGGTTTGCCCCAGGGTGGAGGGGCCGGGCAGCCCACGGGAAATTTGACATTTTCAGGTTTTCAAATGTCAATTTCCCCACCCTTGGGTCTCCATTGTAAGTCAAATTCCCACCCCTGGGGACCACAGACCTTCACAGTAAGTTAAACGAAATGATAGGCACTCACAACAAGTTTATTGCGGCACTCCTCCAGACAGTAACAATACTTGTTGGCAAATGGTCCCCACCAAGTTTGTGCATTTTCCTAAATGAAGAAGGCATATTCTAGGTATTTAGCATGGTTCAGTTTTGGTTAGCAATTTCACACACATTCTGTACTGCTGAAAATACCTGTGAATTGTTTCACACAGTATTTACAGCAACACAAAATGTGCAATGCCAGAACATGTCGTCATCAAGAGGGGTTAATGCACAAACTTGGTGGTACCAATTATCACATGTATCACACTGGATCCATTCTACAGTTTCAGCTTTATCATCATTTAATTTAACATTTGGAGTATACTAGCAAATCTATAAACACAGAGAGTATCGAAAACTTGACATAGGGCGGCATCCTCTGAAGACAGGTAAGTAGGAAGTAAATTTTGATCTAAATGAGCTCTTGTGCAAATATTTCTTCTCAAAGCTGAAGGAAAAATACCTTATGTTATTAGAACTTTAAAGACAGAGCACTGATGGACATAAAAAACAACACAATACTCCTTACCTTTCTTTCGGCCATCCTTGGACGCGGGAAACTCGCTCAAATGACTTCTGGGTATTTTCCAAGATGGCCGACCACTCACTCATTCCCAGGTCGTCTCCACTTTTCAAGATGGGGGTCGAGTCAAATTTCCCACCCTGGGGACCGTGGTGGATGTCAAAATCCCCACCCACGTGCGCTTTACGAAGTCTAATTCCCATGGGTTGCCCGGCCCCCCATCCTGGGGCAAACCATTGATAGGTGCATGAGAAAATAGCTGACATTTGGCAATGCTACCTTTGGTTTCCCCGCGTCATTTGGCGGAGAAAAGAGTGGTAGCATCACCAAATGTCGGCTGTTTTTTCAGGCCAAGGTAGTGTATGATGTTAATAGCAGGTTGACTGACTGCAGGCAGGCGGGCAGTGTGTGTATTTTTAAAAAGTTCTTGTGAGCTGTTATATTTAAGATTTCTACTAACGATCTAACGGTGATTAATTTTAAAGATGGAAATACTGTGAAATATAGCTCACACAACTTCAACTGAACAAGGGTAGATCCAGGAATGTTTCATAATCGGTCTAAAGGTTGAGTTTATGTTCCAAAGATGTTAGTGTTGTAAGTGGTCTATGACTTGTGCTGTCATTGATCTGGGTGAGTGAAATAATATTAGAATAGCTATCAGTAAGTTTGAATGAATAAAATAATAAAATGAGACAAACCTCTTTCTTCTATCATCTTTCATTGACAGAGAAACTTATGGTTGTTTTAAGAGATGGAAGAACTCTGATAGGATATCTGAGATCTATAGATCAATTTGGTGAGTATACAGACTGCTTGCAGTACCCTATTTTTCTGTAAGATAGTCAGGAATGAGTGCTACAGGCAGCCATCTTGACCGAGTCTAGCTTGAATATGACTATCTTATCTATGGAGGGGGTGGGGGACAGTTTAGGAGGAGGTGAGAAAAATAAAGGGACTTCCACAACAGCACACTACAAGCGTTTTATAGAAATGACAACTTGTCAATGACTTGTCCGAAACTTTGAACCAAATACATCTATTATATAATCACCAATAAGGTCCCTACTAATGCTGGAACAACGCACTCCTTGAAGGCAATCTGCAGTGAAATTGCAACAGTCCCGCTATTTTTCTCCACTCCCCTCCCCACTGCCATAAACAACTGATGCCTGCTCCCTTGTTACATTGGAAACAAATTACAAAATGACTGTCTAGTGGTTGCTGTTAATGTAGCAGCCCAGTGAGTATAAAACACTGTAAATGTTTTGAGCTCAGGAGTCAGTTGTTTAGGTACAATAATTTTGTAAGTCGCCCAAACCGCTCCCTTCTAAAGAGGAAGAAGCTGGAAGCTCCTCAGACATTAGTTTATCCCTTGATCATAGCAAGAACTGGTATCACTGAACTATCCAGGCAGCAAACAAAAATAGGAGGAACACTTTCCTCTTTTAACAGACATTATACTTAAAACAGTGTAGGTAAAAATTGAATTGTTTCTGGGATATTTCAGCCAACCTTTTGCTTCAAGATACCATAGAAAGAATCCATGTTGGAGACAAGTACGGCGACATTCCCAGGGGAATTTTTCTTATCAGAGGAGAAAATATGGTTCTTGTTGGAGAAATAGTGAGTAGTTTTTAGATATCGTAATAATACCTTAATTTTGTCATGTGTATGTACTTCTCTGTTTTGAAAATAAGCCCCAGAGAGATGGGAACTCTGAAGTTCAAAAGCCGCCTTCACAATAATTGCTTTTTTTGCTGCTGTCAATCATAAAATAATAATATGCGATCACAAGCAGCACACAGAAACACACAAAACGGATTGAAATCCACCAACCACAAATCACAAACCATGACTTTTTGAACCCACCGAAGAAAACTTGTTTCCTAAGGGGGGCCGCTTAGATGATTGATTGTATAGCTTTTGAGCTTCAGAATGGTCGCATGTTTTTGAAAAGTGCTGTAATAGTGGGGAAATCTGTGTCAACATAATTTTCAATGTTTGAAAGGACAATATTCACTGGGCATTGTAAAAAAATTCTCATTTCACAATATAATCTCAATATTGAAAAGATGTGTCAACTTTTGCAAACACTGCAGCAATAAACTTCATACCTGTGATGTTTTGTAAATTACCATAGCCTTAATTTACTCAAAGAAAAGAAAAACAAAATTGCAGATTCTTCTTCCAAATTGACTTAAGTTTGCTGATGAAACAAGGAGAGAATTTGACATGACATCAAGAGTCCCAGAGAGCCTTTTTTCTCAGAACTCTTTAGATGAAACCTTGTGTTACTGTTTTAACCCTGTTAAACCCCAAAAGAGACCAACATTAATTTTCTCCAAAGAATGTCAATACATTAACAAGATAAAAGGTGATGAGACTGAATAAAATGATCACCAATGGGAAAACCTTTGATTTTTTAACAAATTCTCTTAACTATGTTTTTTATCTTTATTATTAAGTCTGGAGAATTTGTATGGGGATATTGAGGCCAATGGTGTTAATAAGATAGGAGTTGTTGTTTCATTTTGAAAAAGGATGAAGAAAAGGAGGCCAACTCAAAACTTCAAGAAGTCTCAGTGGCTACAATTTTGGAAGCTCAGAGAGAGGAGCAATTAGCCAAAGAAGAGGAAGAGAAAGCAAAAATGAATGCAAGGCTAAAGCAAGGACTTCCTGTGAATGCACCAGACTCTTATTTAAACAGTGATGATGTGTTTGGTTGAGTACCTTGAAAAAGAGTTTAAAAATGAGGTGGCAACACTTTAAGCTCGGACTCAAAATTGGCGACTAGAAGTAACCCCGGGGGGGGGACTCCCATATGAAACAGACGGGAATGCTCGTCGTCTCGCTTAGGGGTATAAATTTCGGATTTTGGTCTCGCTTAGGGTGTTCCGGGCAAAGCGCCAATATTTTAAACCGCCAAGGTCTCGTTTAGGGTTCCGCGAAGAAACACAGAATTACGCGAAGAGAAACAGAAGTCAATTTTCTTTTTAACTTTGTTTGTTATGTCTTTATATCATTAAAACTCATTGCATGTCGTATTTGTGTGTTTTTAAGGGTCTCTTTTAGGGGTAAAAATTTGCTTAAGCCACGCCCAGATTGGTCTCCTTTAGGGGTCACAAAAAGCTTGAGCCACGCCCAGATGGTCTCATTTAGGGGTTAAATTCAAAATTCCGACGAGCATCCCCGTCTGTTTCATATGGGAGTCCCCCCCCCGGGGAAGTAACAGCAAAATCTTGCAAGCAAGGGTATTCTGAGCCTGAAGTTTACTTCAAATGTTACTTGGCGACATTATGTTACAAATGTTCTTCAGAAAACATATTTCCATTATATGAAAAAATATCATATAATGATATATAATGAATGTTTATAATGATTTATTTAAAATACAGTCTCTGGTCTGCCAAAACGGCCCTTGACCCTCTAAAATAGGAGAAAGCAGAAATCTCACCATTATTTATTTTTTGTAAAGTTGTTGTACATCTGTGAGATACACGCATTTTTGTAGTAAATGTGTTTTGAGTAATACTGTTCCTGTTATTAGCATAAATGTGCACAACCACAAAGTATATAATATGTTCTCAGTAAAGAAAAAATAAAAGGTAAAGATCGTAAGAAATAAATACCAGTAAATAAAGAGAGTTTTACAAGGCCATGCAGGGTAAATATTTTCTACACGGGATGAGAAATTTTGTATCTTCAAGCAGCCATGTAATGTTCTGTTGATTGTAAACACCAATGAAATACCAAACCACTTCACTTTAATATTCTTTTTTGCCACGAAAGGCGTGATTTATTAGGTAACCAAAACATCCTCAAAACCTGAAATGAATTGATTACAACTGTTGTAAAATGGTATTGACCACTCCAGAAATACCATAACATACCTTAACGCTCTTTGTTTGCCACTCCAAAATTTTTCTTAAGCATTGTCTTCAGTTTCTCTTGGGAGTTAAAATGGCCCCAAGAGAAACTGAAAACAATGCTTATGCAAATTTTGGGGTGACAAACAAAGAGCATTATGGTATGTTATGGTATTTTTAATTCTGGAGTGGTCAATTCAGAATAGTGTCTGCTGTAATTTTATTTCCGGTCCATCAAAATATGTCGCTCTCATTGCACAATAATTATTATTACTTACTCTAATTCTCAATCTTTATTTGAAACGTTCTGAAAAACTTTATCCCAAACAGGCCGAAAAATGGCCTGTAGCAGTTAACAAGCAAGTGATTGCTGTCAACAAAGTCTGTTAAACTTTCCCAGTGGTGCTCTGCAGTTTGGACATGTGTGAATAACATCTTTACATGTATCGATGCAGAATGGAATAAGACAGCAACCCAGCCAACATCTGAAACAAGAAGAGACTCGGAATTAGACAACGAATGTAAACATTTGATCAATTTAGTTGGATGATAAGTCATAAAGTCATGGGGAGGCTTCACCCCATGTTCCAACCGCGTACCCTCTTAGTTTGTGAGAGAAAGTGTACCCCTTACCTTTCATTAAAAAGGGGTAGCCTTGTCACAGTAGCAGATCCAGGGGAGGGCCCGGGGAGGCCACCCCCCAATTTTTACACCAAACTGAGGCCCAAAGGGCCAAAAAAGTTTTGGGGGGTGACCGGCCCCCCCTTATCTAAGGGTCTGGATGACCCCCCCCCCATCTCAAAGTCTGGATCTGGCACTGTTTCATACCTACTTAAAAAAATTAAGTAGGAAAACAATTGCCATTTTAGATCATATAGCGTCCGAGGTCTTCACCATAACAGATCGTATCCTGCACCTCTTCACACTGCCACGAAGAATGTCTCGGAAACATATCGGATATGTAACGATTCACTTTCAAGATCGGCGCGGCGCAGTTTTGTAATTGCACCGTTAATAATAATAATATTAATAATAATGATAATAATAATAATAATAACGTTATTAAAAAGCATCCGATAAAATTACATATCTGATGTTACAGTAAAAATATATATTGACAGAAAAAAAATTACAATGATCAAGATGAATAAAGAAAGATTAAATTGATTAAAAATACATATGGGGTATTTACACAGCTAGATTATATTTAAAAATCAATCTATTAAAAAAGCTATCTTTGAAACGTTCAGTGTTAATGCTGGGCCTGACAATGGATTTCCTACGAAGGTTTACAATACAGTCTTTGTACCTTGGGAGCAAGCTTTTTAATGGATGGTCATCGCGTTTGAGGTTATAAAAAAGGCGTCTGTCGCTTTTCTCCAGAAGTTCATATATGTTGTAATTAACCGACGTATAACGCCTCTTATAGCATCTTTTTAAAAACCTTTGTATAACAGTAAGTTCGGAAACACTTGAAGCATAAACTGAAAGACCGTATAATAACTTAGGGATCACAATTGAATTAAAGAGATGGTCTATTTCATCTTGTGTATATCCTTCCTTACGTAGGCTTCTGATGACAAATAAACACTTGTTGGCTTCATGGAGCTTGGCCTTGACATGCAAGCCAAACTTACAATTAAAGAAACTGATCCAAAATAATCGTTCTTAAGAGCTTTCTGGTATGGTATAGACATAAGTTAATAAATTAAAACGGTACAGCCAGATTGCGACATCCTCGCCCTTTTATATACCTGAAGCCTGAAAAAGGTACCGCTTTCGGGTGGAGACTGCCCGATCGCCCCCTTCCACAAACACACACCCTGATAAAGTCTTTCTAAGAATTAGGAGAAAAGCATCTCGGAGAGGCTAACAAATCTAATATCCAAATGGACACCTCGGCTAGACTCTGATCCAGACTTGGAGAACTTTCGAAATCTCGTCCCATATAAGGGAATCCAAGACATTCCTGGATTCTGGATTCCACGCCACGGATTCCAGATTCCAGGTACTGGATTCCGGTCTTTGTCAGTGGAACTTGGTTCTGGATTCCAATCGTTAGTGGGATTCCGGATTCCTTAAGCTGTATTCAGGATTCCAACGCCCAGGATTCCAGATTCCACGGCAAAAATTTGCTAGATTCCGGATTCCACAAGCAAAAGGTTTCCGGATTACCTTACATGAGGCGAGAAATCGTCAAGACAGCGGCAGTGAAAACGTCAGTAAAAAACTGAAGTGAATCCACGTTCTTTTCTTTTACTCTTCTAGCAGCGCCTTTCTTTCAAATGCTCGATGTTAGCGCACTTTAGAAAGGAAACAACGAGGCAGTGGTCGCAGTGTGCGTTCTTTCAAACGTCATCGCAAATATCCCGGCAGTTCACTTTCTGGGGTTGAATTTGTTAGGGGCCACGTGCAATTTAAAGAGAAAGAAATTCGTATCAAACTTTGCCTGTTGTTAAGGTTGCATTTTTGGAAGACAATGGTGCTTTTGTTTCTCACATCCTGTTGTGTTTCAATGAGCGGCCTTCGACCGTTAATTGGGTATGATCGGTAAATTTTCGGTGTGACACTTTTTTGCTTAGTAGTGGTCTAGTGGGGCAAAAATTTTAAGCGAGAGAGATCGCGAAGTGAATTTTAATTTACGTAAACTGTATCCATTTCTGAAGGCCGCATAAGAAAACAACTCCGGTTATTGTAACTGGGAACTTCAAATTTTGTTTGCGCAGAAATCTGTCTAGTAATTTAAGGTGGCACCGTGTCGTGTCATGCGGTGACGGGGAAGAAATGAATAGAGGATTGCTGAACGAGCAGAGCTGTTGTTTTACTTACTGAACCCACGTTTTTTCCTTTTTCACGTTCGGAGTTGACGTGTTGCCCTGTCGTTTCATATTAAGCTCTCTGTTTTAAAAAAAGTTCCCAGACTACGCGCTTATGCAGAGAACCGAGAGAATTACGTTATCTTACTCTTTTAAATCGTTCACAGGAAAAAATAACGGATTCCCATTTTTGGATATTTTAGGGTATTTAAAGAATACCCACAAAAATCCTAAATTTGGAAGAGTGAGACAAGTCCCAATCTGGGAACTTGGTTGGGAATTCGCTGGTTGGGACTTGTCTCACTCTTCCAAATTTAGGATTTTTGTGGGTATTCTTTAAATACCCTAAAATATCCAAAAATGGGAATCCGTTATTTTTTCCTGTGGTTGAAGTGAACATTTGATTTTTGGATATATGAAACGTTCCGAGTATGTCCCTTTCAAATCTTATACAACGAACACGTCAAAAACAAAAAGTAAAACAGACTTAAGTTACTGCAGAACCAACAAAGCGGTTCTTTGACTCGACTTAAATAAGTCACCGTGTAAATCCCCTTTAAGTTCAAAGGTTCAGTATGGTTGTATTTTCACGTGAGTCCACTTCATTGCCTGTTCTAAGCGTTAGGTTAGAAGTGAGCAGGGCAAAATGAAGAGCGAAGTTCTCTCTGTTTCCCTTGTTTGATTTTAGAATAGCTCCGTCCCTCACTATACGAACGCCTGAAACGGGCTATCTTTTAAGGGCGCACAGTTTTCACATCACAAGAAAACAAAGCAAAGAAGAAAAGAAAAATTGAACTGCTGTAAGCTTTCGCTTACCCCATAAAACACAGCAGACTCGCTGCAGCATAAGTCAGGTTTCCATCTTCCTTGGTAGTGACGGTGAAAACTCTCGTCTGACAGTACGGACAGACTACGTCTATGGGGACCTCGCCATAAACAGGATAAGCCGGATAAACTGGTACAGGACTGTAGCCATTTAACCGGTTTGGCTGGTTTTCTGTCGGCGGGTGATACATTTTGGCTGAATCAAAATAAGCGTTATATTCCCCAAAGATAATTTCTTGCCCGAGTCTTCGAATCAAGAATTCCTTGCAAGAATTCCAAGTGACGTTGGTTTTAATGAATTCGGTATCATTGATACAATGGTGAATCAACACAACTGGGAATATATTACTCAATGAAAATCGAAGTAGCCAATTATAAGGATAAATTTTGAGGCAAAGTAAAAGTTAAAAAAAAAAACGTATTATGAGGAGATTCTCACAATCTGGAAATTTTTATCAAATCATCTTTTCTTGCCAAAATAAAAAATGTAAGTGAAAAGAAACGGCATTACAGAAATCCTAAATTGGGCTGCATTTTTTCTTCCTCGAATAAATTTTCAAAACAAAGGAGGAAAGAGTGAATGTAAGGCCAAAACAAAGAAGAATTTTTTCATACTCCGAGTATGAAAAATTTGAGTCAAACTGGTTTTTGAGGCAAAGGTTTTGTTTTACGTGAAGAGTTGAAATATTTTTGCAAGCGACGGTCCTACTGCAATCTGATAAATACCAAGTTTTATAACTTAACTGTAACGAAATTGAACACAAACTCTTCGCTTTCTACTTTCACTTCGAGGTTTTAGCCAGTAAAGAAGCAACCGAGGTAAAACTTTCAGTGGAGTTTCTTGTGTTTTCCTTACGTTGAATATGTCTAAAACAAATTTAACATTTGTAGCTTTTTTAATACTAGTGCCGCGGTCTCAGAAAGAATATTCGTACAGCTATGGTCCTGGTGAAGTCTCCATGTTTTACAATCAAATGTAAATTACTGACGTGTTTGAGTTGTTGTTGATCAAACCAAACTTTTGTTTGATTAGCTGTAAGTGTTTGCTACATTATGATGAATCTATTAGCGCGGCAAGCGAACACATGTGCTCTTTTTAGTGGATGGTTACTTTTTACTCTGAGCAAAACACGTAATCTAATGTATGAAACAAAGAAAATACAGCAAGACACGAGATTACCTAGGTGTATTCTCGGTAGTTCCAAAAAATTTTCTGCAGGTTTTCAACTTCCAGCTTGACATAATTTTGTCAAAGCAACACCTGTTGTACTGGATTTCTCCGAAATCCGCCGCAGTAAGTTATATCAGACCAAGATATTTCAAGTAACATCAAAAAATGCGAGCTCATTTTGCTCTTGCTATCCTCGTTAACTTGGTTTTCACTGCCTACAGTTCACACGTCAAAGAACTTACTCTGTACAATTTTGACAAATTCGTTGACGGTGAACGTTTCGTCTTCGTTTTTTTCTACGCGAGTTGGGAACAGCGATGCGTAGAAATTCTTGAAGGTTACGAAGAAGTTGGCGACACATATGCAGACCGCGATGATGTGCTCATTGCTAAGGTAAATGCGTACGAAGAAGTCAAACTGGGTACAAGATATTGGATCGATGAATACCCTTCCTTTCGGTATTTTATCAAAGGAAGTATCACAGAGGAAACGTAAGTATACAATTCTTGGCATTACCTATTATAAATCGAACAAAAACAAAGAATAATCTTATTATTCAACTTTTCAAACACCCAAACATCTGTAGGAAGACAGTAGTATAGTATATGGCGGTATGAGCACATTTACCATATTTTTGCTCTATATTTTGGGCCATAATTTCACACATCATACATAACAGTATGATACCAGTTCAACTATGTTGGTTTTGTGTATGATTTGTGAAATTATGGCCCAAAATATAGAGCCAAACTATGGAAAATGTGTTAATACTGCCATATAATATACTACTGAAGACGGCCTTGGGGGCGGAATTCACGGAAACTCAAAAAAAGAACTACTTTCATTTGAGAATTTGGTACACTTTAGGATTTCATGAAATCCACTGACTCATATAAGTCTAAACCACCTTGCACAGTAGACATTACCGCAGAAAAGTACCACTCAGTCATTTTCATTTGAATTGACACACTAAGTTTTGAAATACAGACTAAAAAGCTAAAACCATCCAGTATAGCATAATTTCATTTATTGTTTAGAAGTTGGAACTGCGATGCTTAAAATAACCACATTTTCATCAAGTAATCAAGTTTTACTTGCATAAGCTCCACAGTACTGCGTGCAGAGTAGCTTTCATTTGAATAGTCATACACAACTAAGGGTTGTACAATATTCATAGTCACCAAAATGACAATCAACTCGTAAAACACAATGAACAGTATTTTACAGTTTTAAATGTTGTAATAGTAAGCCGGTTAAGACTTTTGCATAAGACTTTTGGTACATTGTCAACAGTCGATATCGTCAAAGAAGCGTCATCGGCAACGCTATACTTATAACAGCATGCTTTCTCCATTTTGCAGTTATAAAGGCAGCAGCCATCCCCAAGACCTGATCCGTTTCATCCAAACTAAAGCATTCCAACGCCTCAATCTTGGCATTTTCCTGACTCCAGTCATCGACCTTAGCTCATCAAACTTTGAACGCATCGTCAAAGACAGAGCACGAAGTATCATGGTCCTCTACTACAATGGCAACTGCGATCTCTGCAACAGTTTACAAGGCACTCTGTACAACGTAGGGGTAACCTTCCGGAACGAGCCAAAATGTCTTATCGGTCGACTGAATTGTGACGCAGATCCGCAGATCTGTATTGAACAAGACATTCCGCACTATCCCAGGTTCAAAGTGTACTCACAGCACAACAAGGACGGCGTGGTGTACGAGCCCGGTACGAATCAGGAGAGCTTCAGCGAGACGAATATGACCAAATTTATGAACGCGTTATGTGGGACGCAGAGGATTTTGCGAGGAAGACTTAACGAAAAGGTGAGTTTGTGGCAGACAGGACCGAGTTGTTGGAAGCTTCGTCTCAACTTGAGAAACTTAACGAAAGGTACCTCAACGTGAAAATTATCGCGTTCAATTAGATGCCCTTAGTGTGAAACTTCAATATTGTCTCCTTAACTCTCAGAAATTTACTTAAAGGGTTCTTAGCGTTGGCATAAAACAGAGACATGAATCGTCTATCCCCTCTTTGACATTTTAAATCCAGAGGAACCACGACGTAACGAGCCACTTTATTATAAATCTCTTAGTAAGGAAAGGTCTTCACCCAGTCAAAATGAAATGTACAAACAACACACCAAAAAATGCCTGTTATGCAGCAGTTTTATTTTAATTTTTTTATCCCCCAGTTTTGGTAAACTATTTAAATATTTTTTTGTGGTTCACTTTTATCCTTTGTTTTTGGGTGTGATGAAGTACGATTAACGAGCTTGAAACAAAGGGAAATATAATTCAGACCAAGGTAAAACTGAACCACAACATATTCATTACTTCATCTTTATCCGTCAAGGATTTTTCAACGAACCGACTAAATGACCAGCTACCCAGTGGCTAGCCTGCGAACGAAAACGTATTTCCGGTCAGCCAAAAATTACTTACTGTTCGGGTGGAGAGAAGCGACGACCTGAAATAGGTGTGCGTTCGCTACCCATTGGCCGGTTGGCTAAACTAGTCAGAGCGCAGAAAGCGCTGCATCGATATCATGGAGGTGGAGATTTCGAATAGAGTACAAGCCTGAATTTTCTTAGACTTTGTTTTTGTAATTGAAAAGGTCGCATATATAACTGGGTTGATATTCTTTACATTCAACGGCAGGGAAAAGTGAATTCATATTTTGTATTCCTTTTTATCAGGCGGGTCTCTTGGACGACTTCAACGACCTAGCGGTCCAGTTTATGACAGAACACAGAAGACGCCGAGAAATATTAGTGGCAGCAAAACACAAAGCTTTAGCACAAGCTGAATTCCAGACGGAAGCCAATTTTTATGTTTCTGTGATGGTTCGAATTGCAGAGCATGGCGCTGGAATAGTTAAGGAGGAAATTGATCGATTGGAACGCTTAATCGCCGGTCCATTGCACGCTAACAAGGCAGACGAACTCGAAAAGCGAAAAAATATCCTGAAGCAGTTCCAGGTCTTGCATTACGAGAGAGATGAATTATAACCTGCTCGTGTCTGCGGTAATTTTCTAAACTCAGTTTTTCATCTTTGTAATTTAGTTGACAAATATTCCAGTTTAAGCATGTTTCTTTTCTTTGGTTTTCTTTTTTTAGTAAAGATTTACCTGCAAATATATTTGTAATACGATTCAGCTATCGCTTTAATTCAAACTTTTAATTAAGACTTGCCAATTCTTATAAGTGACGTTTAATTTCTGGGTCTGTTAATTAAAAAGTCGCTGATGATAAGAGAACCAAAGTTGGAAGCAATTTACTGATGAAGCATACGTTGAAACAAACACAGCAGCAAGGTTACACTGTGTTGTAGCTTGGTCATTTTTGTATTGTCTTTAAAATCACATTTAGCTATAAAGATGGTGCTTCAGCTTTAACAGCTCCTTTCCAAATAAAAACTTAACTTCAAGGACTGGTCCAGTTTTCTTTTTGTTTACAAAGATCATATTTCCTTCTTTCCCCTGTGTCCACTCTTTCTGTAAAAGTGTAGGTAAAGTGTAGCTAACATTCCCCGGGAAATGCAAAAACCTTTGGCCTCTAACAAAGCATCATAAAAAAGATAGCCTTGCTAGCGAAAGTCAATGAAAAAGTTCTGTTCAGCCACTTATTGGTCGTTTGAGTTTGCCCAGGCCCACTTATCCCCTCGGTCCATTTGTTCGAGTCACGTTGCCTAGCGATGAATTGACGGATCCGTCCGCCGAAACGCGTGACCGTGAAGCTTAAGACCTGTGGGAAAACGCTAGGCAAGCGACTTCAAGATTAACTGAAAAATATCTCCTTTATCAGCATGTGTATTAACTCTCTTCATGGAATGAGTGGCTTCAGCACGACGGACGATCTCAATCACGCTCCAAAACGATAAACTTTGTGTCAAGTTCATGTAAGTCTTTTTAAGCAACGTTTTTAGGTCTATTCCGCCCGAGGAATTATTCATTACCTCCAAGCCACAGCGATTCCATATGGATTTCACGAGCGTGGTCTGATAAACGTATCCAGGAAGACAAGAATACCCCCAATATTCCTCTGTTTTAAATAGTCCATGTAAGCACGTCTTGATCGGCCCTGCAAAAGAGAAAATAACAAGAAACATCTGTCTGTTTTTAAAGCACTGACAATGGCCAAGCTGGGCAGAATACTTGGTAGAAATCGGCTTCCCATTTTTTAGCATCTTTCACGTAGGCCAAGGAAGTCATTGAGCGATTTTTGTGTAAAGTTTACGAAGGAAGACAACAAACGAACAAAAAATTTAGGTACCAATTTGATTGGTTTAGTGAAGTCACACGTGTCAAGTTTTTAGTCTGTTTACGCTCAAGGAATCTGTTTTTACCAGATAAGGAAAAAATCCTTAAGTTCGTTTTCAAGGTAAAAGTTTATCGTTAAAATGATCTTGCGGGCAAGTCCTTACCTTAATTAAACTTGGAGTGAGCTTCATGCCTTCAGACTGAGTCTTGAAATTTGAAAAGAAAATATTAAGTCAGATTCAGATTCTAAACCAGATGCGAAAGCTTCGAAAGGGTTTATTCCTAAGCAAGCTAGGGAAGTTGCGACTGGAGAAAGCAGAATTTCGTATTGACGTGTTTAACTTGACAACTCGTGAAGAAGCAATCAGTCCCTCACCTGATGAAGAAATGTCCAAGCTTCTCCCACCAATGATATGTGGTGATGAATTGAAAACAACTCGTTCATGTGGCGCACAGCAAGAGAGTCAGTCACTGAGCTTAAAAAGAAAGTAACTTGGATTTTATGAGTTCTTATTCTAAAGGAAACTTAGATTCTTTCTATGTCCCACGCTCTTGTTTCTCTCTAAAAGTTCACGCTAAACCAAGCGGCTGTTTTCTTAAATTTGGCCCCAAACGACGGCTGCAGAGTGAATACATACTGCTTTAAGGGAGAGACGGGACCTCACATACCGCTCTTCTTCTCTCCTTCTCAGTACTTGCGTCTCAACGATTTCAACTTCCCTCATCGTTTTGAGCATTTTCATTTTTTTTATTCGTAAAGCCAGCGAGAGTGCTTATCGAATTTGTTACGCTTCAAGTGCGTCGTTTATTCGAGGGTGGCATTTACGTATTTGAAAGTTGGATGCGACAAAGAAATGTAGCCTTTCGATTTCGATTATATCAGGGCCGCGGTGATTATTTTTCCCCCGAATGCGACGCTTATTTGAGTAAATACGGTAACTCTATGACGCAGCTGCAGTCAAAGAAAGCATTACTTCCGTTGCTTAGCAGATCTTCGACTTACTATCTATCTCCTGGTTACATGTAAGCGTGGACACGTGACGAAAAGGATGCAAACATGACATGTTTTGCCGCCAAACATTCGACGTTTGGGATGGCGTTAGACGAGAGTTCACATGCAAAGTAGGCGGCTGTTTGTCGACTTGATTTGCTTTCTCTCCGTTGAGAAGAATCAGTCTGGAGTTGTAAACTCCAAAGGATAATTCTTAAAAGCAAGTGCGTTGTTTCTAAGCGAAAAATATTCCTGAAAGTTGTGAAAAATAAAAGATGATCCAAACGCGATGCTCAAAAACATATAAACAACTTAAAACTTTGGCGCAACAGTTTGCTTTGATGGCCGTCAAACCTCAAATGATTGGCGGCCAAACATGTCATGTCTAGCACTCTATTAGAACATGTTTTCTTTTCTCGTGTCCACGCTTAAATGCAATCGACGGTATATCACCAACCTTGGAATGCTGAAACAAAAGGATTTCTCTCTATCTATGAAAGCTTTGTTTCGCCACAGACTATCGCAAATATCCAAAATGTACTGATTGAATCTCTGTATACTTTGGAATCCATCGGGAAATGCTAGCGGAGTGCTCTGTTGACAAAGAATAAACCCGAGAGAGATGTTATACTTGTCATGTCGACACAAGCGTGGGGCAAAGGAATAAGATCCATATGTCCGCGTGCCCGGTGGGAATGACAATCACCAATCCAATTCAGACACCAGTCAGGCGCTTTGACCACTGAGCTCTTGTCGGTTCTAGACAGTAGATACACAGTGCGGAGCTACATACCGTGTGGCGGGAAATTTTTGCGGGAGGCTTGCGGGAGTTTAATTTTGCGGATCGCCGTGACCACATTCGCTGGATCAACGTTCGTACGGCTGCCTTATTCAATTACGGTAAAATTTCTTCTAATGGCAATTGTCTTAGCCAACGACAAGAAACCAGGCAAAATCTTAACAGCAAATCTGTGCATTGCCCCCTTCCCTTCGCCCTTATAAACGTACCTGAGATTCTCCTTGCGATATTTTGAGCGATTCAAACTCCTTCTTGTAACTGAAAGCAATAGATCGATATTAAAGACTTTGGAATTAGTTTAAGAAAGAAAGGAAAGTTCGTCGTCGTATGTTCACTTCCTCCATAAAACGAAGCATTCGGAGGTTTCACAGTCGTGCAGTGGACGTCAAAGAAATGTACTAAAAAGCGTGATGCACGTGCAGAGCTGATGTTTTGATCGTCGTCGTTGTCGTCCTGGCCCGGGTTGCTCGAAGCATGGTTAGTGCTAACCAGCGTTAAATACCATGGAAACCTATACATTTTGATACCTCTTAACCAACGGTTAGCGCTAACCAGGCTTCGAGCAACCGGCCCCAGGTTACTTCAGCTGATGAAACGACGTTGGTTCAGCCCTCATGGCGATTACTGTAATCCAATCATTTTGTCCAAAGGTATGTAGGCGAATTTTTCTGGAGTTTCATTATTACTGAGGGGACGCGTCCAAGTTTGAAACGAGAAAGGAAAACTCGTAACCGTGTGTTCACGTCCTCAACGAGACGTCCCATTTCATTTGCATTTCACGTTGTTAGAGCGATTTTCGTATCACCCCAAAATCAAAACTCGCCAACAAAACAGAAACAACAAACGAACGGAAAGAGAGCGACTTGGTTGGTTTATTGAACAGATACAAACACGGGTGGCTTTTGGTTGGTTAAGCGAACGCTCGGGTGAAAAAATTTCATGCCTGAGAACTTTCTAGAAATCAACCGATACTTTGCTTTGACGTCATACTTCAACACGATTGGCCAATCGAACAATGCCTTCTCCATATTAGGCTTTTCTTTGGCGGGAAAACGAAGAGTCCATGTTTTGATCTTTTAATCCATTGGCTGAAAAAACAAATAACGAACACTTACCGAAACCATTTTTCAAGGTCATACGAAAATCACTCTATCGTACTTAGTTTGAGGCTACGTTTACACCGCACAGCACCGGACCGGTTGAAAATTCGTGCATTTAGTTTTTCCGTTCACACGGAACAACATTAACCCGGCGTACGAAAATGTAGACGCTCAGCCGTATATAGGTCCGTGCGAATTGAGCGAAAATATTGAACGGCCCCGGGTGATCGAATTGTAGGGTCAAATTGTTTTAGCCTGAATCGACAGGCCCCTCGCCTTTTTTCTTCAGTTATTACTTACTTGACAATGATATGACATAATCTTGAGACTGCCATAGAATTATTTGAAAACAGCATTCTGTAGATGATTCCTGACGAAGGAATCAGGACAAAAGGAAGAGAAAACTGCCTGTGGGAAGTTGACACCTGAAAGATCAAAAAACAAAGACAAATATACAAAAGGGCAACAAACTAATCTTCAATCAAGGTGCTTATTAGACAGAAGTGGTTTCAGAACGGCCATCCCATTTAATCCCATTTAAGTCAACTTTTTTGGAATTTGGGGGAAGTTTGGAGAGCACTCGCCAAGCTAAAATCAAGAGAGGATCTTTATCCTCTCTTGCTAAAATTGACCTTGGCTATGCCTCGAGCAACTCTCACTCCGCTCCTCTCGTGCTCTACAAACCTCCCCCGTGCATTCATAACTCGACATACGCACGCTCGACCTCGTTCCTAGCTTCTCTCTCCTAGGGAGGGTAGGAGAGAACCCTGGAAACGAGGTTGAAATGCGCTGGCATGAACCAATTCTCCAGTTCAGGAACCCCAGGGAGAATGGATATGACCTTTGGGCGCAGTGATTTCTGGGATCATTTGGGTGGACAAAACGTTAGTTATGACTGGTCGGTCGATGGTATCCAAGGAAACCATTAACCAATCATAAGTAGCCCTTGTCCACCCAAAATATCCCAGAAATCGTTGCGGCCAAAGCTTGAACCTATTCCCCTTATTTCTGAAATGGGAAATTTTTCATTAACAACAGGGGGCGCTTTCCATTCAACAAAAATTTCGGTTTGAAATTTCGGAAATTTCACGTGCCCAATGTAATGGTACATTCCGGTTGCATAGACCCGACCCAAGCCACCGCGCCTGTTGTTATTGTTCTCTTGTAAGCAGGATACAAAAGAGCGGTACTGGGGACAACAATTTTGTCAAATGAAAAGGGACATTTCAGTCCGACCGACCGAAAAACCCAGACCGGTCAAAGTGGACCACCTTCAAAGCTGGTCCCGAATATTCCGGTCGGACCAAACCGAAATGGTCCGTTCCATTTGATGTACCAACCGAAATTTCCAGAAGTTTGGGTTGAATGGAAAGCGCCCAGAGTGTTCCAACTCACCAGCTCAAAAAAATTCAGAATCCAGTGTTGTAAAAGGGCGTGGTCTCCTTCAACCTGTAAAATAAACAGACAAAACACTTAACATTTTTCCAATCTCTACTTCCAGGGTTAATCGTTTGCGATAAATCGAAGGAAAACGGAAAAAAACGAAACCTAAATTGTTTCCTTATCACTTTTTGACCATGTGTCGCTCTTACAAAACCGCTGGATTCGGCGACAATTCGCTTTCCTTTTTCACAAATCACATGTTTTCCGGTGTTTTCACCCATAGCAGGTTTTTCTGGAGGTACGATTTCCCGAAAAACAACTGTTTCCCGGTGTTTTTGAAGTTGTTGTTTTGGTTAATTTTTTCCGCCGCCGCACTTAAGTTGGGTCGTTGTTTTGTGCCTCTCTTCACGCCTACTGCACATTTTCACAGAAAACTTACAGTTGCACATGTGACGTTGTTTTGCATGCCTTTATTTGCACTGAAAAACAACTTGATGGCTGCTTCACATGGCTGCTACGTGCTGATCTGAACATAAGCTCGAGATACCATTTATCTAACAAAGAGCTTTACGGAGATCTGCCTCCAATTTCAACAAGTCTCCAGATATGTCGGCTGAAGTTTATTGCCCACTGTTGGAGAAGCAAGAATGAGACTGTTTCCCAATTACTTCTTTCGGATCCAAAACCCGGCAGTCGCTCGAGAGAGCGCCCAGCAACAATATTTATTTTAGGATCTTGCATCTGTCATGGCCAACAGACAGGAATGGGACAGACTTATAAAATCACCGCAGGTGCCCCGAAATAGAAGGATAGATTAGTTACGTTAAGAGAGAATTATGGCACGAAGAAGGAATCTTAGTGCGTTGGCCGGGATATGTGAATTTCACTTCAGTTATATTTAGAGCTTGTAATTAAACAGAAGTCTAATTCCTGGGACATCCCGGCCCAAATTATAATTGCGTGTTTGAAACGTCATCAAGTCTACGCGAGACTACCTCAAAGCAAAAAATGCAAAAGGTTGTAATAGCGACTGTTGGATTCTCTCTTGACAACACTGAATAAAGTTTGCAGACCTCTCCGGAAACCAAATTGCCATTAATTCAAGCGTTTAATTAGTCTAAAAATAACTTTGGAGAAAGTTCCCATATCCCTAGGGCTAGACTGAGCGTTTTCCTTTCTTCCTTTCACATCATTCTCTCCTGGTTACGTCTTATACCTGAAGCGCTACGACGCAGATCCTGTCCACAAAGTGAATGAAGTCATAGATTGTCTTGAGTGGATCAAACGACTCTACTTCATCTTCAACAAATAACGATACGCTGTAGTAAAGATCAGAAACTAACGTTACGTGTTCTTCTGTTAGCACCAACTAAAATTAGTGATAAACAGTAAAAACCAAAATATAAATGTTGTGGTTTCATTTTGTCCTTGACTAATTTGCATTTTTTTCCCCTTTATTGCAAACTCATCATCATACATTTACCATACCTCAAAACAGAGGAAAATACAATTTAAACCAGAGTCGAAATTGAACGGTGACATATACATACAGATAGGCACTAAAAAAGTTTTAAAAAGAGTTTTGTCAACTACATTTTTGAACTAATAGAATTTGAGTTTATTTCAATTTTCCCTGCTTCAATAACACTGAACAACTCCCAGACGAAAAAAAATACATTATATTAATCTAGCCGGATTTTTTAAAACGCTACTACCAAGGTAGTTTTTTTATAATTTTATAAAAACTGAGAGTGCGACCATTGCATTATTTCTCTTCGCCTCCTTTCTTTCCCCCCGGCTATGTCTATTTTTCTCTGCTTTTCCTTTCTTGGTGTAGTTTTTCGGGCTTATCGGATACAAGAAACTTGCCTTTTTGGTTTCTTGTCAGTCAAACGGCTACAATTTCGGCAGGTATGTTTTCAAAAATTAGGCTAGAGATACAACAGATACCCATCTCCCCTCTCCCGTCCCTTAACTAATACCCAGTCGCCTTGTCTATCTTCTTAAGGTTGGCGCACGGAAGGGGGCGAAATTTCGCCTTCCCCGCCCCTCTCTCCCCCGAATGCGTGTCTGATGCTTACCTAGTTAAGTCACGTGCTCTCTTAGATTGCTCCTCCTGAAGTAATTCCTGTTGCCGTGGCAACTCAACAGCCAGGAAATTTCTCAGTAACTCAGTGAAGCAGTACAACACTTGGCACTACATCAGGATTAATAAAAAACGAATGAATAACAACAACTATAATAATATTCATAGCAACAGCAATACATTATGACTTAGGCGACCATATATGAAGCACAGTCCTCAAATCAAACGGTCACGACGAACGATGTCGGTGGCTTTGGAAAATTTTCTTAGCAGTTGCTTGATTAGTAATAACACAGTTCCAGAAAGCGTTCTATCGTAACTCACTAAACACACCTTACACTGTAGAAAGTGAAATGACAAAACTCAGTCAGCTTTAGTTGAGATTAGAGCGGTTTTCACTTGACTGTCGAAAGGGATTGGTTTTGGTTTTGGTTTTGGTTTTACTACGCCCATTGGTTGGCTAGTGTATTTACTTTGGTTTTGGTTTTACGACAGTCAAGTGAAAACCCCAGGTTAACATTTTCCCAAAAGAAAAAAAAACAAGTATTGACTAACCTTCACATAAACTTGAGAGGAGAAGAAAAGCTTTCTAAGAGGCTCAAGAACCAAGTCGTTCAAACCTGCAAAAAACAAGCACACACTCCGACACGCACGTTCATAATTTTCCATCGGACCTTCCAACTAGTGGTTGGAGCTTAAGTTGACACGTTTTCTGAAGTTTAGCTTTAAAAAAGGCAATACAAGAAATGTCTTGAGGATGATAATGCCCGTCCCTTTTTTGGTCACTGCGTCACAAATAATGAATGAATGAAGAGTGAAGAGTCGCGGATGAAAGGACAACAGACGTGCCCTCTTCCAATATATTTTAAGATGTGAACAGTAAGCTCAGACGTCAGCATACAAAGGCGCCACTGGCAGCCGCTCTCAGTCCATTTATGAGCTTACTGTACCCACCCAGCCGTTGATGTGAATGATGTGATGTGTGATGTGTGTAGGTTGACCACAACACCGGGGTCTACGTCCCCTACTCTTTTCGAACAGTGGTGTGGGTTCTTTTACGTCCCACAAGAACCAATAAAAACGAAAAGGGACAAAGATGCCAACGTGCCTGAAAATGGATAAAAAGATCAAGCTATTTTGGTTTCTCAGTTATTTCTTACAACGGTTTTAAACATTTTGAAGCGAGTTACTGGTACTGTTACAACAGAGGCGGATGACGTGCTGTAACTGCAAAGACTGTAACTCACGTTGAAAAGGCCACAGGCTAAGACGAGTAACAAGCTGGAGCACCAGAGGCCTAAAGTCCAAACCATTCCAGGTATAAAGATAACGAACCAGGAATGCTTCAACGGCCGGGATAGACTCCTAGAAAAAGGACAAAAAGTGTACGTACTGCAAACTTAGAGACATGAACTACCGGCAGGAGTAAATAGACTCTATATCTCCACATTTTAGCGCATTCACAATTATATCAACAGACGGCATATTCCATATGTACGTGGAAAGAGCATCTAAAGCTTCCATCAATCTCAAACATTCATGGTCGCCACAGCCAGAAGTTTCTGAAATTCCCTGACTTTTTGCTGACAAACATAAAATTTCCCCGACCAACTGAATTAACAGTTTCACAAATTAGTCCTAATGATGGCCTCCATCCTCCCCTCACACAGCCATCCTCTCCACCCATATATTTATGCTTTCAGCAAGTCACGTGTAATGTACCTGAATCGATAGTTCCTTCAGACATCATGCAAATGGAGTTGATTTTCTTGAAAACCCAACATCAGCGCAACGTTCAATTTCACGAACAATTTTCTATCAACACAACATGAAGTCCCTCTTGCCCGTAAAATGTACGGAAGAACTTTGAATGTTAGAAAACAATAAAAGTAGAGGGAAAATAATCAATATGTCCTCTTAAAATTTCACTTTTCCCTGACTTCTCTCAAATACTTAAATTTTCCCTGACTCCCTTAATTCCCTGACCTTGGCTTGAACAATTTTTTTCCTAACCATTTCCTGACCTGTGGCAACCATGTCAAAACTCTATAGCCCGCATGGCAGGCACCGGTTAGATTATTTGGTTAGGTTTTATAGAGCGCGAAGGGGAGAGGGGCCTCCTCTCCTTCAGCTTCTGCCCTCGGGCGCCCGCACGTAGTCGAAAATTTCCCTTTGCCTTTAATACCGGGCCTGCTACGCAGGCAAAACTCTAGTGGTGGAAGTCACAGTCGCTTTGCATAGTGTCTGTATAAGGATGTATTCAGCGCATATTAAATTCGTAAGTACAGATGTACCTGGACTCTAATTCGAGTGGCAAATCACTCGCGCCGAGAAGTACACGAAAAAAGTCCCTTGCGTCTCAGCCGCTCGAGCGCGCTCTTTAGGTGCCTCTCACGTTTCTGTACATTTCTTTGCCGTTTTTGCGCAACTACGACGTGAAATTGCCTAATTTTACTCTTTAGGGAGGACGTAAACAAGCGACGACGAAATTTTATCCTCTTTCTAAATCTGAATATGGTTCTCAGAAATTCAACTCTGGGAGGGTTCGCCTACATTTGACAAAGTAAGTGAGTTGGAGTAATCGTACTAAAGACCGAAAGAACCAAAATTCAAATTTGAAGCGACGCTTTCGATGCCGTCGCGTTGTCGGATCGTTAAATCCGTAATATCCCCGAAAGACACAGGCTATACGCTTTTTAAAAAAGCACTCATTCCTCCCTTTGGTTAGACTGCAAAATAATCCCTTTCTTTTTTAAAACGTCAATACGCATTAAGAGACGGGCGTAAACAGTTCACTCCAAAATAACTTACCTGAAGGAAACAAGTAAACTGCTTCAACTTTTGCAACAACAAAAGGCTGCTTGGATCCACTGACTCAGATGACGGTCCACTCAGAAAGTCTAGTACATAAATAAAAACCCACGGCAAATTAGAGCGTTCCGACGAGCAGTAGGCCCGGATACTATCTTAACACTAGAGGAGCTTATCATAAGTCAGAATTTGCAGTCCGCCAGTCCAGTTGTAAAAAGAATTCTACTTTTAATCAGGACTGTCCAACTAGACCAGTCTATTCCTAATTATTAAAAACCGAATTACTGGATTACGCAATTTTAGAGCTCTGATTGGCTTAGCCATCATGGTATATGAGCCATTATACCATGCCCTCCAAATAATTTATGGTAACTGTACGCGTCTGCTCAAAATTAAAAACAAGCTGAATTGGTTGTTTTTACAAATAGAGTCGGGAAGAATTCTCGATATTTTGAGGACGTTTTTAATAAAACAATTATTTCACTCGCGCTTGGCTGATATAAGATGATTATAGCCAATTCGGCGCTACGCACCTCGTTGGCTACCTACCATCTCATATCCAACGCGCACTCGTAGAATAATGGTTAAATAGTCTGGGCGGAAGAGATGGGCTTTAGTAGCCTGCGTAGCCTGGCGGTTTTGTTGGTGAGCACTCAAGACGAGCGACGAAGCGGCGTTGGGCGCTTCTCACAAGAAAACTGACAGCTATGCAGGCTAGGTTTTTAGTGAAAACTCCCTAGATCAGGAAAAACCCCATTTCATTTTCCAAATGACCAGACCGATCGGCCTTTTTCTGATTTTTGGTAGATGCGGCTAATGCATTTTATACAGGTTTAATCAGCCAATATGTAAACCAAGAAAAGAAGATATTGACCATGGAAAAGCATCCACAGCAAGGAGAATGTTTAATGACCTCAGAATGAATTCATACTAAGTCCACCTCGATTCAGGCTTTAAGAAACGTCGAGACACACACCTATCCCAGATTGACGAGACTGTCTAAGTGAGCAACCTCAGCTCTTTGTTTTGCCGGGCACATAACAAATTTGAGTGAAAGAGAAACAGTGAAAGAGTGATTACCTTCATATAGAGAATGATTGAGCCAAAAGTTCAGTCTTTGAAGCATCACAAAATCTGGGTTAGAGGTAAGGACATGCTGTAAAAACGGCGAATTCAGGACACAGGCGACTTGACTTGGAAACTGTGAAAAACCGTGGAGAAACAAATCTAATTCAATCGGGTCGAAAAAGAGTAAGACCAGTCTTTCAAAACCAGTCCTCTTCTAAAATATGGTCATATAAAGGAGTAAGACGCACCTCAATGCTGTCAATATTCCCTAGAAGATCGTTAAAAGAAGAAAGCTGTTCAACGGAGATTTTCTTTTCAGATATGTAGGTGGTTTGTACTACAGGAATGCTGCTACTTCTCAGTTTCCTTCTCTTGGCTACCTGCAATTACAACAGCGTCACTCACAAAGGGTAGTATCCAGGAGCAGCCCATAACTCGCAACGATTAGGAGCCGTCAGCATACCGGTATTCACTTTTCCCGCTTAACGTCAACTGGACGTTTAGGGAAGGGGGGAGGGGTTTAAGGCAGTGGACGTTAGTCCGAGGAATTTTTGGACTACGAACTACGGCTGGACGAGCGTTGTCCTTTGTTTGTAGCACTGGGTTGAGTCATGCAATAATAGAACGTTAAGATTGCAGTAAAGACAGTAGACTGTAGACTACAAGACAAGAGAGAGGGAAAAAACACTCAAAGATTTTCTTGTTTTCATGTTCAGTTCATAAGAATGCAAGTATTTTGCATGTTATCTTATCTTTAGAATAATGAACAAATTCTTCCATACCTGCGGAAGCAATTACGTCGGGTGAAATTGGTGAACATAGTTTTGGTTGCACAGTTTTTATTTTTACGCCTGTGAACACTTATGAATAATTAGGGCTAGGACACAAAGGAAATAGAGAATCAACCTAGGTTTAAACATTTTAACCTGAATTTAAATTGACCTGTAAACAGATATATGGATAAAACATGGTCAGTGAATGAATAAACGGATAGAATGAAGGATAATAAGAAAGATTTAGTACTTACTCACGTCAGGGTATTAAACTTAAAACAAAGATAATAAAGTAATAAATTATGAATAACAGTATATCTTTAAAAAAAAAAAATTGTCGCTGAACAGTATAAGAATAGGAACTGGCAATGTTAGAAGCTAATTACCTGCTCAGAAACTATTTTCTTACCGGAGCTTTGTCTGGTTTTTCAGCTCTAAGGAAGTAGCTATCCAATGAAGTCTGATGATTATATTTGCTCTGGAAAAAAATAAGCATAGACAATAGTGTTGAAACAAAATGACCGGAGGAGGATCATGTGAACTTAGACAAGATCTTCACTGATTAACTGACAAAGTGTTAAATCAGGGTTTTCATTAAGAATTCTAGTAGCAAGAGAAAGGTGTAACATTGCAGGAGAATATTTTTAAAGAGGCTCCACGTCTGAGTAAAAAATGGTCATAGGCTATTGATCATTAGCCGGAGAATTCTGCGGGGTAAGCGGACAATTCTCCGAACTCTAATGCCTAAATGAACACTGGTTGATGCTATACCTGGGGAACCTTGTTAGTTGCTTAAAACCAAGAGAGGTGGAAGGGACCCCTAGCATTCCTGAACTTTCTTTACTGCTTCATTCCGAGATGCCTGATTAATTTCCTTCCCTAACCCTTTGGAAAACTAACCACACAGACTACCTCTACCAGACTAAGCTAGGCTAGTGCTTTACCAAGAATGTAGCTAACTATTTTGGGGGAGAGGGTTAACCAGGGGACTATGGTGCAACTTTTCTCCAAAAGTTTTGTTTTACTTTATAAAAAAATTCACTTAAAATTAGATGCTCCTAGAGCACTACTTAGCAAATTTTACACTGTCCCCAAAACTGTTAATTCAGTGAGAGAGGAAGTAGACAGATCGTCTCAGTTTTCTGCTCCCTCCTTTTTCAATTTTCTTTTATCCATCCACCATCTGAATTCCGCAAATGCATCAATTACATGTACCTGAACTTTCTTTACTGCTTCTTTCCATGATGAATCTGATTGCTTGAACCACAATTTCTGTGAAAGCAAAAAGGTTAAAAAAACTTGCTTGGCAAAAAAAATTCCAACCAAAGTCGTAATAGTGTTGACCAATTTAAGTTCCCTCCACTTAGTGTGACAAATCCTGTTCAAATATGCTCTGAGACTGATTCTGATTATATATAACTCACTACAGAATAGGTTAACAGTCTCTAGAATTTACGTTAACTAATTAATTAGCAGATAAATTTGATAATAAATAAATAAGTATAATTGATAAGTAAGCATCTCTTTATTGACCCAGAAGTCAACAAAACCTGAATCAAATCAACACCTGTAACCTCACTGAATAACACTAACTTAGGGATAGGGTTACAGGGGCTTGGCCACTCCCATAATATTTAAACC